AGTTTAAGGGACGACATCAAAAAATCGATGTCGGATAAAACACTTAATTCAAATAGTTTGGGGGTGGGGGTAAAAATCGCTGTAAGTTTTGTTATCCGACATCGATTTTCGAATTGAAAAATATGGATTCAAGTTCGGCCCTTACATATGTTTGGACTTTTAAACCAAATGAAATCCATCAAATCGTACCGGAAAGCAAATTTTTGGCGGAAAGTATTGGGGCGAAATTAATCTTAGTATCTATGTCATTCAAACGCTTTATCGATCGTGAATTTTGAATGATATGAAACCATTTACAGATCAACACAGATTGTTTAGGTCCACACGGCATGGTGGCATTAAAAAATAAACTATAAAATTTCCTTTGAAATTGTGTTAATTATTTAATTATTAAAATGAAAACTGAAATATAAATTCAGATAAAAATTTGAAAGTTTTATAGAACTTTGTGAGATAGTAGAAAAATATGACAGTGGTCAACAGACATTGAATAGAAATTACATAGATCATATCACATACACTATTAGTCCAAATAATTATGACGTCTTGAAAGGCTATTTTAATTTTTTTTCTGGGACGCCTTAGGTGTTAGTTGTCCCAGAAAAAAATTAAAATAGCCTTTCAAGACATCATAATTATTTGGACTAATTCACTATATTCATTTGGGATTGTGCTTTTCCCTCTCTCCAAAGTTGGCACAAATGCACTGCCCTGTCATCACCAAACATTTCAATGGACCACTATTTAGTTTAAAGTATATACATTATATGAAACAATGAACTGTTTTATATTCATTTGAGAAAAGGAAGCAAAAACAATCAAAACCATAACCCCACTATTTACCCATGCCAATAGTGGGAAGATGAAAAATGCAGAATCCATGCTGACTGTAGTGTTTATAAAATTATAATTTAACAGTGCCTTTTTTGATGCATACCGTAATAAAAATACACATAACTTTTTTCCAATATTTTTTAAAAGTGATGTCCAAGTCAATATACAGAACAAACATACATTGTTGAGGAAAAACAGGACCCATGATACAAAAAGTATACCCTGAGAGCATATGCCCATATTGGTCAATCAATTTTTCCCAAATTAAGTTAAGAAGGGGGGGGGGGGGGGTCAGTGAAAAATCTATGTAAATTAAGTTTTTTTTATCCTACATTGAACTTGTGATGTCTTCCCTAAGTGAATGCATCTCTAAGAAATTTTACCAGAAGGTTCAATACCACAAAAGGAAGGTTGGGATTGATTTTGGGGGTGATGGTACCAACAGTTTAGGAGTTAAGGGCCAAAAAGGGTACAAAAACAAGATTTTTTGTAGTTTCTGGACAATAACTGGTGTGTAAGTGTATGGATCTCCCTGAAATTGTACCACAAGGTTCCATATCACAAATTGAAAGCTGGGATTGAGTTTGGGGGTAATTGCCCCAAGCATTCAGGAATGATGGGCAAAAAAGGGGCCAAAAACAAGCATTTTTCTAGTTTCCAGACAATAACTTGTGTTTAATTGTATGGATCTCTCTAAAATTGTACTACAAGGTTCCATACAATAAAGGGAAGGCTGGGATTGAGTTAGGGGGGGGGGGGGGGGGTAATTACTCCAAGAAGGGGGGAATTTTGTTTTGGGGTTTATGTATTTTTTTTCTTCAAAATTTTTGAAATTTCAAATAATTGCACAGTATTGCGCAATAGCACGAAATCTTCAATTGCACAGTATTGCGCAATAGCACAGTATTGGGCAATAGCAAGAAATCTTCAATTGCACAGTATTGCATAATAGCACAGTATTGCACAGTAGCTAGAAATCTTCAATTGCACAGTATCGAGTAATAGCACAGTTGCACATTGATGGCTGCATCAAAACAAATTAAGAATGTGTTGAAAAAAGATATAGTTCATTGCATTTTCTACTTTATTTCAAATAAAATAAATCAATGAAATAAAAATGACTAATCCTAGAATTCAAATATTGAAAAATATTCAACTCTTGCCCAAACAACTCTTATAAAAATAACTCTTGAACTACAAGAATTCGTGAATAAATGTGTTGTTCAGTCACTCGTTGAATATTTTAGTATATACTTGAATTCTGGGAATTGTTATTCAATAATTCTGTATGGACATTTTTGTCGAGCCTGCGACTTTTGTCGCAGAAAGCTCGACATAGGGATAGCGATCCGGCGGCGGCGGCGGCGGCGGCGTTAGCTAACTTCTTAAAAGCTTTATATTTTAGAAGATGGAAGACCTGGATGCTTCATACTTTGTATATGGATGCCTCATGTTACGAAGTTTCCGTCAGTCACATGTCCAATGTCCTTGACCTCATTTTCATGGTTCAGTGACTACTTGAAAAAAAAGTTCAGATTTTTTGTAATGTTAAATTCTCTCTTATTATAAGTAATAGGATAACTATATTTGGTATGTGCGTACCTTGCAAGGTCCTCATGCCCGTCAGACAGTTTTCACTTGACCTCGACCTCATTTCATGGATCAGTGAACAAGGTTAAGTTTTCGTGGTCAAGTCCATATCTCAGATACTATAAGCAATAGGTCTAGTATATTCGGTGTATGGAAGGACTGTAAGGTGTACATGTCCAACTGGCAGGTGTCATCTGAACTTGACCTCATTTTCATGGTTCAGTGGTTATAGTTAAGTTTTTGTGTTTTGGTCTGTTTTTCTTATACTGTATGCAATAGGTCTACTATATTTGGTGTATGGAATGATTGTAAGGTGTACATGTCTAGCTGGCAGGTGTCATCTGACCTTGACCTCATTTTCATGGTTCAGTGGTTATAGTTAAGTTTTTGTGTTTTGGTCTGTTTTTCTTATTCTGTATGCAATAGGTCTACTATATTTGGTGTATGGAAGAATTGTTAGCTGTACATGCCTGCCTAGCATGGTTCATCTGACCTTGACCTCATTTTCATGGTTCATTGGTCAATGTTTAGTTTACTTGGTTAATGTTAAGTTTATGTGACAGTTGTAATAAAGCTTTATATTTAGGACTATCAACATAATATCAATGATTAGTAAAGAAGGCGAGACATTTCAGCGTGTGCACTCTTGTGTTGAAATACTGAGAAAGATAAAAAAAAAGAAAAGGAAAGGTTGAGAAGGTTTTGCTTTAAGCCATTTCAGCATTGAACAAAACCCAAAACATATAGTCAGCTATAAAAGGCCTACACAAGACAAAGTGTCAGACAATTCAAACAAGGAAACCAATGGCCTGATTTAAGGATAACATTATATGAAAAAAAAAATTTGACAGATAACAACCACAAAATTACACGCTACTGACTTGTGACAAGCCCATAAAGAATATGGAGGGATTAAGCATGTTTGTTGGTGCTTATCCTTCCCCTAACCATTGACCACTGTGTAACAACACAACATAAGAGGAAACCAACCAATCCTTCTCTTTTAATTTATGAAAGTATAAATGTCCTGCAGCTTAGAATATCAGTGTGTAACAAATTCATTATTTTCAGTTGTTCAAGTAGATATTTGTAATTAACAAAAATTGTTGCTGCGAAATTTCAACTTCATTTAAAACTTCCACAGAGTTGGATGTAAGATTAGAAAAAGTTGCAACACAAGTCTTATTTAACTGTTTCATAGAGAAACATCTTTTTTATTTACATGAAACAAAAATGATTAAAGCAGGACATCATGAAATTGTTTTTAAAAAAAACAATTAGTCAAGGTCTTTGAGTCCTTAAGTTTTTGTCTCACCTTTAAAGCGAGACATAGGCATGCTGTTTCAGTGTTGGCGGATTCAACAATGTGGTATTTTTATATAAATAAAAATTGAGTATTAATACACAGTATAGTGAAATGCAATTCATCCTTGTGATTGCATTGCCTCTTATCAACAACATATTAAGTTACTTCATATCAGGATACAGTCATTTATGGAAATGAGTGTATCCTTAGCTTTGTATGTCATTGTAAACTTTTAACCAATGAGAAGATTGGGTTTTCCTAGTTGCTGCTGTTGAAATCTCGTTCCCTAATTGTGTAGTGAGATTTAGTTAGAGAACCAATCAGAATAGGGCGCTCATTTCAAAATGTCCAATCAGATAGTTAATTAATTACTGTTGGTTCTTTGTTCTAACAATTGCGCGTCTTCATAGGCATTCAAGCTAATTCAGTTGCATGAAGCAGAAGCATTATATTTTTGCAGTTGGAAATTTTTAAATTACGAATTATATATGTAAAATTTCGTTTATGGATAGATCGTTTTTACCATGGATAGTGAAAAATTTGTAAGAACATTTTTACTTATCCCAGAATGGTATTTGTTAACTCCAGAAGAAGTGGAAACAATTAAAACGTGTATCGTGGAATCGTCAGCAGATCGTGCTCACGTTTACTGGAGCATTACTTTAGACTGTGCAGCGTGTTGTAATGGATGCTATTTTTGTGGTTTCACAAAGAATTTGTGTAGTGGAAGCGTCAAGGCAGAAAGCAGGTCCGATTAGTCGGGATTTAATGTGAACTTTAAATCTATATTTGGAATTGTTAATACCACGTTTGCTTAAATTCATTTAAAGACTTGCAAAAATGGCGGAAAACGGCGACAGCGACCGCGAAGTGGAGATCTTTAATGACAGTGATCGGGTTAAGTTGTGGGCAGCAACTATGAAATTAAACGATAACACCTCATCAGAGTTATTGAGACATGGATTTGACACTATGGAGGCAATTTCGATGATTGAGTCAGAAGATATGCCAACTTTCAACATCCCGTTAGGCCAGCAAAAAGTTTTGCTTAGAGCGTTGCAGAAAACTTTCAAGACCGGTCGAGACGAAAATGGTGGAAATATTAATGGGGCGTCAATGCGCAACACACGTGAAATCGGAGGCGGAGTCACCACAAGAGAGATTGGAGGCGGGGTTTACAATAAAGATGGCGACAGTAGTACTTCCGTAAACATCCAAGATGGCGGCAGAAGCACTTCCGTAAACATTCAAGATGGCGGCTTCCATGCGAACATTCCTAGAGCGGACGATACATATATCCAGGAAATTATGAAAATGATGGCAGTGCAAAAGGACAATAATGGACATTCAATCAATGATTTTAATGCTAAATCCTCTCATTCTCAAGGTAGAGACAATAATTTGCTTATCAATGACATTTTTTCATGGAAAGATCCGCAAATATTTTTAAAATCTGCTAGCTTTGATCCTAATGTAAATTATTTTGATATCACTGAATTTTTACCTAATACCTTAGGAGAACTGACAGAGTCAGAAGAAAAATTAGTTTCAGAATCATCAGGTGGCAAACTTGTGTTTAAGTCAGGGCCAGCCAAGCCCAAATTAGAAACTTTAACTGTAACACAATGGTCCATGGAAAATTTGTCCATTATGCATAAGTTGTTAGCTGTAGGGGACCTTGCCTCATCACAAGTTATGGACTATTTGTCATACACCATGCGTGTTTACCTCTTCCTTTCTAGCTGCGAGTTGGTGTCTGTCTTGTTTTTTGATCGGGAATATCGGCGTCTGCAAAAACAACACCAGTTCAGATGGGGTACTGACATTCCACATCTCCATTCTGTGTTTTTGAGGCCAAAGTTTTTGCAGGGTCAGTATTCCCGCACTACACCTCAGACTCAAGGCTCGAAAGGAGTGAGCAATAAGCAACATTTAATCACATATGCTTCTCATGCACCAGGTGGTAAGATGATTTGTAAGAAATTTAATAGTCGCAAGGGCTGCTTTATGTCTCACTGTAAATTTGAACATGTATGTGCTATTCCTGCATGTGCTGATAAACATCCAGCTTTTCAGCATACAAAAAACTAAGAACAATGGTGAAGCCTTCGCGTGTACTTGATCTGTCTGCATGGACAGAAGAACTGGTTGATGACTTTGATAAAGAATTTTTGTTGTTTGGCATTGAACATGGGTTCGACATTGTCATGAATGTTCCCATACCAAAAGATATACGCTCAAAAAATCACCCTTCAGCAAAACCCGGTAGCCCCTTCTATAAACAGGCCCATCAGCAGATCCTAACAGAAATTGAAAATGGAAACTATGTTTTTGTAAATACCCCTCCTAAAATAATTAGTCCGCTTGGAGTGATTCCAAAACCTGACGGTGGAGTTCGAATCATTCATGACTGTAGTAGACCAATGGGTTCTGCAGTGAATGATTTTGCAGGTGAATTTGACAAACAAAGGTTCCAAACAGTAGATGATGCTTGCAAGTTAGTTTCAAAAAATTTTTATATGGCTAAAGTGGACCTAAAGGCTGCATATAGGTCTGTTAGAATAAGTAAACAAAGTCAAAAGGTTACTGGGCTTAAATGGGCATTTCCTGATGGTCATGAATACACATTTATTGATAAAAAATTCCCTTTTGGGTCAAAATTGGCACCAGGCATTTTTCATAGATTGTCCCAAGCTGTTCGAAGAATGATGTCACGCAGAGGTTTCACCATTGTAGCATATTTAGATGATTTCTTTATTTGCGAGAGGACAAAAAAGCGTTGTGCTCAGGCATTAGCAGTATTAATTGCATTGTTGCGAAAATTAGGTTTTTGTATAAGCTGGTCTAAAGTTACAGACCCATGTCAAAAAATTGTATTTTTGGGGGTTGAGATAGATTCTACCACTTTAGAGACTAGGCTGCCTATATCAAAATTAACTGATTTAAAATCAGAACTTGCTGAATTTTTATTGCGTAAGCATGCTTCGAAAAAGCAATTGCAATCCCTGGCGGGGAAGCTTAATTGGGCGTCTGCAGTGGTTCGAGGCGGGAGAGTTTTTCTCCGTAGAATCATAAATGGCATAATGCGCTTAAAGCAGGATTGGCATAAATTGCGTATGTCAGGTGAAATATTACAAGATATAAAATGGTGGCATGACTTTATGAGGACTTTTAATGGGAAGTCCTTTTTCTTGGCAAAGGTTCCTATCACTTCAGTAGTGACTGATGCTTGTAAATCAGGTGCAGGGGGTTTCTACCACAGTGATTGGTTTTATGTTAACTGGGTTGAAGATTACCCCTTTGCAACACAGCTACACATTAATGAGTTAGAGGCGTTTTCGGTGGCGTTGGCAGTAAAGCGATGGGCCCAAAATTGGCGTGGCAAGCGTATTATAGTTTACTGTGATAATGCGGCTACAGTAAGCTGCATCAATAAATGAACATCAAAAAATTCAAGTTTGATGTCATTTTTGCGCGAGTTGTTTTGGTTGTCAGCAACATACAACTTTCATTTAATAGCTAAGCATGTGCCAGGCAAAGAAAATATACTTGCAGATCACATTTCGCGGTTACATGATTTAACTTACTGTGAAAAATTTTTGCGGTTTTATGTTCAACCACCATTGCTTGTACGCGATCTGGTTAAGCACATGTCTAGTAACGCCCTTCGTTTTCTTTTATTTAGGCTCACTGGCATCCAAGGAGATGACAACACTGGATAGTATTGTGGCAAAATTTAGAAATCATACTTATGCTGAGTCTACCAAAAAGACGTATCAGAACTATTTAAAATCCTATATGGAATTCTGTAGAAGAATTAACATTGCCCTTGTTCCTTTGAGTCCTTTGAACTTAGCAAGATATGTAGCCTATTTGTCTGCGAGACTACAGTTTAACTCCATAAATAATTACTTGTCAATTATCCGTTTGTTACATTTAGAAGCAGGGATTACGTCTCCATTGGAGTCATTTTTTATGGATTCGGTACTAAAAGGTGCTAAGCGTGTATTAGGATGCACAGTTCATAGCAAATTGCCTTTAACGCCGAAGATTTTAAATGAAATATTCACTTTGTTGTCATTAAGCAGTAGTAAGGACTTATGCTTTTGGGCAGCCTGCTTAGTTGCCTTCTTTTCCTTTTTAAGAAAGTCAAATTTATTTGCTCCGTCTCTTTCAGCTTTTGATCCTGTGCGACAGTTATCTCGAGAAGATATCACTTTTCATGCAGAGGGTGTCCGATTAAGAGTAGTGAAAACCAAAACCATTCAATTTTCAGAGCGTGTGTTAGAAATCCCACTTCCAAGAGTGAACAACTCTCATTTATGTCCCTCTAAGGCTCTCCTTCTTAATTTCAAGCAGGTACCAGCCATAAGCTCCCCATCACCGGTCTTCTTGTACTTAGTGCAGGGCAAGGTAACACCTCTTACCTATGCCACCTTTGTAAAAATGCTAAAACATAACTTATCATTGTTAAATTATGACAGCACCAAATATTCGGGACATAGTTTTCGTAGAGGGGGAGCTTCCTTTGCCTTAGAATGTGGGATACCAGCTGATCATATTCAGTCTCAGGGTGATTGGAAATCAGATGCATATAAGTTATACTTGGATCCTTCCTTTGCTCATCGACAGAAAGTCATGAATAAATTTGCTGCGGCCCTTGGGAAATAAATAACTATACTTACCTACCCCTACTGGTTCCACTTTACATGTTTGGGAAGTTTGGAATACCACAGATTGTTCATTAATTAATTTGTGTATTGTTTGAAAACTGTACTGTTGTTTGTGGTTTTATTAATATGAAAACTATAAGCATTAAACTGTGGTTCTTTTCCCAAACATGTGTTTGTTTTACTTAAGTACCCAACTGGATTCACTGGTTTCTAGACTGCATTCCGAACAGAGTAGGTCAGATGCTATTCTGCATCCGTTCTGAATCTGGTCTAGATTCCAACACATTACACTGTCAGTTAAGGGGGGGAGGGGGGCTTATTTCTGAATGCTGTAGATTAATGTGGTATTTTTATATAAATAAAAATTGAGTATTAATACACAGTATAGTGAAATGCAATTCATCCTTGTGATTGCATTGCCTCTTATCAACAACATATTAAGTTACTTCATATCAGGATACAGTCATTTATGGAAATGAGTGTATCCTTAGCTTTGTATGTCATTGTAAACTTTTAACCAATGAGAAGATTGGGTTTTCCTAGTTGCTGCTGTTGAAATCTCGTTCCCTAATTGTGTAGTGAGATTTAGTTAGAGAACCAATCAGAATAGGGCGCTCATTTCAAAATGTCCAATCAGATAGTTAATTAATTACTGTTGGTTCTTTGTTCTAACAATTGCGCGTCTTCATAGGCATTCAAGCTAATTCAGTTGCATGAAGCAGAAGCATTATATTTTTGCAGTTGGAAATTTTTAAATCCCATCCTCACCCACCCTTTAAAGGGCTTGATATTTGTTTTATTATTATTGTATCAATTTATTTTGTGTATATAAATATGTTTAGAGTAGTTTGACTTACAAGAACACACAGTTTTGTATTCATAATATGTTAGTTTTTATATGGAATACCACAGATTGTTCATTAATTAATTTGTGTATTGTTTGAAAACTGTACTGTTGTTTGTGGTTTTATTAATATGAAAACTATAAGCATTAAACTGTGGTTCTTTTCCCAAACATGTGTTTGTTTTACTTAAGTACCCAACTGGATTCACTGGTTTCTAGACTGCATTCCGAACAGAGTAGGTCAGATGCTATTCTGCATCCGTTCTGAATCTGGGGCTTATTTCTGAATGCTGTAGATTAATGTATTGATTTTTGATAAGGTCAGTTTATGGGGAACCACTAGTGGTAGGTCAATAATATTTGGTATGCAGTTGTATTAGCATTGGTAAATCTCATTTCTGTGGAGATTGTTTGGCCCTGGCCACTGAGCCTTCAATTATGGTTCATTAACTTTGAATATTTTGCATAGTTTACACATTAAAGTATTGTTATTTTAATTTCTACATTTGCATTTTACTATCAAAATAACAAAAAGGTGAGACATATCTCTGTGTTAACAGTTTATTAAACTATGTTTTAGGGTTGATATATATTAGAAATTTAGAAAGGTTAGTCTTAAATTTAGAGATCATGCAAACACATTTTTCTATTTTTAGGTTATATTCAGGCAAACTTCACTCAGACTTTTGATTTGACGTACAATGCAGTTTCCAATATAACAGAAAATTGTACATCTGATTACCACAGTGCAATTCAGGCTTTAATTCCTTCACCTCTGGCAAATATCAGGAATGCATGTACTGCATCATTTCCATCTATGGTGGTGGAATTATCTATAGCTTCCTCATCTGTTAATACAACTAGTGATGAGGTATTTAATATCAGTCCTGAGGTGGGAATGTTATAATATAGTGTTATTAACTATAACAGGGCCAATACAGAAATAGCCAGTTCATAACACTTTTATTAAATGATTTTAATTCTTTTAATTGGAATAAACTGAGAAACTTACCATGAAAAAGATACAGAATTTCATATCTGAACTAGTCTTTTGACTTTTCCCATTCACGTCCATGAATTTTTTGTCAACATTGTCAGATGAAATTTCTGATTTCTCGTCCAAGTACTTAATATTATGCTATTACAATTCATTTTATCTAGCAAATATAAAGTAGCTGGGAAGAATAATTCAGATAGTTTAACTATTCTTACTCTTGGATTGTCTGCGTTCTGATGATTGATCGGCGGAAATGAAACAGTGTCAATAATCAAAAGTGGTACTCGATAAAGGCTTTGAAATATTTCTGTTTCAAGACTTCAAGACGTTACAAAACACTTAACATCATTTAAACTTTTTATTTTATGATTTTAAGTTAAAAAATATAATACAAATGTTTTTTATGCATAACGATACGTCCAAACATAAGTAAGGTGTAAGAAAATTGAAACCGGAAGTGAATGTTCCATATTAGCCCATGGGCCTTTACGGCTTATTTTTTGTATTGGCCCTGTCCGAAAAGCAATATCAAGTCTTGATTTATATCGACAGGGGAACGTCATCAGTATTGCACATGCTGATTTATCCGTATTAGGGCTGATTTGCTCATATCATTTAATAACATTATTTTTTTCATGGGGAGTAAACGTGAACCAGGCAGTAATCCAAAAATGCAAGCCAATCAAAATAGGCATGAAGTGTCAACGTACGACCTTCAATAATTGATCAAGTGCCAACATAGCATGACAAATTCTAATTGCTCTTGAGTTTATCCAAGTTTGGGAAGTTACTCTTGTTATATTAAAATCTGAATACATCTTTTTCATTTGAAAGATTATTATGTAGCAAAATATTTAGTCAAAGTCTTCTGAAATTGGAGAAACGAGTGTATAGGTTTTTTATGCCACCACCGCAGCGGAGGGAGCAATAAGTTTTACCCTTGTCTGTACATCCCAAAATTAGTTTCCGTTCTCTGACTTTAGTTTCCCTCAACCAAATGTTATGAAACTTATACACAATGCTTATTACCACCAAACACAGATCAAGTATGAATATGGGTGGCATTGCTTTTGTTATGTCCCTTTATAAATGGAAAAATTGGAAAATTTGCTTTTCCGTATTCTAACTTTACCTTGCCACAATCAAATGATCTGAAACTTACATAAAATGCTTATTACCACCAAACACAGATCAGGATATATACATATGAATATAGGTGGCGTAACTTTTGCTGTTCTCAAGTTATGTCCCTTTATAAATGAAAAAATTAGCAAATTTGCAGTTTCGGCATTCTAACTTTACTTTGCCACAACCAAATGTTATAAAACTATACACAATGCTTATTACCACCAAACACAAATCAAGTTCGAATTTTGGTGGCGTCACTTTCATTGTTCTTGTGTTATGCACCTTAATTATTGAAAAATTGCAAACTTTGCTTCTTTTGCTTCTTTTGCACACTCAGCATTCACTAACAAATGTCATTAAGTTACAAGGAAAACAAAATGTCAATAGGTTAGAATTAGTACTTTGATTCTTGCAAATTTACAAGTGGGGGCATCTGTTTCCCATGGACACATTCTTTTTATTTTTAATCAGGTAAGCTTTAGTACTTCAAAATAGGTATCAATTCTTGCTATGTATATATTGAAATGACAGTTTATCTACTAACTCTTTTTCATTTTTCCTGCAAACTATTGCCATATAGTGGGATATTTTCTTGTGTGTAAAATTTTGTGGTGTCTTTGCTCGAATGTACTGTTTAAGTCTTGCTGTATTTTATATTTCGCTCCACTCTGCAATATATATAAAATTTCAGAAATTATGCTCCCATTTTCAAAAATAAGGGATTCACCCTTGGATATTACCACAGCAGACAAAAATGAGGGTGACCTGTCAAGAAAGCCTGGTAAAAGGTTTTCGCTTATTAGAGGTAACCTTTATTGCAGGTTTGATTCATAAGTAACTATTATTTTAGTAAGATTGAGTTAAGTTATCTGAAGAAATTGTGTAATTTGAATTTGCAAGATACATTTCAGACAGTGATCAAGTTTACTATGGCCATAGGACCAGCAGGTTTCACAACAGATCAGTATAAGATGTGTGCAAACCTTACTGAGGTTCACTTGATTAATTCTTCTATCAGTACCATTAGGGATTTGTCAGAATGTTCAAATATCAGTGCTGATTGGAATTCACTAAGTTTCACTCAAATATCTATTTGTAATGGCAGTAGAAAGTATGCTGATATTGACGGGAAGAACTTTTGCAGTAAGTTTGTCAATATAAAATGCCAATAAAGAGGAATTACATGAAAACAGAAAAAATGGAGCAAAAATTACATATATATTTTGATTGGAAATTTATAAGATATCACTAACATATTGAAAATTCTGATGTTAAAAGCATTGTATAAATATAAGATGCTTATTTTTTGCTGTTTCTGAATCATGAACATTTTTTATAGCTATAAAGTCACGCTTCCTAAAATTTGCTTCTATATAGCATATAGTGAATATTTTGTTAAATTTCATTGAGAGTTATAGGTGTAATACCACCAAATCATAGTACGTCACATCCGGTTGCATACGAAAAAGGGTAGAAAATATTCCTTTGAATTTGACAGTTGTAGGAAATTAATCCTACATTTCATTGCAGTAAAAAATTCATAAACACATAATTCAAAGCACCATTCTTTTTTTATTTGGTGTTTCTATAGAATATTTTGGAAACTTGAGGTTACATGGTTACTAAAGCTTGTACACAGGAAAAAATGGGATGAAAATTTTATTGGTTAACTTCCAGTGATGGTTATTATCTTATATGCAGTGAAATGTTATATGAAAATTTATCTGTAGTATGGGACAAGATAAAACTTTACTCAAGCCAAGTATTTCTTCATTTGAAAAAAAAAATATTGCACAATTTATTGAAAAGTGCAAATTTAACAAAGACTAATAGGGAAAAACAATGGTGGTCTTACTCCTATAATGATATTGTGACCTTTCATAGAGCTAATTGCCAAAAAAAATCGGTGTATGATGAGATTTTTGTGTATGGTAATGTATTTCGATGGACTAGACACTTTTACTTAATCACAATAACAATAGCTAAAGACAATTTATATTGCACAAAGTCAGATCGCTTTTAGAATTTAATTGTATGAATTGGATAAACTATTAACTCAATTCTGGGAGTTACCTGGTATAGATACGTATTTATAGGCTATAGTGTTAACCATGATGGCAAGATGGTAATTTGCAAAGTCGAAGTTGTTAACCACTTGTTTTCAATGAAATATTTACCGCTAATTTTTTTCAACATTAATTGTTAATGATTAATGAATCAATGTTACCTTTTTTTATCATAATGTTAATATCTCACTATGTGAAAAGGGACAGATATATTTTGCAAAATAGAATCAATGTTCGATGTATTTTGTCTGTTTCAGAAGGTTAACCTTACCTTGAACTCATTTTCATGATTCATTGACCAATGTTAAGTTCTCAAGATACATATAATAACACTTTAATTTTTGATACTGTCAATATACTGTTTAGTCATAATCTAATAAGTAGAACAAGAATATGAGACATTTGTATGTGTCCACTCTTTTTTTCAGTGGCCTGTCCAGAGGGAACCTATATAACAGACCAAGACACTTGTGATTTGTGTCCTGTGGGAACCTATAATAGTTTGACTGAAGTTTCTACATGTATTAGCTGTCCTAATGGTACTACTTCATACACTAAAGGAAATGTTTTTCCTGGATCTTGTACAGGTATGCCTTTATATATTTTTCTACAGTCTTGAAGGTCATTGTGTATTTCAATTTCATTACAATATGTTTGTTTTTTATTGTCATTTTGTAACATTTTGGAATGGTTGTTTCAAACCTACAATGACAATGTACAAATTTACAAATGTACAAAGTTGATGGAACCATCCACATTGAGTTTTTTTGTCTGTAATAATCCGTGGGACAATCGGACCAGCTCAAACATGAAATAGCCAGACCTGGTTAAATTTTGGTGGACAGGTCCGACAGTTTTCGTCAAGTCTGCCAGTATAGTATTGGTAATATCAGTTTCATCCTTTTGCCAAACCCTTCAAAGATTCTAGGCTTCTAATTTGGTACGTCTGATGGGGGTTTCAAGTACATAAGACTCATCAATGGATATGACTTTGAAGAGCATCGAAAACCAAAAATTCTCAAAAGTTGTACCAATACGGCTTTGGCTTTCTTTGCCAAGTCCGCCTTCTTTTGATTTTAAAATGTCAGAACATTTATCCTACAACCTTTGATCAAGTAATTGTTTGGTCATCACCTGTACTTTATTGCTTATAACTGTCTTTCCTGTTTTGGTCAATATAGCGTATGACAATGACAATCCTCACTAGTGAAATAACTGTTCTCAGCAAATGATTGGTCAAAATTTAATTATGATGTCAAATTTTCTTGGTTTTCTTCTGAATTTCCTATTGTGACGTCATGAAAAAAAGGCGACCATGCCTGATGACGTCACAATGACATATTTGGTCAGCAGTTGGACAGTGATGAGTTGTAATGTGTATTTTGGATCTGTCCGGCACCTACTTCCTGTTTGTCTACTATAGATAGAAATATCCTCTTTATTGAACAAGTTATAGTTTGAGTAAAAACCATTCAATCTTATTTAAGGATGTAGACCTCTGAGGAGCCAAAAATTTATAGAATTAAACTTTTTTTTCTTAACCTGATTATTGGGTCTATATGACTAAAAAAATAATTGGTGAAGAAAATATCATATGGTGATGCACTTCCTTTTTTGCTATGGCCATTTAAAAGTATCCAATACTGATGATTTTCACATTTTTCATCAATTTTTACCCATTTTTGGGCTATTATCATGAAAAAAATCAGTTTCACAATGAAACTTTTTTTCATACTTTCAATAAAGATGAAGTGGACCAATCTGAATAAATTTAACTTAAAAAAACTATAGGTAGGTGTTAATATAAGAAAGTTTTATAAAATTTTGTTTGCTTTTTCGTGTCAAATTTACCATGCTGTCAATTTTGTAAATTTGGGATTTTTCTCTTTTTTTAGAACAAAAAGCATATTATTTCAACTTCTTTGTGATAAATGATTGAAAAAATACATATCTAAGAAATTTTAAAAGAAAGAATTGATATGGGATGTACATGTTTCTGATAAAATCATTTCTTGTACCCTCACCCAATTTCCCAACATTTTGGCTAATGAGACTGACTTGATTGGTAATAAAATTTTCACAGAGTTAAGTTTGATTATAATATTTTTCAAATTTTCCACTTGTATCATATGTTTTTGAAATAATTCCAGAACGAGATTTCAACAAGACTGAAACTTTAGAAGAATACATCCTTAAGCATTTCAAGATAAATGTTCCCCCACATTTTTAAATCTGGATTAAATATTTCCACCTCATTTCTGCTATGACCATCAATAAAACTTTGTTTCCTTAGTGACTTGCCAAGTTTTTTCAGCCAAAAATTTTTTAAAGGATTTGAAGAAATTAAATAACTTGAGATGTTGCAGATAAAAAATATTGGAAAAAAAGCTCATAATTTCATTTGATATGACAAATTTGCAAATACTTTTTTTTTATCATATTAAATGTAGACAACTCAAGATATTTATAAGATAAAATGCAATATCTTGGCTGAAACAATTTATCCAAGTTTGATCAATGTTTCAGTGGATATTCCATATCTTACTTCTAAGATGTTCAATAATTTTACTCTTATTTCAATGTGAATATAGCCTCAGAAACATCACAAATATGCCTGCATTTTACAAAATTGGTAACGACTTAAATTGATTGTAAGCCATGAACAATTCAGTATACTTACCTTCTTTTTTAGTTGTAAGACTTATTGTGAAAGGCAGGCCATTTCATGGGTAATATATTTCTTAAATGACTAAAGAACGCTGTTTAATTATTATACCCCATGCAACGAGTTGCGGAGGGTATAATTTTTTTGACCCGTCCGTCTGTCCGTCCGTCCGTCTGTCCGTCAGTCAGTCTGTCAGTCCGTCAGTCCTGTTTCTTGTCATTGCAACTCCTCTCAAACCACACAACAGAATTTCACGAAACCTTTTTAGATAATAAGGACATACTATGTAGTTGTGTTTATCGACAGGAAATTACGATTCAATTCTTTTTCTAGGAGTTACGCCCCTTTGAACTTATTTACTTTAATGTACTACTGCAACAGTTTGTCATCGCAACTCCTCTCAAACCACACAACAGAATTTCATGAAACCTTTTCAGATGATAAGGACATACTATGTAGATGTGCATATCGACAGGAAATTACGATTCAATTTTTTTTCCAGGAGTTACGCCCCTTTGAACTTATTTGCCCAATATACTACTGCAACCTTTTGTCATCGCAACTCCTCTCAAACCACACAACAGAATTTCATGAAACCTTTTCAGATAATAAGGACATACTATGTAGTTGTGCATATCGACAGGAAATTACGATTCAATTCTTTTTCTAGGAGTAAGGCCCTTTGAACTTATTTACTTTAATGTACTACTGCAACAGTTTGTCATCGCAACTCCTCTCAAACCACACAACAGAATTTCATGAAACCTTTTCAGATAATAAGGTCATACTACGTAGATGTGCATATCGACAGGAAATTACGATTCAATTTTTTTTCCAGGAGTTACGCCCCTTTGAACTTATTTGCCCAATATACTACTGCAACCTTTTGTCATCGCAGCTCCTCTCAAACCACACAACAGAATTTCATGAAACTGTGTAGATAATAAGGACATACTATGTAGATGTGCATATTGACAGGAAATTATGATTTCTGATACAATTTTTTTTTCTTACACTTATTTTATTTCTCTAATGACAATGTGGGGACGTGGGGTATGTGAGCGCGCTCACTAAGGTTCTTTAATTATCTCATTATTTATTTCCAGTTTTATCCTGTAGTTCTGGACACTATTCCTCCAGTGGATTTCCACCATGTATACCATGTCCATTAGACACATATTTTGTTGACAGTCAAACTTGTGAAAAATGTCCAATTAACACAGAAACAGAGATACGTGGTGCTGTTAACCAAACACAGTGTAAAAGTATGTTTATTTTAGATCAAATGAACCATTTTAAGTACAGTGCTTTATCATGGCAATGTCAGCTTTTGTTGTCACAATTCAAGGAACAAGGCCAAAGTTTTTTTTATCATGATCTAAAGCAAGGTCTAGAATTTATTGGTGCAATTTTAGTCTTTTTCAAAGTTTGATATTCAAATTTCATCTTCAAGCAAACTAGACTGCATTTCAAGGTCCATTCGACCTGTTTCTTGATCAGTTTCCAACAATTCTGCAATGTTGTCAATGGTAAACCAACTTTTGGAATAAGAATCAGTAATCCAGAAGACAAAACACTATGGAATAAGTCTGTTGCAAGGACACATGCATGGATGAGAAAAGAGGTACATGTATATGATCATCAAACACTGAAGACTAAAATTGTTGAGGGTATGAACTTTCATTGAAAGATTGATTGATTGCTCAATATCCTCATTAATGAGTGTGATCAGGGGAACCTGAAGGAAAATGATATCCTAATTTTAAATAATCCAAAACTTTTTTTTAATTGTTATCTACTTAAATATGATATGATTTTTCTATTTTCAAATATATTTCTATTAGATAGTAAAGTTAGAAAAGCTTGTAGAAAAATCTAATATATGTGTCATATTGAAGTTCTTGGATAATGTAAAAAACCTATCACAAATCTTGGTATGAGAAAGGAAACTACTGTTAAAAGGCTTGTATAGTCCGTGGTTTTATTCTCCAAAATTGAACCTGCAGACAGGGGTGCGGACTTTAGGGTACAATGAGCAAGAAATACCCAAGAGAAAATAAATCTGGGATCCCACTGGAATTCCAACCCTGATGGGATTCCAATTGGAATCCCACCTGATTCCACTGGGATAAAATTTCGGGATTCCCATGTTAATCCCGGTGGAAATATACTGGGATCCCACTGGGATATTGTGGGATTTTGATTGGAATGTACTGGGATTCCTGGAAAAAAATCGGGATCCTGAAATAAATCCCAGTGGAAATATACTGGGATATTGTGGGATTTTGATTGGAATATACTGGGATTCCTGGAAAAAAAGGGAGGATCCCGAAATAAATCCCAACAGGATATACTGGAATTCCATGCACGTACTTTACTTCACTGGGATGCCTGGTTTATTTATTTATTACCCTTGCGTAAGTTGCGAAAGGATACATGATGTAAAGTTCTCCTCCTTTCTGTAAATAAATTTGCTGTCTCTGTACTTCCAACTAGTATTGCTGAGTAAAGGTAACTGGATCTGCATGCAATCTGTTTACTATCAAAATTTGCAGCTCCATTTAATTAAATCATTAAATCCCCTAAAAGTATAAAAAAAATCCACAAAGAATCAATTGTTCAAGACGTTTTGAAGCGATAAATAAACTAGAAATATTATTGCATGTTTATACAGTAGATTGGAAGCCATTAGGAATCAAATTAATTACCCTCCCCCTTTTTTATCCCCTGAAGATAAACAACTAGCGACTTATTATTTTCACCAAATAATCATTCACACAACTCAATTAATTATAAAAATAAATCAAGGGTGTCGCATAAAATAATTTATTACTAGCCAGTTTTTAAATATAAGAAAAAAACAACATTAATTTAATCGGCATAGGCTGCATGCGGATGAACTAGTGGCAGCGTTATCTAGGACGGTATTTTCTAGGGTCGGACTGTTCAGTACAATTACAAAAAAAAACACATGGTCATGACTTGTTTACATTTTACATAAGTTGAGAAACCAACGTGTTACGATGTCAATCATTGGCCTATCATTGATATATGCCGGACAATAATTAATAGAACACTTATGTGAACTTGGAGAAAATCAGAAACGCCCTAACTTGTCTGGCAAAACAGCCGTTGACGTTTTTCGGACGCCCTACCATTTATATCGCGAAAATCTCAGCATTTTTCTGACTTAGAAATACTAAGTCCAATAAATTATGACGTCTTGAAAGGCTATTATATTTTTTTCTTTGACGCCTTACATCGTCGCAGGAAGGCGTCAAAGCAAAAATTTAAAATAGCCTTCCAAGACGTCATAATTATTTGGACTAAGAAATACCTGGGACTATTATACTAACTATAATAGTCCCAGGAAATACTGTCAAACTGAAATTCGTAATTCATCCATGAACAAGAAGTTCAGCTACATGTAGCTGTGTAAACTGTCAAATTAAGTGACCCATTAAGTGATTGGCTTCACCTGACAGCTTTGGTGTCATACACATTGTTAATTAACACCAATAACCTTTGCTTTATGTCATAAATAATTGTGTATTTCAAAAATGTTTGACAAAAAAGGAAGGCGTCCCAGAAAACAATTAAAATACTAGCCTTGCCAGGCGTCATAATTATTTGGACTACTTACATGGCTGTAAATGGATAAAAAAACATATTTGTTAAAACAACCATGCTATTTGAATAGATCCATATGCGTTTTCAGATTCAGCACTCAACAACTTCCTGTTTACCAAACACTTGCATATTTTACAACACAAAATTCTGGTTTATGTTTTCCCGTTTCAACTAGAATGGGATCCTGGCTTCAGACAGTTATCCCAAATGGGATCCCAGTTTCAGATATTTATCCCGTTTCAACTAGAATGAGATCCCGGCTTCAGACAGTTATCCCGAATGGGATCCCAGTTTCAGATATTTATCCCGAATGGGATCCCGACTTCAGATGCTTATCCCGGCTTATCCCGCCAATTTCACCGGGATTTCATAGGGATCCCGATGGATCCCGTTTTCATTTTCTCTTGGGTAAGAAAGAAGAAAAAATTTGATACCCCTTACGATGTATAAACTACAAAACTTAATCGGTTATTATTCATTCCGTTTTGGTGTTTCATACTGACATATATTAAACATTGTTTTACAAAAGGATGGAACTGTTTTACTTTCAAAGTCGTATTATAGTGATATCTATTTAGTACAGATTTCGACTCACCATTTTAATTTTCTTTTTCACGTGCTATTCAAACTTCCGGTTTAAACGTACACAATCTTCTAAATTGTTTTTTGAGTAATTTTTACTTACCGTATAGCGGGTTATTTTGGCGGGTGTAAAATTTAGCGATTTAGGGGCAACAAAGTATATGAAAAATTTTGGCGGTTTTTATTTTGGCGGATTCTTAAATCCCAATTAAATATTTTGACGGATACTGAAATGCTTGCAGTTAAAAAGCAGACAAACAAGTGTTAAATGATTGTTTTACCTTCATGACTACTTATTTATTGATTATATTTTGATACAGTTAATCAATAGAATACCGGTACTTAGATATTTGTCACTGGTGTACAAACATCTTGTAAATGTTATGGTTGATTAGTTACGAAATTTACCGGACCTTTGATGTACTAATTAGGTTATTAAATTATCAAAAGTGACTTGCAACTCTTACATAATTTGACAATAATTAATAAGGGTAAATACCTGACAGAGTACCTTACACTCTTATATTATTTTACACTATTAAACTAATTAACACCTGACAGCCATTTTATAAGATATATGTGAATAATGGCCTTTGGCATTTATGTCGTTTAAACGAATATAAACCGTTATTGGCCCCGTCGACCGGGAAAAAAAAATAGATTGTTTACAAAACGCTTTAGCTATTAGAAAGAACCGAATGTATGCATACATTTTCGCGATTTTCCCTCGTCCGCCAAAATAAGCGAAAATAAACACCCCGCGAAAAATAACCCGCTATACGGTATTTTAACAATCGTGAAGTGTTTTAGAATCATTTACAAGCAGTTTCAACTTCTGTTTGACGATGGAAAACGGGTTTTTCCATGAAAATACCGCAAACGACCACACACGATTTGAAATTACCGGAGTTTCATTAGACATTTTCTAACAGCTACAAAAAGTTTTTTTACCTGAAATTTCGTGGGGAGAAGGGGGTGGGGATAATGTACCAATGCTAACTATACAAGCCCGATTACGGTAGTAACTTTCACCAGTTTAAGGTCCAATATGAATAGAGATTTTGGGGTATAAGGTAAGAAACAGCAACTCAATGACGGTTGTAACTACAAGTCCAGTATGAAGATACTAAGTGGCTCACAATAATATTATTAGATACCTGAGTATTCCACCAAATGTAGGTCACCCTGACATCATTTAATCAATTTGTGTCTTGCCTTGATAGAATCAAAAAGGTAGACTTAGATATACTGTTTCCGGCATCGGAGGCTGTGTCCACAATTTGTTAATAGGTCAGTTCAGTTTAAGGAGAACCACTAATGGTAAATCAATGTTATTTGGTATGCAGTTGTATAAGCATTGGCATATCTAATTTCCATGGAGATTATTTGACCCTGCCCCCTCAGTTATGCATGGTCTATTGACTGAAACTTTTTGTCTAGTTTACATGATGAAGTTTGTGATTATGTCAGTATAAGGGAAACCACTTATGATAAGTCAATGATATTTAGTATGCAGTTTAAGCATTGGCACATACTCTCATTTTCATGGATATTATATCTCATCACCTCAGGGGCCTCAGTGGCCGAGTAGTCTTAAGTAGTCCAACTACTGTATAGCTAGCCCATAAACACTGAGGTTGTGAGTTGGAATTCAACAGGTGGCAGGTGTGTTCAACTCCAATCTTAATGGAATAGGATAGTCAGTTTTCCCACCAAAGGTCTGTGGTTCCCACCAATAAAAACTGACTGCCACAAAATAGTGCAATAGTGCTGAAAGTGGCTTTAACACCAATTAATCAATCAATATTTGGCCTCCCATTTACAATAAGTCGTCATAACTTCCTTCTCATGCTGGAATGACTGTGGTTTGGTTTTTGGTTTTAAGTATGTTTCTAGATTTTAAATGAGTTACATTAATTTCATTCAGAGTCCCCATTATTTACTTCATTATTCATTGACTAGTTAAGCTTTACAGTTTATTTCAAGTTGTTCCACTACCATCTAGTTTTTTACCTAAAATGCTTCTTTTATTATTGATTCACTTTAAGTTGAGCAAACAACCATCACATGACCAAAGAAAAAAAAAGAAAATTGATACTCATCACTTTATTTATCTTTGGTTTTTTATTTGCTTTTATTTCAGGTAAATGTCCAGCTGGACAGTACAATATCTTTGGTAATGAACCAAATTGTCGCCCTTGTCCATTACATTACTACCAACCATCAGAGGGCGCTATTGGTTGTCTGGAGTGTGCTAATGATAAGATAACTCTAAGCAATGGTACAGACAATTCCTCTGATTGTCTTGATGCAGGTAAGGTCAACATTCAGAGTCTACCGGAAACATCTGATTGTTTTGATGCAGGTAAGGTCAACATTCAGAGTCTACCGGAAACATCTGATTGTTTTGATGCAGGTAAGGTCAACATTCAGAGTCTACCGGAAACATCTGATTGTCTTGATGCAGGTAAGGTCAACATTCAGAGTCTACCGGAAACATCTGATTGTCTTGATGCAGGTAAGGTCAACATTCAGAGTTGACTGGAAACTTTACAAACCATGAAATTGTATTCACAATGAATTTCAAGGATGACACATGTATATGACAGCATATGAAATGATAAGATGCCATAATGTGACTGTTTAAAATATTTCAAATACAAAAAAATCTGGAGCCACAGTATTTATCTCAGCACAAAATGGATGAATATTTTAGCAATTTCAATAATTTTAACACAATATTCCATTATTGCCACAATGAAGTCCCCTTGTTTAGGTAGCATGCCTTATAGATATCCAAAATGTTAAGGACCATATATAATATTGCAACAACATGCACCTTTTTACAATTAAATTGTGAATTTGGGAATAATTTAGCTAAGGAATTGGCAAAGCTTTTTTTTGTACATATCACAGAACCAGTACCTTAAATTTGAAAAAGGAAACTGAACTACAAGAACAGGGTAGTTTGAACCACTGAGCAAATTTCCTGTAATAAAACAAGCCATTAATTAGTATAAAATAAGGAGTTGCGTTACTGTAGATTCATTTATTTTCATCGGTACAAGTTTTTGTGGAATAAGAAAAAATTGTATTTTCATGGATATTTCATTATTGGTTTTGCCAAAATCTGCAGATAAGCCTATAGAAAATTTGAACTTCCTTGAATATTTTGATTTGTGGTTCACCTATTTCAATGAAATTTACGAAAATTGGTATCTCACGAATCATAATGAATCCACTATGATTGCAAATTATCTACCAGAGACCGAATGATTTAAATGTAAGCAACTCATAGAACAATGCACGGTCTCTAACAATAAGCAAAACCCACAATGCATAGCAAGCCACAAAAGGCAAAAAATTAAAACAATTCAATCTAGGAAAACCAATGGCTTGACCTATGTACAAAACAAACATAAAAACAAATATGACATACAGTGCCTTTATAAAAATTTAAATTTAAAATCAATCTATTAATATATTCAGTAGTGTATCAAGATGTGCAGATGATTGGAATGGAAGTAATTTATTAGCTTCTGTTTTATTGAACTGAATTTAATGATTTCTTTATATTTCATATTTACAGCACCAATACTTTGTAAACCAGATGTATGTCAAAGAGGAAATTGTTCAATCAGAAATCATGACTTCTATTGCCAGTGTCCAGAAGGTATGAATTTTTTTTTTTAAGTTTTCAAGTGAAAATGCAAAGAAATGATAGAAATGTTGGTACATGTATCTTTTGAACTAACAGAGATTAAGCAAACTAAACATTTGAAAAATAGATGTATAAATTTATAGAATGCTCATATAGTCATGTGTTTTGTTAAAATATACTTTTTCACACATTTGGTCTTTTGGAAAAAATGTTGTTTTTAGACCCCTCTACATATATATATATATATATATATATATATATATACAAGTCTAAATTGAAAACAACGTTCAAACCTATGATTGCATTGGATAAAAACCGCAATTTTTATACGTGTGCATGCAAAACAAATTTCTTGTTAGAGGGGTCTAAATACAGCACAAACAACACTTTCCAAAAGACCAAAACAGTGAAAAAGTATATTTAAATTTTTATTATATATATATATATATATATATATATAAACAAGTCTAAATTGAAAACAACGTTCAAACCTATGATTACGTTGGATAAAAACCGCAATTTTTATACGTGTGCATGCAAAACAAATGTCTTGGTAGAGTGGTCTAAATACTGCACAAACAACATTTTCCAAAAGACCTAAAAAGTGAAAAAGTATATTTTAACAAAACGCATTTGACTAGCAGGTCGAACAACGGATGTTCTTAAACCCTGCTGAATGCCATGGCGATTTCCAAATAAACAGATCACCAGATGTAAAAATGGATCTTAATTTATTAATAATATACCAAACAGAAAACAATAAACTTGCGGAAAAGATGGTATACCGCAAACATAAGGTGCAAAAATTTGTACACCATATCCGGATTTCGACAATAAATGTCTCTTCAGTGATGTTAGGAATCGAAACGGTATTTGGAAGGCCATATAATTTACCTCAATTTGGGATTGAATCTTGAATTTTGAAGAGTCAAAATAGGATGAACGGATCATATAAACCCGAAGGCAAATATAATACAAGCCCAAACAAAAAAATATAAACAAGTCTAAATTGAAAACAACGTTCAAACCTATGATTACGTTGGATAAAAACCGCAATTTTTATACGTGTGCATGCAAAAAAAATGTCTTGGTAGAGTGGTCTAAATACAGCACAAACAACATTTTCCAAAAGACCAAAAAAGTGAAAAAGTATATATATATATATATATTTTTTCCAAAATTGATATAGTATTGCTCTTTAATGAAGAGGATGTACCAAAATCATTAAACTCACCCTAATTTCATAGCTTGTTAGGCAATGTCAAATAAATTTTATGGTTCTCAGACATTGACTTAAAAAAAATTGATGAGGGAGGCAGGGTATTTGATTTGTTTTTTGTCGAGCCTTCGACTTTTGTCGAAAAAGCGAGACATAGCGATCCTACATTCCGTCGGCGTCGTCGTTGTGGTCGGCGGCGTCCACAAATATTCACTCTGTGGTTAAAGTTTTTGAAATTTTAATAACTTTCTTAAACTATCCTGGATTTCTACCAAACTTTGACAGAAGCTTGTTTATAATCATAAGATAATATTCAAAAGTAAATTTTGTAAAAAAAAAAATCCATTTTTTCCGTATTTTACTTATAAATGGACTTAGTTTTTCTGCCAAGAAACATTACATTCACTCTGTGGTTAAAGTTTTTGAAATTTTAATAACTTTCTTAAACTATCCTGGATTTCTACCAAACATGGACAGAAGCTTGTTTATGATCATAAGATAGTATCCAGAAGTAAATTTTGTAAAAAAAAAATCCATTTTTTCCGTATTTTACTTATAAATGGACTTAGTTTTTCTGCCAGTTAACATTACATTCACTCAGTGGTTAAAGTTTTTAAAATTTTAACAACTTTCTTAAACTATCCTGGATTTGTACCAAACTTGGACAGAAGCTTGTTTATGATTAAAAGCTAGTATCTAGAAGGAAATTTTGTTAAAATTTTGTTTGATTTTTTCCGTATTTTACTTATAAATGGACTTTGTTTTTCTTCCAGTTAACATTACATACAGTCTGCAGTTTAAGTTTTTAAAACATTTATTAGATTCATAAACTATCCTGGATTTTTACCAAACTTGGACAGAAGCTACTTACAATCAAAAGATAGTATAGAGAGGAATATTTTTATTTATTTTTTTCCTCATTTTTGTTGAGCCTGCGATTAACAGCAAAAGTAGGCGAGACACTGGGTTCCGCGGAACCCTTACAAATTTTTATTATTTTGTTGACCAGTATTTTTTTTAACACTATGTATTCATGTTAAAGAATAAGATAGCAAGAGATGATTAAAAATTCACAAAATCAAAGTAAATACAACACTGCTGCAATAATTGTCTAGAGAGGACAAATTTTCACAGAAAACTAATTCTGAACAACACAAATTTAATGCATAACTAAGGATGTATGTGTTGAATCTGTAGAAATATACAGTTTGTAACAATCTAATAAATGTATTGTTTTTATTTCATCAATGAGGTATGTGACATGAAACTAACATATCAAACCATCACTGTGCTCTGCTGAATGTCAGAATAAAATTTTGTCCAACTAAATAATGTAAAGTTGAAATCCAGGATCTTAATAAAATCATAACCGCCTTTGGTATGCTCTAAGCCAAAAGTTTGGAAACCTAAAAACTTCCGAGACAGTATGAAGAAAAAGAGATATGTAGTATACTTCAATGAAATCCCAACCTAACAAAAAACATTGACAACAAAAACAAAAATGCATCCATAGACAATATTTCAGATAAATAAAATCAAGCCTAAATTGCCTTGTTGAGAAAAAATTGTGTCAATTCAAACAGAGACTACCAAAGATCTGCAATCAACACTTGTTATTTTCGTAGATAACTAATAACAAATATAAATGGAACTATAAAGACAACCAAGTCTATGATCAACATTGCCTGAGGGAATAGCAACCTTGGTTTATGAACATTTACATAATCTCTATAAGTCTCTCATGAGGTCAAAATCAAACTATAAATTTATTCCTTTGATTGAAGTCCTTTTAAAAAAATGAATCTTTTTGTCTGTTTAATATGCTTAAATATACAGATCATTAATCAACTGCATGGAACTGCACACTTTATGCAGAAGGCATATTCTAAAACCAGAACCTGTTGAAATACAAAAATGTCTAATAATTTTGTAAGTTAATTTCTATTAAAAAGTTTAGAAACATTGCTTTTCCTTTATTTAATTAATGGTCTTAAAAAGTCTGGTGGTACCAAAGAAGCTCACATACTTTGTTCATCAAGTTGAATCTCAAAGTATATGTGGAATTTTGCTCAAGCAATCCCCATGAGCAATTCCATTACGCTGATCTTTTACAGATGTGTCATTTGTAAGTTTTATGATCATCAAAAGATGAAAGCATTTTCGCTTCTGTTTACATTTTGCAAATGTGCAATTTTGCAAATAGAGGCAAAAACCTGAATTTTCCTGAATGCGTTAAGAGTTATGGATCTTTGACTAGTTTGAAGGTGGCTAAATTTGAACAATGCAGATTTTTTACACGTTCTATATATTTTGGTTTGGCAAAAAATACAGGCCAGTGGCATCTTTTTGGTTGAAGCTGCAGTGTCTGAGAACAAAAAATTTATTTAATATGACCTTACAATCTTGATTTAACCCCCCACTACTGGGGTCAGAGGGTATACTGTTATACCTCTGTCTGTCCATCTCATAATTTATTTAGTTGCATTTTCTTGGCAGGAACTACAATCAGAGCTCCTAAAATATGGTATCAAGCTTCATGTGAGCATGCAATGCCATGGATACATTTTCACATCCATCACTCATCGAAATAAAAATTGCCTTGTATTTTTTATACAGTAATAGTAATAAGATTTTTATATGGTATGACATTGGCGTCGTCGTCAGAAGACACATTGGTTTTCGCACAATAACTTTAGTTTAAGTGAATGGATCTCTATGAAATTTTACCATAAGGTTCAATACTACAAAAGGAAGGTTGGGATTGATTTTGGGGGTTATGGTACCAACAGTTAAGGAATTTGGGGCCAAAAAGGGGCCAAAAATAAGCATTTTTGTAACTTCCAGACAATAACTTGTGTGTTAGTGTATGGATCTCTCTGACATTGTATCACAAGGTTCCATATCACAAAGGGAATGCTGGGATTGTTTTTTGGGGTATTTGCCTCAAAATTTTAGGAATTAGGGGCCAAAAAAGGGTAAAAAAACAAGCATTTTTCTAGTTTCATGACAATAACTTGTGTGTAAGTGTATGGATCTTTATGAAATTGTACTACAAGGTTCCATATCACAAAGGGAAAGCTGGGTTTGAGTTTGGGGGTAATTGTCCTAAACGTTTAGGAATTTGGGGCCAAAAAGGGGCCAAAAAACAAGCATTTTTCTAGTTTCCAGACAATAACTTGTGTTCAAGTGTATGGATCTCTCTGAAATTGTACTGCAAGGTACCATACCACAAAGTGAAGGCTGGGATTTCCTAGGCAAACATGTACGTAACATTAAGGGGTAGACATCTTCTATCTGCAACTCTGCTAAAAACATTGACTACATTTCAATGATTATTGCAAAATATCTCAAGTATCTAATACTCTGAGAACTGAGTTTAGAAAAAACATAAAAGTGAAATAAAAATAAAAATGAAAGTTTTTTCCATATCTTTTGATAGGATACTATGGGAGACGCTGTGAAATGGAAGTAAATCACTGTTTGTCAGAACCATGTTACAATAATGGTACATGTACAAGTACACCTAACAATTATACATGTGATTGTCTTAATGGTGAGTCAACCAATGTACATGTCTTTGTTCTAATGGTGAGTTAACCATTATACATTTCTTTGTCCTTGTGGTGAGTAAACCAATATACATATCTATCCTAATGGTGAGTAAACCAAAAAAACATGTTTTTGTTCTTGTGGAAAGTAAACCAATATACATGTCTTTGTCCTAAAGGTGAGTAAACCAAAATATATGTGTCTTTTCCCTTAATGGTGAGAAAACCAATATACATGTCTTTGCCCTTATGGTGAGAAATCTGATATACATTTCTTAGTCCAAATGGTAAGTAAACCAATATACATGTCTTTGTCCAAATTGTGAGTAAACCAACAGTTCATGAATTGAGTATCTTCAACAGTGGCCAATCCATGATAAATGGAGTATTTGGTTTTTTAGATAATTGATTAATGTATAAGATAAGGTATCAAGTTACCAACTGATTTTACACAGGTATATTTGTCCTAATTTTATAGAAATTTAAAATATTTTGACTTTTTAAACAAAAAAGATTTACATTATTTGCACTTTAGAAACGAGGCAATACAAAGCTAAAACAAGGGGTTTTCTGTATGAACAATAGCTCAGCGCGGTCATGTAAATATTTATTAGTTCCTTGTATATGCCTGATATTACCCACATACAAATATGTGTCTAATTAATGTGTGCATTTTTGTACTAATGTTTTTGTTTTTCTTTATCATTTTGGAATGCATGTTCTTACAAATGTGAGACGTTTCTGTTCTCAATGTTCACATTTTTTTTTATTCAGGAACAGATGGAGCAAGATGTGAAACCGATGTAAATTCTGAATGTACAAATAGTACATGTAAAAATGGGGGAGTGTGTATAAATAAGATAAACTCTTTTAGCTGTATATGTCCTGTTAAATACAAAGGACCTAAGTAAGTTTTTAGTAGATTTTAGACTAATTGTTTTTTTCTATTGATATTTTTTTATTAGGTATTGTATGCAGAACTGTTTAATTTAATGGTTTATCAAACTTTTGGGATTTCCCATACCATATATGAAAATAAATAACTAATTTAGAAAAAAAAAAAAAAAAAAAAACAGAAATAATTTTTTGTGATGAACTATCAATCTACAATTTATAGAAATGCTCTAGAGCTAAGTTAATAAGAAATGTCAGACATTTCTGGTTACAAAATTAAAGTAGCAATAAATTCTAGCTTTGACAAAGATATGAATGTGTTTCTAGTATTCAGACCACCGAGGGGGGTCCGGGGGTTGGAACCCCCGCCTTTTTTAGCTCACCTGGCCCAAAGGGCCAGGTGAGCTTTTCTCATCACTTGGCGTCCGTCGTTATCGTCGTTAGCTTTTTACAAAAATCTTCTCCTCTGAAACCACTGGGCCAAATTTAACCAAACTTGGCCACAATCATCATTAGGGTATCTAGTTTAAAAAATGTGTCCGATGACCCTGCCAACCAACCAAGATTGCTGCCATGGCTAAAAATAGAACATAGGGGTAAAATGTAGATTTTGGCTTATATCTCTGAAACCAAAGCATTTAGAGTAAATCTGACAAAGGGTAAAACTGATTATCAGGTCAAGATCTATCTGCCATGAAATTTTCAGACAAATCTGACAACCTGTTGTTGGGTTGCTGCCCCTGAATTGGTAATTTTAAGGAAATTTTGCAGTTTTTCGTTATTATCTTGAATATTATTATAGATAGAGATAAACTGTAAACAGCAATAATGTTCAGAAAAGTAAGATCTACAAATAGGTCATCATGACCAAAATTGTCAGTTGACCCCTTTAGGAGTTATTGCCCTTTATAGTCAATTTTTAACAATTTTTCGTAAATTTTTGTAATCTCTCAAACTACTGAGACAAATTTAACCATACTTGGCCATAATAATTATTTGGGTATCTAGTTTAAAAAATTTGTCCGATGACCCCGCCTTCCAACCATCATGGCCGACTTGGTTAAAAATAGAACATAGGGGTTTATATCTCTGAAACTAAAGCATTTAGAGCAAATCTGACAGGTGGCAAAAATGTTCATCAGATTTAGATTTATCTGCCCTGAAATTTTCAGAAGAATCTGACAACCCGTTGTTGGGTTGCTGCCCCTGAGTTAGTAATTTTACAAAAATTTTGCAGTTTTTTGTTATTATCTTGGATATCATTATAATATCTAACTTCTAATACTATTAATTATGATTTTAACCTTATTTTACATGATTTCCAAAGCATCAGTAAATACAGGTGAGCGACACAGGCTCTTGAGAGCCTCTAGTTTTGATGACCAATGCATTTGAATGGGGACATATAGTTGGAACCCCCCTTTATCCTGGGTAAGGGAACCCCCCCCCCCCCCCCCCCCCCTTTATAAATGGCTGGATACACCCCTGGACCATTGATGGACATAGTTTTACATTTCTGGTACACAAATTAAATCCATATTATACATAGATCCAAAATTAGTTTTGAGGCTCCATGGAGCTTCTGACAAAAGTTTGTAGTACCAGGTAACTGACATTGCTTCTTCTGTATTGGGACAGGAAAGTTCATAGATTTTGGCATAAAAAACTAAGTGGTTTTATGCAGAAATCAGGAGACACTACTGTTTGATAGAAGACTGAGATCTTCTTTTTCAACAAGCAGCAATATATAGAAATTTGGTAGTCTGTACATTTGTACTCACATGATGTACATTGTCATATTTCATTTCTGCATCCATTTGTTTTTATAGGACCGCTAAAAATTGTGGCTGTATAATGGTATGGCAATGTCTTCGTATAAAGAACAGGGTTCCATATTACAAAAGAAAGGTTGGGATTGATTTTGGGGGTTAAGGCCATAACAGTTTAAGAATTTTGGACCAAAAGGGGTCAAAAGCAAACATGTTTCTGGTTTCTGGACAATAACTTGAGTATAAGTATTTACGAGTGTACAGATTTGTATGAAATTGTACCACAAGGTTCCATACCACTAAAGGAAGTTTGGATTGAATTTGGGGGTTATGGCCGTATCTGTTCAGGAATTAGGATTCAAAAAAGAGTAAAAGCAATTTTTTAAACTTTGTTTGAATTGCTTATTTCTGACCAATTTAAGTGGGGTTTAAATAATCTTGAAATACTGAGGTTCTTTGATATGCTTGACCATGTATTTAGAATTTTGGTACATATAAATTTATTTTAATTCTAACAATCATACAAGTCATAAATAAAACCAATAAACAATGAAAAATTACTTCCTCCATAGCATCATGTCAATTGTCTACTGCACTTTAAATAAGTAAAAAGATGCATCACCAAATTTATCAAATTATCAACATTCTCATTCAAATATATCAGTCCACTTCAATAATAATTTAAACATTTCCCAAACAATTTCCTCCATATTGACATTTCTGTTCAAAGGGAAATAACTCAAACCACAATTTGATGATAATCCACTCTAAAAACACACAACATTAATGTCACCTTTTGATATCACTTTTCAGACGAATTCTAACCACAAATTCACAAATATAATTAAAATAACATCCCAACCACTTAGATTTACAATCCCATGAACCACAATTACCAATTCATGCCCAATTTCATGCAACAATTTTATCCCATATTATCCTATTATGCAAAAAATTTTAAAAAATCTTCCGTTCATTATAATATAATTTTATTATCCTTTTAACTTAGATATAACTGTATTCTGCATTTCATTTCCACTACATCATTCATTCCGAAAATTGCTAAATTATCAATATTAATTTCTAAATGCTGACAGTTTAACAATGTCAAGAAAAATGAATTTCCTCACCTTTTCCCATCACCAGCATTCCAACACAATGAACAGCAGATGAACAATTACAATTCTTTTTTATGATTATGACGGTTTCTGAAAACATATGCACAGTGCATTTAATTCTGTACATTTCAGCTGTGAAATGCAGACAGACATATGCAATGTTAAACCATGCCTCAATAAGGCTAAGTGTGAAAACTACAACAATGTTCGGAGGAAATGTATCTGTCAGCCTGGTTTTACTGGGGTTGATTGTGAAACTGATATCAGTAAGTATCATTCAATTGAAATAGAATTAAACTTGACCAATACCTTCACACCAAATGTAGTGTGCACATTCATATATATTTTTTATCAGATTAATTATTTTTAAAGTTTTGAATTTTGACAAGTAATTTTGTTATGACATTCAACCATGGTAACTGAACTTTTATTAATCCATAACTTTTGGGAATATGGGGGATATGCATTTCTTTTTGTTATTTATGTCAGTCTTCGGGGAAAACTTATTGACTTAAATACCCAAAAATCTTTCATAAATATCTTTAAATTAATATAGCTTACGAGGCCACTTTTCAAGAAATTTTCCTAGGCATACAACATTTTTACTGGCCTGTGCTGTAGGGCTCTTAAAGACAATTGTGTTGTTGGCTTATTGTACAATTGAAGTATCCTCATCTTCTTGTATTCATATTAGAAATTGATAGAGCAGTATAGGTTAGAAGAAAATAGTTTGGACCTATTTGTATCATTTCACTCTGGCATAAGAGACTAGAACATCTTCTGTAAATAGTCTAGTGTTAATTGTAAAAACTGAACACATTCTCTTAACCGGGTGGTTAATCAAATGAACTACCATTGAATCCCATTAAATTCTTTGGCAATGATCTATAGATATAAGAAGATGTGGTATGAGTGCCAATGAGACAACTCTCCATCCAAGTCAAAATTTATAAAAGTAAACCAATATAGGTCAAAGTACAGTCTTCAACACGGAGCCTTGGCTCACACCGAACAGCAAGCTATAAAGGGCCCCAAAAATTACTAGTGTAAAACCATTCAAACGGGAAAACCATAGGTCTAATCTATATAAAAAACGAGAACTAGTTCATATTTAATTTTCCTAATAAATGTTTTAATTTTCTGTTTTTCAGAGGAGTGTGATTCTAATCCATGTTATAATGATGCAACATGTCAAGACAAAGAAAATGGATATTTCTGTCAATGTAAAAATGGTTATTCTGGTACCCGATGTGAGGTTCGTACCAGTCCATGTGTCAACTGTAACGGTGGAACTTGTGTAGATGATTATAGATTAGACTCCTACAGATGTATCTGTAATGAAGGCCTGTCTTATGGTTGGTATTAGTTTGGTAGATGTGTTGTCTAAATGACAGTCACCTATACATGTTTGAAATGCAGGGCTTTCTTGTGTCAATAGTAAATAGTTGTAATGAAGGCATTTTTCTGTTTAATATGGTAGATGTATTGATGATTACAGGACTGAACCCTACAAACGTGTCTATAGTGAGGGTCTATGTTAGGTAATACACATATAGACTGTATTAGAATGGTACATATATTGACTTTTTAAAACACGTGACAAAATGAAACAACTAGAAATTTAGAATATTAATATATTTGTACTTCATAATAAAAAATAAGGAAATGTGGTATGATTGCCAATGAGACTACTTTACATGTAGAACAAAGAATGAAGGTGTAAACTATTCATTATATGGCTTTCATTGAAGAGCAAAACCCATATCGATGGTAAGTCAACTTTGGCTTATTTTTCATGTACGGTTCATACTTTAATTGCTCCAACAGTTTCCTAGATAGAGTAATTTATATTATAGGATGTATGTAAACACTAAGTCAGGATGAATTTGTTTATCAATTTTGGAAATAAGCCTGAACTTTGTCTAACTTTAAAACTAACTGTTATGTGTATGCTTATATTTGGGAACCTTTTTTATAGGATACTTGAAGGATGAATAAAAAAATATTGTTTACTCATCAAAAACCAATGCCTAAACACTAAGCATGCAGAGGCATACTTAAGATGTGTTACCATTTTTGTCTCCACTTGACGAAGTCAAAAATCCAGACATAGGTATGCTGTTTCCAGTGTCGGCGATGGCGGCGGCGGCGTCAACAATGTATTAGTTTGTGATTAGGTCTAGTTCATGGTGAACCACTAGTGGTAGGTCAATGATATTTGGTATGCAGTTGTATACGCATTGGCATATCTCATTTCCATGGAGATTATTTAACTCCGCCCCTATTAGTCATGGTCTATAGACTTTGAAAATTTTGCTAAGTTAACATGTATTAGTTTGTGGTTGGGTCAGTTCAAGGGGAACCATTAGTGGTAGGCCAATGTTAATTGGTGTTCAGCTGTATAAGCATTAGCACATCTCATTTCCATGGAGAATATTTGGCCCTGCCCCCTCAGTCATGGTCTATTGACTTTGAAACTTTTGCTTAGTTTACATGATTAGTTTGTGATTAGATCAGTTTATGATGAACTGTTAAGTAAATGATATTTGGTATGCAAATTTATTGGCATTTGCAAGTACATTTCCATGGAGATTATATAGCCCAACCCCTGATCAAGGTTCATTGACTTTGAAACTTTTACATAGTTTACAAGTTAATGTTTGTGTTTAGGTTTGTTTAAAGGGAACAACTTATAATAAGTCAATGGTATTTGGTATGCAGTTGTATTAGCATTGGCACATCTCATTCCATGGAGATTGTTTAGCCATGTACCTTCAGTCATGGTTCATCGACTTTGAATATTTGCATAACTTACATGTTAAAGTATTGCTATTTTAATTTCAACATTTGCATTATCAAAATTACAAAAAGGCTAGACATATCTTATTTTCAGAATATTATTTTTCTCATATTAATTCTTACAGGAGAATTTTGTGACTTCAAACTACATGTCAATACTCTTCCATCAATGCCTCTAAGGGAGGCTTCCACTAATGAAAATTACACAGCCAGTGAATGCAGATCTACTTGTGACAAAGCTTTAAGTAGTTGTCAGGGCTTTGTTTACCAACCAACTGATAAAATGTGCTACATATTGAACAGTTCTTTGATCGGTATAGAGATGTCTACAAACTCAAGCTATGACTTTTATGTTCATCGTTGTATCAGACCTGTAGGTAAGTTTATTAAACAAGTCTTTCTAAAATCAGTTTCCTATTATATTTTAATTTCTAAGATTGCTTTATCCAATAGATAAGTGCACTGGTACTTTATTTTGAATGTTCAAATATGTGTGTGTGAAAATACAAATAACAAATCATCAGATATGTCATTGAGACTTAAATTTAGCGAAATGTTATCATTTTTGTATGTACAACACATGTTTCTGGAATAACTATCAGGTACACTTGTGACCAAATTTGGAAGCCCAAAGTATTAAACCGAGAGGTCCCTCAGAGAACAACCGAAATGTCCTTCAGAGAACAACTGACATGTGCTTCAGAGAACTTCCAAAATGTCCTTCAGAGAACAACCCTAATGTCTTTCAGAGTACTTCCAAAGTGTCCTGCAGAGAACTTCGAAAATGTCCCTCAGAGAACAACCCAAATGTCTTTCAGAGTACTTCCAAAGTGTCCTGCAGAGAACTTCCAAAATGTCCTTCAGAGAACAACCCAAATGTCTTTCATAGAATTTTTAAAATGTCCTTCAGAGAACTTTCAAAATGTCCTTCATAGGCCAACCCAAATGTCTTTCAGAGTGCTTCCAAATTGTCCTGCAGAGAACTTCCAAAATGTCCTTCAGAGAACAACCAAGATGTCCTTCAGAAAACTTCAAAAACGTCCTTCAGAGAACAACCCAAATGTCTTTCAGAGTACTTCCAAATTGTCCTGCAAGTAACATCCAAAATGTTCTTCAGAGAACAACCAAGATGTCCTTCAGAAAACTTCCAAAATGTTCTTCAGAGAACAACTCAAATGATTTTCAGAGAACTTCCAAAATGTCCTTCAGAGAACTTCCAAAATGTCTTTCAGAGAACTTCCAAAATGTCCTTCAGAGAACTTCCAGCATGTCCTTCAAAGAACTTTCAAAATGTCCTTCAGAGAATTTCCAAAATGTCCTGCAGAGAAATTCCAACATTTTCTTCAGAGAACTTCCAAAATGTATTTCAAAAAACTTTCAAAAGCTCTTTCAGAGAACTTCCGAAATTGTCCTGCAGAGAAATTCCAAAATGTCCTGCAGAGAACTTCCAAAATGTCCTTCAGAGAACAACCCAATGTTTTTCAGAAAACTTCTAAAATGTCCTTCAGATAACTTCCAAAATGTCCCTCAGAGAATTTCCAAAATGTCCTTCAGAGAACTTCCAAAATGTATTTCAGAGAACTTCCAAAATGTATCTCAGAGAACTTCCAATATGTCCTTCAGAGAACTTCCAAAATGTATCTTAGAGAACCTCCAAAATGTTTTCAGAGAACTTCCAAAATGTCCTTCAGAGATCTACCAAGTTCACTATGTATATTATTTACAGATGATTTCTACACTCCATGGTTTAATATTGACAGTCCAAATACAGGCAAGGGTGATAATGAGAGAATAAAAAGACTTAGAAGAAAGGTAATGTACTTGATTTTAAATTAACAAAGCAACAGTACATACAATGGTGCAAGTGGAGTTTAGTGTGGTGTCCATTTGTCTGAACTAGTATACATTATTGTTTAGGGGCCAGCTGAAGTCCGCCTCCAGGTGCTGGATTTACTTGCTGCATTGGGCTGTTTTCTGCTCTTTGGTTGGGTTGTCTCTTTGACACATTCCCCTTTTCCATTCTCTAATCTACTGTGGATTCATTTATTTTCGTGGGTATCAATTTTCGTGGATAGGGAAAAAAAGACGTTTCGTGGTATAGGTAAATTCGTGGATCGATGATTACAAAAAAAAAAAAATTCAGATACGTAATTCGTGGATTCCTTTATGATTAAGGAGATCATATAACCTCCTTGGTTTGATCAATAATAAAACAAACAAAAAAGAAGGAATTGATTGAAAAAGTTTTGAATTGTCAAAATCCTCACTTGGTCATTCTAGATTAAAGTGTTCATTGAAAACTTATATTACAATAATAGACAGAGACAACTAATTATTTGTTTGTTTTACAATTTATAAATTCTTTTCGGAATTTTATAAGGCATTCAAAACTCTATGATTGAAAGCTCATTTCCCTAATCACGATATAATAAACAGTCATATAAGTAAAAGGTGTGAAAATAAATGTTCCCTGTCATAAACAATATTACCTACGGGCAATATCCCCGTACTTAATCCTATTGATTTTTTATCACCAGTAAACCAAACTATTACACGGTAATAAACAACTTGCAGTTATTTTCCATGAACAGTTTTAATCAATTTTAAAAAGTAAATTATCACTGATATTTGATATATTTATTATTGATTTAATCAAAATACTTGTATCTTCTTTCAATAAAAACACGTGTTGTGTTACAATGTTTATCGCTAGTCAACACTATAGAAGAACTGCATAACATAACCGGAAATAAAAATCCGACTCCATACACATTTCTCGGGATTATTCTTCGTTGAATTCTTAAATTCGTGGTTCGCTGTGACCCACGAAACCCACGAAAATTGGTATACCACGAATAAAAATGAATCCACAGTATATAGACAATTTATGATTATAATAGACCTTTCAAGCTTAGTTTGTGTATCCATGGTCTATAGTTGTCATATAGATTTAAGTAAAACTTTACCAAGGTATTTTATGTGGCTGCAGCATAAATAAAAAAAATCAAAGCTGAGGAATTATGTTTTCATTACCTTAGCTGTATTTGGCAAAACCTTTGGAATTTTGGGTCCTAAATGCTCTTACTTTATACTATATTTGGCCTTTTTAACTTTTTTTGATTTGAGCGTCACTGATGAGTCTTACATAGACAAAAATGTGTGTCTGGCGTACAAAATTTTAATCCTGGTATCTATGATGAGTTTAATTCATAATCAATATTATATATCAAATCAAATCAATCCATAAATACAATTATCTCCCCTTAAAAACGTGCATTTTACACCTTTTTGTTTGGTCTAGGCATATTTTATAACTTTAATCAGTAATAATGTGGATTGTACTTTTTTGTTAAGTATGACATGGATATGTGTAAGCTTTTTTTTTGTTTTATTTAGTATGGTATATGTATATGTGGAGGTTTTTAGGGTATAGTATGGTATCGTTATATGTGGAGATTTTGTTTGGGTATAGTATGGTATTGTTATATTTTTTGTTTATTTAGTATGGTATGGATATATGTGGAGGAACCAAGCCAGTTGGAGCAGAGTGTCGTGTGTTTAATAAGACACTGACATATCACTATGAGACAGGAGATACGTTTTCATTGCCTTGTGGTACTAAGGGTTTGAAATGTGATAGTGGTCCAAAGAATCCATGTGAGGATTATGAAGTACGGTACAGATGTAGTGCCAATAAAGGTATGTCATACTCTTGTGACATTGAACATTATCAGTCTAAAAAATCAAACTGTTTCTGTTGTCCAAAATGATTAGGTTAAAATTTGATCATATATATGTCATTAAAGAAAAGGAGTAAAGGTTTATTGAAATTTGTTTTTTTGTTATTGTAGTATTTTATTTATTGTCTTTTAAGACTTAATTTTTTTATTGTTTTCCTATTCTACTTCAAGATAAGGAAACCATGGGATGGTAAATACATAAATCTTGGCTAAAGTGTCTACAGACACAGTTCATAATAATTTCTGTTTAAAGTTTTCAAGGGGAGAACATGTACAGACCTATTATTCTGTGATTATAATGATAGTCCATGTCAGAATGGAGCTACATGCTTCAATGAAGTTGGTGGATTCCGCTGTAATTGTAAACCTGGTTATACTGGTTCCCTGTGTCAACATAACATTGATGACTGTCCATCTGTTAACCCTTGTCTGAATGGAGGAAAATGCAAAGATATTCTGAATGGCCATGAATGTGACTGTCCAAAGGGATACACAGGTATGTAGGAATTAAATAAGCACAGAATTTCACTTTAAGGTATTGTTATTCTATTATTTATTATCAAGCATACTGCAAAAGACGTGAAAATTTAAATACAGCGCAAAAAGTACATTCATATTTTTTTTGCAGGAAGCATCTGTCAGAACAATAAACCTGACTGTTACTCTGGTGCCTGCTCTAATAGAGGAACCTGTATTGATGGTGTGAACACATATTCCTGCCAATGCTTTGATGGGTTTACAGGAAGCAATTGTTCAGTATGTTCCCTTAAAATATATTAAAAGAATCGGATGTTTATATTGCACATTAAAAGTATTTCTATGATTAGATAGAAAAGGAAAATATTTCTTTTTCCATTTTTCTGTTTCCAAGGCTACAAAATTCTAAGATTTTCTTTATTTTTGTGTGCAATACAACTTATTACTATTTGTTCACCATTACGGACCATCACAGACATTCCAGTAAAATTTTGACGTCATATGAGAAAATATCTGCAACAACGCTAAAAGTTGTTGTATGCATGACGTCAATAGTTAAAGTATCTCAAAAGTTCGGGTTAAGTGTCCCTGAAATAGTCTTGTAAGTGAGATATCTGTATGGTATTCCTTTTTGATGTCTTTTTTACTATTTTTATAGTACTTAACGATTCAAAAGACAGGAGCGTCTGTCAGACAAATGTCAATTGTACTTTATAATATATTCTGAAAAATTATTTGTCCCAAAACTTCAGGGAATAATGAATTTATGATCCCCATTTTGTTCATTTATAAGTTTTCATTAGTGTGCTAAACCTGCTAAAAACTAGTGTTCATGATGCTGTTGATTCCATCTAAGATACATGTTGAGTGAAACTCAATGATTGCCACTGTTACACATTCTCATATATTCAGAATAGAGAAATATTGTATGACACAATATTATGCTCAGTGATAGAATTGGTTCCCCTAATGTCTTTAGACAGCTTGTAGCCAAATTGATGTTCTTTTCTGGTGATTTACAAAAACTGTGCTTTATCTTTTTTTATTGCAGTTTTTTTTCATGCCATGGTAATAGAAACTAAGGAAAATGGCAAGGACCTTTATGTGGACAAGCAATACACATATTGATGATATAAAAATAATCATCTTGGGAGAAAAGTTTCAACCTGTCAAGACTTTGAGAAAATAATGTTCATTAAAGCAAACTACAAATTTTACTTTCAAATACGTTTATGGAGAGCATTTTTTATTTTTCAGTTAGAAAAAATTCCTTTTAGGAATAATAAATATTGAAGTAGTGACCTAATAAAGCTGTTTGTAAACCTAAATTAATTCATTCTATTTATAGACAAACATAGACGATTGTGCCATAAATCCCTGTTTGCATGGTGGCAAATGTCAGGATGGACAGAATGATTTTCTTTGCACTTGCCCAACAGGGTGGACAGGCAAGAGATGTGAAAATATTATCAACCTCTGTGAGATGAAAAGTCCATGTCCTTCATCAGCTAATTGTACATATCTTTTCAATGATTATTATTGTAGGTAAGTATAACATTTTATTTTTTTGCTCTTAATGGACATTTTGTATATGAATTTAATGTCTTAAATATGATTTGAAGTAGTTACAAATGCATATATACATCTTTCATCTCAGTTATTTGAAATTTTTATGTAGGTTGTTCATGGAGAATGTTGTGTAATGTAAGAATTTCAAGCCAGCACAATATTTTTGATATAGTTTGGAATGATCAATCTTTACATGTTGGATGGGATCCCTTTCTAACTTATTATACCCCACGCAACGAGTTGCGGAGGGTATAATGTTTTTGACCCGTCCGTCTGTCTGTCCGTCTGTCCGTCAGTCCTGTTTCTTGTCATCACAACTCCTCTCAAACCACACAACAGAATTTCACGAAACCTTTTTAGATAATAAGGCATACTATGTAGTTGTGCATATCGACAGGAAATTACGATTCAATTTTTTTTCTAGGAGTTACGCTCCTTTGAACTTATTTGCCCAATATACTACTGCAACCTTTTGTCATCTCAACTCCTCTCAAACCACACAACAGAATTTCATGAAACCTTTTCAGATAATAAGGACATACTAGTACGTAGATGTGCATATCGACAGGAAATTAAGATTCAATTTTTTTTCCCAGGAGTTACGCCCCTTTGAACTTATTTGCCCAATATACTACTGCAACCTTTTGTCGCAACTCCTCTCAAACCACACAACAGAATTTAATGAAACTGTGTAGATAATAAGGACATACTATGTAGATGTGCATATTGACAGGAAATTATGATTCAATTTTTTTTTCTGATACAATTTTTTTTTCTTACACTTATTTTATTTCTCCAATGACAATGTGGGGACGTGGGGTATGTGAGCGCGCTCACTAAGGTTCTTTCATGAATATTGTTTTGAAAACAATTAAGGTTTTTTTGTCTTGCCTTGACGGAGTCAAAAAGCGAGACATAGGTATGCTGTTTCCAGCATCAGCGGCATCAACAATGGATTAGTTTGTGATTAGGTCTAGTTTATGGTGAACCACAAGTGGTAGGTCAATGATATTTGGTATGCAGTTGTATTAGCATTGGCACATCTCATTTCCATGGAGATTACTTGGCCCTGCCCCCTCAGTCATGGTCTATTGACTTTGAAATTTTTGCTTTGTTTACATGTATTAGTTTGTGATTAGGTCAGTTTATGGGAAAACACCAGTGGTAGGTCAATGATATTTGGTATGCAGTTGTATAAGCATTGGCATATCTCATTTCCATGGAGATTTTTTGGCTCAGTCCCCTTAGTCATGGTCTATTGACTTTGAAATTTTTGCTTAGTTTACATGTATTAGTTTGTGATTAGTTCAGTTTATGGGGAAACACCAGTGGTAGGCCAATGTTAATCGGTATTCAGTTGTATAAGCATTAGCACATCTCATTTCCATGGAGAATATTTGGCCCCGCCCCCTCAGTCATGGTCTATTGACTTTGAAACTTTTGCTTAGTTTACATGTATTAGTTTGTGATTAGATCAGTTTAACATGAACTGCTTATGTATGATATTTGGTGTGCAAATTTATTGGCATTTGCAAGTATCGTTTCCATGGAGATTATATAGCCCCACCCCCTCATCATGGTTCATTGACTTTGAAACTTTTACATAGTTGACAAGTTAATGTTTGTGTTTAGGTTTGTTTGAAGGGAACAACTTATAATAAGTCAATGGTATTTGGTATGCAGTTGTATTAGCATTGGCACATCTCATTTCCATGGAGATTGTTTAGCCATGTACCTTCAGTCATGGTTCATTGACTTTGAATATTTGCATAACTTACAAGTTAAAGTATTGCTATTTTAATTTCAACATTTGCATTATCAAAATTACAAAAAGGCGAGACATATCTCTGTGATAACAGTTTATCATTGGTTATAGTATTGTGATGAGTGTTTAGAGGAGGGCCATTTGATTTGGGATGTAGACTGTAAAATTCACAGATGCTAGAAGTCCTTTTCAGTTAATATGACTTTCTGACATATTGACCTTAATTTCTTGTGTCAAATTGCTAAAAGGAGTCTTTTGAAAATCTTTATTGCCTGTATTTTTATTCTGCTTTCTTGTATATAAATATATATATATATGTCTAAGCATTTCTTTATAATAGAATCTTGAAATTCTTGTTACTTAAAATAGTGAGACTTCATATGATGTATGTTATGACATTAATCTGTTTTCTGATTATAGATGCCCAGAGAAAACATATGGGAATTACTGTGAGAATTCCTTAGATACCTGTCGTGATGTTAATCCATGTATAAATGAAGGGAAGTGTGACAATGCTGCTTTGCCGAACTGTGATTGTAATAATGGTCCGTATTCTTTAACTGTTTGTAACTTTCTTTGATGATTTGTCATTTTACCTTTTTTGAAAATAATGTCTGTGAAGTTATCATAATTTTAAGAATGGGAATGAGGTGGATATTTAATAACACTTTAAATGTAAGGTCTCCAACATTATAAAATTGTTGATACTCATCAATAACTGATATTTCCCAAGGAACATACTGTGAATTCATTATTATTCGTGGTGTACCAATTTTCACGTATTTCGTGGGTATAAGAGAACCATGAAATTATATCTTCAATAAATTAAAAAAATTTCTATAGGCTAATATGCAAACTTTGGCAACACCACAAAATCAAATATCCAGGAAAATACAATTTTTCCTCCATCTTCGAAAATTTGGTACCCAAGAAAATAAAAGAATCCACAGTATTTGGAAGTAATCCGTAATTTGCATATTAATCTGGTTTATTGTGTCTTCGAAGGAAATTTTGTAATCTGTAAAATTGATATTTTGATTAAATGTCCTAACAGATTGTGTGAAAACAAATTAGACTGGAATTGTGGTGAATGATAAAAAAAGCATTAATGCAAAGCTTCTACCCTCCATTTTTGAGATTCTTGAGAGACATATCTTTATCAGTCTTTCACTACAGTTCAAGTAGAGACTTTTAGAATTTATGGTTCAAATGGTAAGTACCGTAATCGGGCTTGTATAGTTCGCACTGGTACATAGTCTGCACCCCCTTCTCCCCACGAAATTTCAGGTAAAAAAACTTTTTGTAACTGTTAGAAAAGGTCTAATGAAACTCCGGTAATTTTAAATCGTGTGTGGTCGTTTGCGGTATTTTCTTGGAAAAACCTATTTTCAATCACCAAACAGAAGCTGAAACTGCTTGTAAATGGTTCTAAAACACTTCGCGCTGGTTAAAATAAGTCTAAATCACACAAAAAACAATTTAGAAACTTGTGTATGTTTAAACCGGAAGTTTGAAAAGCATGTGTAAAAGATGAAAAAACCCAGTGAGAGTCGAAATCCGTACATAATAGATATCACTATAATACGACTTTGAAAGTAAAACAGTTCCCTCCTTAAGTAAAACAGTGTTTAATATATCTATCACATTAATATTTGAAGGGTCTTAATCTAATACAAAACATATTTATCAATAGGAAACACCAAAATGGAACGAATAATAACCGATTACGTTTTGTAGTTTACACATCGTAAGCTGGTTTACGGTTGTCTTTTTTTACTTTTTTTGTAAGATTTCATTCAAGTAGATACCAGTTTATATTTAGAAATGCATTGAAAAGAAACGAGAATTTTGTAATGAAGCATTTAATTTTTAAAATTATCAGTATTAATTTGATATTGAATAAAAATAACTGATTAATATGGATTGGGTAAAATTATTGGTTTGAAAAATGATAAGAGCACCCTCTACAATGTCAATAACAAACATGGCGGAACTTAAACAAACCACATCGCGAAATTGAAATTTTCTCTCTTATTTCTTGCTTATTCTACTCTATAGTCCGCACCCCTGCTGTCAGGGTCAATTTTGGAGAATAAAACTGCGGACTATACAAGCCTTTTAACGGTAATAATTTTTTTTGCAAGTTTGTTTAAAAATCCCTTTTGGTTTGAAGATAATCTTTCAACAGTAATTTATTTTTTTAAAATGTTGTTACAACAGCTTTTAAGATTGATAAAAAAAACAGAGCTTCTGAGGTTTTAAAATGATTTTTTTTTATATTGATAGATTACACAGGAAAAGGTTGTCACACATTGATCAATCACTGTGTTGAGAAAGACAAATGTAAAAATGGAGGCACATGTCAAACATTAGCTGATGGAGTTGGTTTCAAATGTATTTGTAAATCAGGTTAGTATTATATTGTTGGATATGTCCAACATTATCTGGTTGTATTGGGTTCAAGTATCCTTATAAAGCTGGCGAGTTCAATTGACTAACAGGCAATATAAAGTTTACCTGCAAAGTTTCATAAAAGTGTTATGATATGGCTGTTAAAGTATCGTCCATGGTGTAGATTCTTAACTGGCTGTATTTATTTATTTATAATATATTTTGGGGGTAATTATAATGGGAGTAATATTTTCAGGAATGAAAAACAGTTAATAGGGTGGTGGTATAACAAAACAATTATAGACTGGATTCTTGGTCAACAGCTGTTGTGTGGCCCCCAGCCTTTGGCTTTGGACAACAGTTTAATCTTCTGACCAAACAATACAGCTGTTGACCTCATACCCAGTCAATAACTGTACTATTAACATTTTTTGATAATTGTATCAGGTTTTACAGAGTTAACTTTGAATCCAAAATTGATGTCTGTACTAATATGTTTGGGTAATGATTCTTTATTTCACTGGAGTTAACTGTTAAACAATCATTGATGACTGAACTAAAGTGTTTAGGTAATGTTTTTAGGGTTTACTGGAGTTAACTGTGAGACCAATATTGATGACTGTGTAGCTGTAAAGTGTCCTATAACTTCTGTATGTAGAGACATGGTTAATGATTATTACTGTAGATGTAACCTTGGTTTAACTGGTGAATACTGTGCAAGAGGTTAGTGTATTTATCGATATGATGTAATGAAGTATTATTGCTGTTATCTTGGTTTTGGTAATGAATACTGTAGAAGGTTAGTCTATTGATAGATGTGATGCAACTATTTCTGTTTTGAACTTTTTATTGATGTGATGCAAGTGTTTGGCTTTGCAAACTTTAAGTATAATAATCAATTACAGCGGAAAAGGATTGAAATCTCAAAATGCTAGTTCATGTTCCATGTGTGATAGTGATTGTCCCATGTCATGAACCTCAGTGTCTGAGTGATTGTCTAGAGGGATCTTTCTGGGTTTTTTTTTTATAATTTATGGAATTTTGTGTGAATGGATGATTTTTCATAGTCTCTGTTAAAGTTATTTACAACTTTTCTAGACCAACATTTTTAAGGCTTATTGTATAGAAAATTTTTTTGTTGAATACAGCATTTTAACCTCGAGATGTCTTTTGCTTTTTGTCTCAACTCAATGAAATTTGTGGAAAGAGAGTCATAGCCTGAAATGAAATCATGGTTTCCAGAATAAAATCTCACAACTGACATTCACGGGCTTATATAAATATGAATATTCTCTTTAATATGAATTTTTGTATGTTTTTGTAGAATTAGACACAAACTATGATTTGTTGTTCTATTTACCTGCCCATAATGGCTATGCTGCCTTGCCTTACCCCATAAAGCTGACTGGTAGTGGTATAACAATCAGTATGTGGGTTAAATTCCAAGTCAGTGGTAACAAACAGATATATTTTACCTTGTATAGTGTTAGGTAAGTATTTATCAAACTGAATGCTGATATGTATATCTGTAGCTAGTTAGAAAAATAACATTACAAACATACAAAAAATGAAAGAAAATTGGAAAAAAAAAAACGAAGCACATATAATTGTTTATTTTTTTTAAATATCAGAAACCTCTAGTGGTAGTGAAAACAAGTTGAAAATATCTTTGCATTCATAAAAGAGAACAACTAGTTTTATTTTAGGTATGAAGGAAAATTTATAGTAAGCCATTCACTCCAACATTGGAAATGTATAGAAAATAGTTTTTATATAACCGCAAAAAATTTTGCGGTCGTATATTGGTATCACGTTGTCGTCAGCGTCGTCCGAAGACATTTGGTTTCCGGACAATAACATTAGTAAATGTTAATAGAAATCTATGAAATTTAAACACAAGGTTTATAACCACAAAAGGAAGGTTGGGATTGATTTTGGGGGTTATAGTCCTAACAGATTAGGAATAAGGGACCAAAAAGGGGCCAAAATAAGCATTTTTCTAGTTTCCAGACAATAACTTGTAAAATTTTTTTTTTTTTTTAATTTTTTTTTTTTTGGGAGGGGGGGGGGGGTCAATTCGCAACAGCATAGTGTATTGCACAAAAGCAAAAAATTGAATATAAATTCAAATCATATAACCAATTCTAAGTTCTTTGACTACAGTTATTCTGTGTCAGAAACCTATTATGTGTCAAATATTTAATAACAATCCAAATTCAGACCTGTATCAAGCGCGAATGTTGTGTCCATTTTTGCCCCAACTGTTCAGGGTTGGACTTCTGCTGTCGTATCCAGCTGTGCTTGGCAAAGCAATTTATTTTTAAGTGCTCTCAATTCCTCACAATTATGATTTATTAAGCTGTGTATACTGTTGTTCTGAAAATCTGACATGGATGTTACACTTAAACTTATATCACATACCCAGTACAGTTTGCCCTGTATCAAATACTTTAGTACACATTTAGAACACCTCTAGAAATATCATGTTTAAATATATGATAAAGTTAACAATACATGATAAAATTTGTATTGCATCCTTAATTTATAACACATCAAATCTTCATCAATATATACCCTCTTGTCTTTGGTCCTTGGTTGAAATTTGATCTCTCAATCAGGTTGAAGCTACATACAATCCATTTTTTGCTATTTATTATTGTCTATATTGTGGTTTGGTAGCACAAGGCCCCAAATCAATGATAATTTTCACAAGAAAGTATAAATACCACAAATTTGTCACTTGATTCACTATAATTTGACATTTATATTTTGTAGTGCTATGAATAGTATTGAGAATCCAGAGGCAATGATAGTGTTTCATAATATGGGTGTAGATGTTACTGACCAAAGTGGAAAGAAAACAATCACACAGAACTACTTTACAATTGATAATGGGGAATGGCACAATGTTGTTTTTACTTGGGATGAAAAATCTGGTGGAAATTATATCATTAACAGTATAAGTCAAGGAACAAATACTGCAATCATTTTTAAAAACAACTTTAATCATAAGTAAGTCTGATAATTGTCTATGTTTGTTTTTAAGCAACCAATAAAATTTTGAGAGTATATAGTCATCTCTTAGTCCTTACATCTGTCTGTATGTCTGAAACAAATTGTTTCTGATTAGTAACTTGATTTTCCCTTGCTTTTTAGCTCACCGGGGCCCGAAGGGCCCGATGTGAGCTTATGCCATCACTTGTCGTCCGTCGTCGTAAACTATTTAAAAAATCTTCTCCTCTGAAACTACTGGGCCAAATACCTCCAAACTTTAACTAAATGTTCCTTAGGGTATCTAGTTTATAAATTGTATCCGAAGTTTTGATCCATCGACAAACATGGCCGCCATGGCTAAAATAGAACATAGGGGTCAAATGCAGTTTTTGGCTTATATCTCAAAAACTAAATCTTTTAGAGCAAATGTGACATGGGGTAAAATTGATCAATTGGTCAAGATCTATCAGCTTAGAAATTTTCAGATGAATCGAACAACCCATTGTTGGGTTGCTGCCACCGAATTGGTAGTTTTAACAAAATTTTGCAGTTTTTTGTTATTATTTTGAATATTATTATAGATATATATAAACTGTGAGCAGCAATAATGTTCAGCAAAGTAAGATCTACAAAAAAGTTAATATGACCATAATTGTCAATTGACCCCTTAAGGAGTTATTGCCCTTTAAAGACAATTTTACACAATTTGTTCATCAAGTTTTCTTACATTTAAAAATCTTCTCCTCTGAAACTACTGGGCCAATTACCTTCAAACTTTAATAAATGTTCTTTAGGGTATCTTGTTTATAAATTGTATCCGAAGTTTGTATCCATAGACAAACATGGCCACCATGGCTACAAAAGAACATAAGGGTCAAATGCAGTTTGTGGCTTATATCTCAAAAACTAAATCTTTTAGAGCAAATGTGACATGGGGTAAAATTGTTTAATTGGTCAAGATCTATTGGCCCTGAAATTATCAGACGAATCGAACAACTTATTGTTGGGTTGCTGCCACCGAATTGGTAGTTTCAACAAAATTTTGCAGTTTTTTGTTATTATTTTGAATATTATTATAGATATATATAAACTGTAAGCAGCAATAATGTTCAGCAAAGTAAGATCTACAAAAAAGTTAATATGACCAAAATTGTCAATTGACCCCTTAAGGAGTTATTGCCCTTTAAAGACAATTTTACACAATTTGTTCATCAAGTTTGCTAACATTTAAAAATCTTCTCTTCTGAAATACAGGTGAGCGATTCAGGCTCTTGAGAGCCTCTTGTTTTGTTTTGGTTCCAGGCATAGTAATACACAATTGTTTACATGAAATTTTATACCCTACATACCTGCCAAATTAAACAATTGCAATCTCTTGTCGTGATTGCATGATCACGAAACAGTAGTCAATCATCCTCATGTTTAATGGTCTACTGTAAACAGAAAAAGAATAACAACGAAATATCCCAAAAGCATGATTTTGTGAAAATCTTCTCTTAAATTTGTCAGACTTTTCCTAAGGGAGACAAACATGAACATCAATAATTATCCAATCAGAAATAGTTTTTCATGCGATCACTTATTAATCTCCAAGATTTGAAGAGTGTTTAGAGTTTATATCTTTTGGTCTCTGGTGGATAGTTGTCTAATTGGCAATTACTGTGGATTCATTTAATTTCGTGTGTACCAATTTTTGTGGATGAAAAAAAAATATATTTTTGTGACTATTTGATTTCCTGGTCTTGCCAAGGTCTGCAGAAAATTTGTTCTTCATTGAACATTTAAATTATTGGTTCACCTGTACCCACGAAATCCATGAAAGTTATGGTATCCCACGAGTAATAATGAATCCACAGTAAACCTCATCTCCTTATTTTTATATTGTACATATATAGCTAATGTACAGTACATTGTATTAACTTCTAAATGTTTTTCAGTATTTGGATAGTTATTGGTGACAACTTAGGACCAAACACAAAACAGTCAACTAATGAAGGCTTTAAAGGGTACATCAGTCAGTTAAATATTTACAACAGAGCTTTAGACTTTGAATCAGAAATTGCTGTAATTCATTCCAAACCTCAAGTGGTTTTTATAGGAGCCATACTTAGATGGGATGAATTTGTCTTGCACAAAGGTGTACGACCTGTTTACCCATCACATGCGTCAAGAGAAGGTTGTGTTTTGGGCAAAAGTTGTATCAAAAAAGGTATGATTTATTAGAATATAGCTAGTTACTTGTTTCCAAATACTGATGATAAAAGAGAAGTTAGTTGACCTTGGAAAGGAAAAAATATGTTAGAGCCATTATTTAGGTCAATATCCCTAATGAACCTCAAAATGAGGAACACAACTCTAAATCCTCTATGCTATGATATTGGACATGATGCTATTTTTAGTAATTGACTGAGCTTAACCATTTGTTGTTTTTTTTAAGAGCATGTACAGTACAATAAAATCAATGATCATTACAGAAATATTAATACATTATAGGCATAAACAAAACACCGCCATCAATTGTTAACTGTCCATCAGATTTGCATATCTACAGCAAAGAAAGATTTATAACAGTTTCCTGGAAAGAGCCTACTATTAAAGGAGCTAGCACTGTAAACAGAAGGTATAGGTCTGGTTAGTGTCCTGTTATAAAATTTATATTTAAGGTACTAACAAAAAATATATTTAAGGTACTATAAAAAATTTATTTAAGGTATTATTACTATAAATAGAAAAACTACAATCCTGTTAATCATAGAACTTTCATTAGAAAATGCTTGAACTGGTATATTGGTAGCTGCACATCCAAGAAGAATCCTGATGATGATACAGTATTGTCATAAATTAAAGTACAGGAAGACACAATAATATACATTCTCTTATGGTTATGGCCTGTTATCTATCTCTTGCACAAAATTATATTTCTCATATCACACTGCATGGTGTGTGATACGAAAAGTGATACCGAAAATGCATTAATTTGCTTATCCAGCATTGTGAAATTTCTATTGGCTATTAGTTGGGTCATTGATGACTTTTGCAGGTCAAAACAATGTACATTTCCTCCATGGCAACGGAGATATGTTAATTCTTCAAAAATATACAAAACACTTTTCCCATGGAAATCTAATTTTTTTCAAATTTTTATTACGTTCTGAATCGTACAAAAAGTTTTAAAATGTCTTATTTTATTGTTTGACGACAGAACACATCGTATGACGTCATACTGCTATTTGCAAAAGATTAGACCAACGAGTCACAGAGTTTTTTTTTAAAAAAAAAAGGATGTTTACTATAAGCGAAATAGGTTTAACAGCTTGTGAGAATTGGATATCTCTTGATATCAACACAAGGCTTGTTTATTATTATAATGTAATTAAATAACTTGAGTTGATATCAAGTGATATCCTATTCTCACTCATTATGAAACCTATGAATAGTGCCCAACAAACTCGTCAAAGAATTCATTCAAGGTAGAAAAAACAAACAAAATTTTTTAAACTTGCTTATAGTACAAACTGGTGAATTAAACAACACGAGTATAATTATATAAGTTTAATGAAGCTAAAAAGAAATCTTCACAATTTAAAAATTGTAAGAAGGGAAACTTTGCTACCTCTTATTCCATTTTCAAAATAGCATCATTTGATATGATCTTTTTTCAGGAGATACCTTCCTATGGGGTAAATACCAGATGATCTATGAAGCCATTGATGATGATTCTAACTCACAATTCTGTAATTTTAACATTTATGTTCAGTGTAAGTAATAATTAACTATACGTTGCAATTTACAATACAAATTTTGAAAATTTCCATTGTAGGGTAATAGAATTATTACTCATAGCTCACATTTTTTTGTTGTAACACTGAGGAACATATTTATTTCGATAGCAATAAATCACACTTAAGCCATATGATATATTGCTATGACTTGATGTCTGTCATAGTGGTAAACTTGAAATTTGCTCTGAAACCATAGAGCCAATTTTAACCAAAAATGGTCAAAATCAACCTAAGGGTGTATACTTTGAAACAATCTTGATAATCTCTTCATAATAACCCTGTAACTTGTCTTATCTTGCCTGGGAATTATATATTTATATGCTAAACCATGGGGAATAACACATTTTTAAAAATCTTCACCAAAAACAGTTCCAAACTGGATCAAAGACCAGAATCATCCCTAGGGTTTCTAATGATTTTTTTTTTTATCCCATATGGTATGCCTGTCTGTAAATCTACAAACATGTCTGATGATACAATGAATAAAAGATGGGGTTAATTGCATTTAATTGTAATTAATTTTGATGATATCCAGCATATGTAAATGAATTGTTATTAAATTGCCCACTAAAAATGCTTTTCTGAAAATCTAGGCAATCTGATTGAAATAAGCTGTTAGTCGGGTTCCTACCTGCTACAGTTACACTACTACTAAGTTAAAGTTATTTTACATAACAATAGTTTCCTTTTCTTAAGATGTGAGATCAGCAAAATGTGAAAGATTTCTAAATGATTTTTAAGTACTTTTTAGAGGAATATTTTTCTCACAGCTGATGTTTGTAATAAGTTACCTGACCCTTGGGGAGGTGAACAGATGTGTGAAAAAAAAGGATCATATCAAGGGTGTACAATCAGATGTAAAAATACTAAAACAGAAAGAATCTCACATTATCATCCCATACTGTATACATGTGGACCATCAGGAAGTTGGAATCCAGCAATGCCATCTCATCCATTGCTTTACCCACCATGTGGACGTAAGTTTGTTAGAACAATACTTTCTTGTTACAGGTTTAATTTTTGGGTGACCAGTTTACGTGAGTAGGCTCAAATGACATGTAGGAAATATATATATATATATATATATATATACTGGCATCACTTAGTAATCTGTCATCTGTTGCTCATTTTCAATCTTCGGAAACTTAAAACAAATGGGTGGATATAACCTAATTCTGTCTTGAAACATCCTTAGTATGAACAGAATTTATAACTGATAATGTTTTTTTTCAACAGAGGTGGATTTAAAGGGTGGGGTGGTGGCCAGTATTTAACAAATAAATTTGTTAATCAAAAATTTTATATTGATGCTTTTATATTTTCAGCAATAAATGGATTTCCCAAAAAGAGGCTTAATATAGTTTTATCCTATCCTAACATAACAACAGCAAACTGTCCTGGTGTAAAAGAAGCTCTGGAAGTAGAGGTCAAGAAGTCCGTTAAAAAGATTAATGCCTACTGGGACTCGAAACTATGTACTAAAGCAGATTGTTCTAATACAACTGTGGTTGTTGATTGTGGAACTCTTGCTGATAGACGCAAAAGAGCTGTCAGTATAACCAACGTTCAGATTACTATACCTAAGTCTCTGTAAGTCAAGTTATCATGTTTCTCTAATAATTATTGTTTTGCTCCATTTCTTAATACTCCTTTTGATGTCCAGCTAGCCAAATTGGTGTTAACAACATTATCTGTGCACAGCACTATATTATTTCACTGATATAGATAGAAGAAAGGGGGGGGGGGGGGGTGAGGGTTGAGTACTCCAAAGAACTTGTTTAACCCTGGCCCTCCATATGTGCTTTTCCCAAACCATAAATCATAAAACTTGTTGGTGATCACTTCATATCTTTTCATTTCATTGTTCAATAAAGTTTCAAATAAGAGAAGGTAGATGAGCTCAACTATCCATTTATTTTTTTTAAAGATAGGTAATGCATAGTGGTCCCTCAACTGTTTTTGAGCTTTAAAGTTGTTTTTAGTTGTACATTTTACTAGAGGCTATTTGGCGTTGCACCCACAGTCATGGTGCATTAACTTTGAAAGTTTTGCATATTTATATGTTAATGAAGATGATGCCATTTTAATTTCAACATTTGCATTATACATCTCAACATTTTAACATGAGTTTGTCAGTTTCTCAGAAACCAGAAGAAATAAGTGAACTGACTTTGGTCCATAGAATCTTTGTAAGGTTTACATGTCCATCTGAAAGAGATCACCTAACTTTGACCTCATTAAGATAAGATAAGATAAGAAAACTTTATTTTGATTCGGCATAAGTTAAAAGACACAACACAAGCTCTAAGGAGCTTTTGACCGAATATAAAAACATATACATAACATAAAAACAGTCTAATTTGACATATAAAACAACCTGTTATACGAAGTTAAATCTCACTTACATAGCATGCAATAAAAATTTAGCAACAAAATTAAAATGAAATAAAACATGCTAGACCAGAGCAACCAAAAGCAACATAAATAATAAACATCTCAAGAATTATCTGCACGCAGAACAGCGACATTCCAAACCGTTACAGGACTGAACAAGACTTTTAAAATGTGAAAAACTATTTTCAGTCCTGAAATGGTTTGGAAGGCTGTTCCATAAAGTAGCGGTAGCAAATTTGAAAGATTTTTTACCGTAACGGGTTGACTTTACCTGTGGAACATCCAGAATATTTACATACCTGAAAGAATACTTAGATTTTTTGACACTCACCAAATTTTGTAAGCACACAGGAGCCATATTATTTATAATCTTAAAAGTTTCTAGAGCCATTGTTCTAATCCGTCTAATCTGCAAGGAGGGCACCTTCGCTTTAAGTAAGAGGTCCTCGTAGGGGCTGGTAAAATCCTCATATACAAAGCGGAGTGCTCTTTCCTGCACCTTTTCTAATTTTTTGGAATTTTTCTCAGTGCAAAAATGCCATGCCAAAGGACAAAAATTAAAATTACTAAGAATAAAGGTATGAAAAATAGTAAGTTTACTAAGTCTATCCAAAACTGAGCCCAAACGTTTTAAAACATTTAATTGCTGTGATGCCCTCCTACAGATTGAGCTGATATGAACATCAAAATTTAACTGATAGTCAATTTCAATGCCTAATAATTTTACTGTTTTTTCACATGTAAGGTTTGAGTTTTGAATATGTATAGATGGGTTTTGCTCAAAGGTCTTTTTGCCAACAGCCAAAACTTGAAACTTATCGGGATTTGCTTGCATTTTATTCACCCGGAACCACTCAATAAGTATTTTTGACTCAGATTCCAAAGTTGAAATTAATAAATCAAAATCTGGAGTACAGAAAGACAAAGTATTGTCATCTGCATAGTTATATAAACTACCATTTTTAACAAAAAGAAAAATATCATTTATAAATATGTTAAACAACAATGGCCCTAGTATAGAACCCTGTGGTACGCCTTTATGGATGTCAGCCCAACCACTCAGAACATTGTTGACTTTAATCTGTTGTTTACAATTGGATAAATAGGACTTTAAAAGAGCAACTGCATGGGGGGATACACCATATGCTGATAATTTATCTAGCAAGATATTGTGAGGCAGGCAGTCAAAAGCCTTAGAAAGATCCATTAATACTGCTGCAATGTACTGGTTTTTATCAAGAGCTTCACGCCAATCTTCTAACACTCTGAGAAGTGTGGTCTGACATCCATGTCCACGTCTAAAAGCACACAAAAAAGGATTAAATATTTTATCAAAGTATTCAGTTAGTTGAATTTCATATATTTTTTCAAAGATTTTAGAAAATATGGGTAAGACATATGTCATGGCTTGTTAATCATCATTGTGATGCCATGCTTAAGTAAGTTAAATAATAGGCAAGGTCAACTATACTTGGTCTTCAGAGCTATTATTAGGTGAACAGTTACCTCTTTTATGACCTCATTGTTAAGGTTCATTGATTCACATTGAGTTTAGCAATTATATCTTTAATTTGTGAATGTTACAAGAGTGCAATGATTAGGATAATGTTTGTATTTGGATCTCTTTATTTTCAACATAACATTTATACATCATCAATTACTGAAGCATTTCTGCATGTTTATATAATGATTTTATATAAAAATATGGAAAACACAAAAAATGACCAACATATAATTTCGAAATTTCAGATAGAAATGATCTACAGTGATTTAGTTCCTGACTAATTATTATTTGTATTAAAGGAAAAATTTGAAAGATTTAACCATTAATCAGGAAGTTCTGTCAGCTGAGGACGTAATTAGACGGGAAGTTTTAGATTCTAAAAATTTTGATTTTTCTGTAAGTACTTTATTCATAAGATGAAGTTGAAGATTAACACTAGTCATTTGTATAATGTCCGGTAAAAGTCCGGCTGGGCAAAGGATGAAACGGTCATCTACTTTTTAGTTTTCAAGGCTTTAAGAGACGGTCATTTTAACATAATTCGTGATCTTTTTGACCCAACGTTTTGCCTTTAACAGCCACACATTTCCGGTCATAAAAGTGACATGATCATTAAGTACTATCAAAACAACCCCTACTTTAATACCTTCTCATTTTAATCAAGGCTAATTAGTTGTCAAACAGCTGAAATTTACCTGTTCAGGTGACAGGTAAACAATTTAGAGCTGGACATTGATCGGTCTATTCAAAGTTATTTTCTTACATTTCAGCGGTTTGCATCTAATTAATTTAGTCAAAGATTTAAATTATCAGAAAAGCGTTTACAAATATGATTTGATGAAAAAATTAAAAAGGTGAAAATGAAAAATCGTCATAACCACGTTGTTTGAACCTAGAGACATGTCTCTGTTTGAACTAGTACACGTGTGCGCATGTGCGCAGGTGTGAAATTTAATTATGGATCCTAATTTCTTCAAAAAATGCTTAAATTGTCATTGATACCTTTATTTCACGTTTATTTTTGACAACGTTATTTTGCACAAATAAAGAGTCTAAGGCAGATATAAGTATGTTGCACACTTCGAATGATGCACTGCCAATTTAACAGTTTACGTCAGAACTTCGAATTTGAATCAAAGAAAGTTTAATATTTTTTTTTTTAATGTCATTGTCAATCATTGGGATGGCCAACTGATTACCATAATTGCCTTTTGTTTATTTAGTCTTAAGGGATTAAAATCGGGATAATATATAAAATGTTCGGCTGGCTAAAAATAATTTTGGAAGCCCTGGCCAGTGCTATTATGCAGTAATTTTTAAGATATTTTACATTGAAAATAAATGAATGAATTACTATCCTCACTACAAGATGGTGTTTAAAAATAAATAAATAGAATATTAACCCTTTGTAATACATAAAACATAAACTACATCACTACTACATGTAGTCTCTGGAATGCAAATTTTCTCTCATTTGAAAAAAAGTACTACATACCTGTCAACCTTTGAAAATGAAAATGCAGGTCATGACCTGCATTGAAGAAGAAAATCTTGGTTCATAACGTGTACAAACTTTTTTCAGATGAATTTAAGTATTTAGGGGACATTTTTTTATATTTTAAATCAAACTGTTTCCAAAACGTGTTTACATGGTTAAGTATTAACTGAAAATAATTCAAAACTTTAATATTATTTTTTCATTGCATTTATAAACCTTTGAAGTATTAATGAATTTTACTATATCAATTCAAGTCAAGCCAATAGTTTTAAAACAACCCACAAGTCACAAGTTTTATAGTATGCTATACAGCATTATGTTAAGACTTATAAGTATAAGTCATGTTTATATTGTTAGATTGGTTGCTATACACTGAACTATAAGGCAGTTATTTTTAGTTCTGATTTTCAAGACTTTTGATTGGCTGTTAATTTATTATGACATCATTGATTGTTTAACATTGTTACTGCCAGGTCTTGTGTCTTATAAAAGTTTATACAGCATTCTTTATTTTATTACAACTTTATTCATACTATTGACATTATTATCATCATTCGAGATATGTACATTTTTCCAAGGATATAACTTTTCTCTGATTAATTGTGAAGTTGAATCTAAACTGTAACACTCAGACATTGACATTTCATTTATCACTGATCATGGCGGATCACCAGCACCTCGTTTCAGACAGAGGTCTAGTCAGTGGGACAGTGCCGACCCAGCTAACTGGACTGCTAATAAGTTGAACATTTTTGTCCCTGTTTCACCGGGAAAGAATGTGCTCAAGAAAATATACATGGACTGCTAATAAGTTGAACATTTTTGTCCCTGTTTCACCGGGAAAGAATATGCTCAAGAAAATATACATGGACAATATCGCGGGTAGGAACGTTGCCCCAGCTGACCAACAGATGACAGGCAACACCTCACAGACGTCAGCATGATCAGACAATGCACCAAATACAACTTCTTCTAATGAAGTTCCTCAAGTTCAAAGAGATTTAACTTCCGGCAGTGGTAGTAATTTGGCTAATTTTGGGGCACTCAGACCGCATACATTTCATGTATTCAATCTGACTTATGGCCGTATTAATTAATTAATCTGGTAATGGGAATACATAATTCATTAATTCCCCAAAATTCTGTAGTTTTCATTTGTTTCGATGTACAGTACATGTACATTAAAGTTTGAATGGGCTATTGAATTTGTCTAGCAGTTTTTGCTATCTTCATCCACATCAATTTGAAGTAATGCTCTTCCGGCTCTTCTAGCACACTTGTCTTCCGGCTCTTGTAGTTCTGGATACACCGAGTAGCATCTAACATTGCTTCCGGCTCTTGTAGCTAACTACACTGAGTTGACCGCTACACCGAGTTGAGCATTACTTCCATGTGCATTACTGACATTGTTATTCCGGCTCTTGTAGCCTAAGCTGCACTGAGTAAACAACTACTTTTCTGTTCGGATATCTTTCCAATAGCTGCTACACCGAGTTTTAACTATGTCAGTAATTTAGAAAATGCTGAGTCTGCCCCAAACCCAAATCAAGTATAAGTTTTTAGTTATTTTGTATTAAGAAGTTATGTAATATAGTATAATCTTTTTGACTAGAGTAATTTTGAGTGATTTATTGTGTATGTAAATATATTGATATTATGTTTTTAGTAATAGAAATTATTAACTACTTTAGTTTTGTCTAATTATTACATTAGGGAGCCATATAATTCGAGAATCAGAATAGTAAGACGACATCACTTTTCTTATTACTATACTAGTGATAAGATCCATCGTCAAACTATCCATACATGTAAATGTAGAAATTGGTATATGAGTAGCTGCACTCTATGCAAATATGGGGTATATGTCAATGCATACCAAGCAGAGTCTTAACAGTATTCAGTAACCTGTAATGCCTTATAGTAGATTATATGGCATCATTTTTTGAGCTGTGCACACACTTGGTTCATCTTTATTGAGTTTTGTCTTAAGTTGTGTCTTGCCTAGGCATATTTATATGCACATGGTTTATTGTCAAACTCTACAGAGTTCACAATGAGAAGTTACTTGCAGTACACTATGACCACTAAAACATCAGGCACATTACAACTATACATGTATGCTAAATGATCTCAGAATTATGATACAACACAATTACTATATTGGTATTACCATTCAAGGTGGGATAAGAATACAGTTGAAGGATCGAACTTGGTTTTCTATTCTAATTAAGTATTTACAAAATAAAATATAGCTTACCTTAATTTCCATTGGTGTGTAGTTGATATTAGAATATATAATTTTAGCATTTAAGAAAGAAGAGATGTAAAAAATAATTTTCAAAATATTAAATTTTTTAATAGTTCTAAGATAGAAAAAAAAATCATTTTTCAAGTAATATTCAGATATGTATTTGCCTGAGATTTAATCTTTTTACAAAAAAAATCAATTTAAGGAGTATGCTGTGAATAGTGGCAAAAAAGGGGAGTAACTAAGTTATTTTGTCAACTTTGAAATATACATTATTATTTATGACCCTAAGCTAAGGTAATTGGTGTTAATTAACAGTGTATTTGACACTAAAGCTGTCAAGTGAAGCCATGCACTTACAGTAATGGGTCACTTAATTTGACAGTTTACACAGCTAGTTGAACTTCCTGTCCAGGACGAATTACAAATTTTCCGGTATTTCAAAGGAAAATCACTTATGAAATCTATCACTTCATACTTGAAAAGTCTGAAGGCTCAAGAATCTGGGTGAAAACGAGTCATTTTCCAAATTCCCGGGACATTTAACAACCTGGCGGGTATTTAGAATCCCGTGTGAGAGGTGAAATTTATGGGTGTTACCTGCAGAATAGGTGTCAGTTGACAGGTATGGTACTTGTAAATCTTGACACTGATATATTAACATTTTCAGACTTGTCTAAACATCAACCAAATAAACTTTTTGTACTTTGAAATATAAGGGAAGTTTATACATTGAATACATGCTTCCTCAAGAATAAAATTCCTTTCCTTTTCATATGCAGTGCATTCCATTAAAAATATTTACATGTGGCACAAGAATGCAGGCGTTGTCTCATTTGCCATTATACAACATCTTATTTTTAAACTGAACTTATTTCCAATAATTGACATTACAAAAATGACTTCTATTGTCTTCACTGTTGTTTTTACAGAGTCCAATACCAGGTGGAGAGTTAGATCCTAGCGGCTTTAAATTGACTTCTACTGAAGTATGTGGTGATAATGAAACCGTCATTGATGGATATTGTGGTAAGTAGGGGAGATAACTTTGCTTTCACTTCTAGTATCCCATCAACTTTAAGTCTTACATCTCCTGAAATCTATGATGAAACTGGTACTGCCATTGATCAATAGTGTGGTACTAGGACAACAGATAATAGTTATGCCGCAGCCACTAAGTTTTGACTTATTATAAGAGTTGCAGAAAATACTGATACTGGCATTGAAGAATATTGTGGTAAATAGGTGAGTTAACTCTTGTTTGAGATCTACTGAGTGTAATCTTTATTGAAATATTTGGTAATACAGTCCTTGGATGGTGTAAACTTCCCACTAACACCATACACCATACACCATTACACCATACACGTTACACATTTGCACCATACACCTTACACATTACACCATATTGCAATTTAATTTCAAAGAAAGCGTGCGACTACAAAATTATTTATTTATTTTAGAAAACGAATTTTGATCCAGGGCTTCCAAAAAATATTTGTGTCAGCCGGACATTTTTTGTCTTATCCCAATTTTGATCCCTTAAGACTACGTAACAAAAGGCAATCATGCTAATCAGTTGGGTATCATATAAACAATGAATGATTGACATTAAAATGATATTAAACTTGATTAATTATATTTTATTTTTAATTGTTTTTTTTTTTTTAGATCATGGTTGTACATATGATCATTTTTTTGTAAAAAATAATGCTTCATGTTTATTTTTCAAATATGACAAATGATGAACAGTTTTTGTCAATCCTATGGTAGTAGGTAGCAGAGAAAATGCCTGTTTTTGTCCGACTTTCACAGGCATTGTTGATCACTTTAAAGTATCATTATTAGCCACTGTTGTAAAGAATTCTATTCAATTGTAGAAATTTTTTTTTTAGTTAAGTGTGGACCAGGAACCTACATAAATTCTACTACAAAGATCTGTGAGAGTTGTCCTATAGGTACGTACACCACCAGGGATGGACAAACGAAGTGTCAGAAGTGTGCAGCTGGGACAACTACAGAGACAGAAGGATTAAACAACCCTAAATTTTGTTACCGTAAGTTTACAAACTAGAACCTGATATTAGTTTAGTGAATGTTGATTGATTGAATGATTGGTTTTTACTTGCACCTCCTCATAATAGTTAGGAATGCTTTAAATACCCATGATATACCCATACTGTACATATATACACCTGTTTTGTTAAATAGTACTCTGCATTTTTGCAAATGGATGTTGAGTTATTCTACCTCAATACTATATATGACTGGTCTAGATTACTGCAACATTTACTATGGGAATTTTCTTTTGATTTTTATAGATCCTTCATAAACAGAAAGGTTTCAAAGCAGCTATTGAAATAGTCTTCCAAAACGTCAATTGTTTAGATGTGTATATGACATGCACAAGTCTTCCAAAACGTCAATTATTTGGATGTGTATATGACATGCACAAGTCTTCCAAAACGTCAATTATTTGGATGTGTATATGACATGCACAAGTTTTCCAAAACGTCAATTATTTGGATGTGTATATGACATGCACAAGTCTTCCAAAACGTCAATTATTTGGATGTGTATATGACATGCACAAGTTTTCCAAAACGTCAATTATTTGGATGTGTATATGACATGCACAAGTTTTCCAAAACGTCAATTATTTGGATGTGTATATGACATGCACAAGTTTTCCAAAACGTCAATTATTTGGATGTGTATATGACATGCACAAGTTTTCCAAAACGTCAATTATTTGGATGTATATATGCGCAGGTATTACATAGTGAAAAAAGTTACGAAATTCCTACATTATTTGCGTATAAAGTAAAAACTGATCATTATCAAATTAGAATGGGAGCATGCTGTTCGATTATTGTGATGATTCAATTATGGTTTTTAGGTACATTTCCAACACTAGTGACATATCATTATGCACCTATTGTCTGAATCTAAATAATACTATTAATAAAAAAGGAGGAAAAAATACATTATCATTTCAGCTTTATGTCCAGTTGGTCAGAAATATAATAAAGGGGATTCCAAGTGTGAAGATTGTGGTCTAGGATACTACCAAGAGAAGGCAGGACAGTTCTACTGTGAATGGTGTGGGTTAGGAAAGACCACTAGAGAAACAAATACAACATCAGCCAGTTTTTGTTATGGTAAGGAAGATGTTGCTGAGATAAGATGAAATGGTCCTGTAAATTGTGTTGATAAGGGAAAGACATCCAGAGAAGCAATTTATGAACTGTCATACAAGTGAGAGGTTTAGCTAGCTATAAAACCAGGTTTAATCCACCATTTTCTACATAAGGAAATGCCTGTACCAAGTCAGGAATATGACAGTTGTTTCTATTCGTTTGATGTGCTTGAGCTTTTGATTTTACCATTTGAAAAGGGACTTTTTCCTTGGAGTTCTGTATTTTTTGTTATTTTACTTTATACAACATACATTTTCTTCTTGCTTTTGTTTGACATTATGTTGTCGGCACTGGTTTCATCAACAATTGTTTGATTTGGTGTTTATCAATGTGTTAGCAGAATACACTTATTGACGAACTGTGAAAGTATATTTTCCTTATAACCAGTCGTTAAGTGTTTTTTTTTTTAACGAAAAACACAACTTTAAAAAAAATCAAAATACCCCATCTGTGAAATTTTTTTTATTTTTAAGTATCTAATTTACACTTGTCAAAATGCAGGATTGATCCTTGTGTTAAAATTTTCATGCATATGATTGCCTGAAATTAAAAATATATGACCATACAACAAATAATTCACAGATGAGGAAGACAGAGACAGATGCATACCAGGCATTTGTTATGTTTTAGTTGTATGAAAATGTCATTTGAAAACAAACTTGAACATGACAACAACAGAGGCCTACAGTTGTCAGTTATTTCCGAGTTATACCTTTAGTACTATGGGAAAAAATCCAAGCAACCTGACTAGCCAATGACGTCATTTTTATACGACCGCAAAAAAAATTTTGTGGTCGTATATTGGTATGACGTTGGCGTCGTCGTCGTCGTCCGAAGACACATTAGTTATCGCACTCTAACTTTAGTTTAAGTGAATGGATCTCAATGAAATTTCACCATAAGGTTCAATACCACAAAAGAAAAGGTGGGGATTGATTTTGGGGGTTATGGTACCAACAGTTGAGGAAAAAGGGGCCAAAAATAAGTATTTTTGTAACTTCCAGACATAACTTGTGTGTAAGTGTATGGATCTCTCTGACATTGTATCACAAGGTTCCATATCACAAAGGGAATGCTGGGATTGATTTTGGGGGTAATTGCCTCCAAATTTTAGGAATTAGGGGCCAAAAAGGGGCAAAAAACAAGCATTTTTCTAATTTCATGACAATAACTTGTGTGTAAGTCTATGGATCTCTCTGACATTGTACCACAAGGTTCCATATCAGAAAGGGAATGCTGGGAATGATTTTGGGGGTAATTGCCTCCAAATTTTACGAATTAGGGGCCAAAAAGGGGCAAAAAATAAGCATTTTTCTAGTTTCATGACAATAACTTGTGTGTAAGTGTATGGATCTTTATGAAATTGTACTACAAGGTTCCATATCACAAATGGAAAGCTGGAATTGAGTTTGGGGGTAATTGCCCAAAAAGGTTAGCAATAAGGGGCCAAAAAGGGGCCAAAAATAAGCATTTTTCTAGTTTCCAGACAATAACTTGTGTTCAAGTTTATGGATCTCTCTGAAATTGTACTGCAAGGTACCATACCACAAAGGGAAGGCTGGGATTGATTTTGGGGGTAATTCCCTCAAAATTTTAGTAATTAGGACCATAAAAGGGCAAAAAAACAAGCATTTTTTCTAGTTTCAGGACAATAACTTGTGTGTAAGTGTATGGATCTTTATGAAAATCTACTGCAAGGTTCCATATCACAAAGGGAAAGCTGGGTTTGAGTTTGGGGGGTAATTGCCCTAAACATTTAGGAATTCTGGGCCAAAAAGGGGCCAAAAAACAAGCATTTTTCTAGTTTCCAGACAATAACTTGTGTTCAAGTGTATGGATCTCTCTGAAATTGTACTGCAAGGTACCATACCACAAAGGGAAGGCTGGGATTGAGTTTGGGGGTGATGAATCATAAGGGGGTTCAAAAAATTTGGGAGGGGGTTTTTTTTTTCCTTTTTTTTCTTTAAAATTTTCCATTTTAAATTGGTTATTTCTGATTTATATATAAAAGCAAATAATAATGATATGGTTTGAATAGGTAAATTAAAAATGTTTAAGTTCTTAGACCACTTTCATTCTGTGTCAGAAACCTATGCTGTGTCAAATATTTAATTACAATCCAAATTCAGTGCTGTATCAAGCTTGAATGTTGTGTCCATACTTGCCTCAACTGTTCAGGGTTCGACCTCTGCATTCGTATCAAGCTGCGCCCCAGCGGAGCATTTTATTCTCCAATGAAAAAAGAAAGATGGTTGCAAAATAATTTATTGGGTTTATTGGCTTAAAAATTGTTGAAACTATTGTCTGGTTATTGTTAGCAAGATGCTATGAAGATAAGATGGAATAGTCCTCCTGTAAGTGTTATGGATCAGGAGTGACAGTCAGGGACACTAGTATCGGTACAACATTAGTAAGTTTGTTACGGTAAGATACTACTTACAAAATTTGGAATAATTTAATTGTAGATGATGCTGGTAGGAAAGACTCATACTACTTCATCCAATTATGTAAGATAAGATACTGCTGGGACACTTTTAAATAATATGTGATGGGTTAAACCATGCAATCTTAATATCATTTAGATAAGACAAACAATCTAGTACTCATACTTAAAGTAAAAAGTTGAAATGAATAATTTTTTTTCATTTTAGATGTATGTCTAGCTGGGAAACAGTTAGCTGCTAATGGTGGCTGTGAGGACTGTCCAGAGGGAACTTACAAAAACGTGGGATCTAAGTGTATCGCTTGTCCACAAGGGACCACAACCTTAAGTACAGGAGCTTCACTACAGACAGATTGTAACATAAGTAAGGCCATGTAAGATGAATATTTTGGTTCTGAGATAATGCAATGTCAGCAAAATATGGACCAGAAGCTTTTATTTATTGCCAAACAAAAAGAACATGTAAAATTACATTTTAAAATTTTTAACCTATTGCTTTCAAACTGGTCAAAGGATGATAACTATAGAATTCACTTTCCTTAGGTTTCAAGAAAAATACCCAGGAAACTAATAGTTATGATGGTTTTAAATGGAATGTAATGTATTAGTATTAGAAAAATGTTACATGATAATACTTTTTCAACTTCCACATTGAAACAACAGCTATCCCAGAACTTTCCTATTTTGACCTCCTACACCAAATTTTGCAAATGATCTTGTGGTGCCCATCTTATCTGTAAAGCTAAATGCAATAGGGGGATGTCTTCACCATGTCTTATCTTAACAGAAGCTTGTGAAGCTGGATACAAACGTGTTGGTACCAGTACATGTGAGAAATGTCCCATTGGTACATACCAGCCACAGAAATGGCAGACGTCATGTTTATCATGTGGTGGAGATCGTTACAGAACTGACCAGGAAGCATCTTCATCCAAAGATGATTGTAAATGTAAGTTCATTTCTACAACAAGCACTAGTGTTTCACATTAAACAAGGTACTTGCTGTTATATACCATGTTCTCACATGAATAAGAATGTTTTGAGCATGTTTATGCAGGGAATTTAACCTTAAATCCTAATATCTTTGTAATGCTTCACTTAAAAAAGAAAGCCAGTAAGTGATATTGCCATCACTTATCTTTCACTGTCAAAATTTTATGAAATATCTTTGTTCCAGAAACCAATTTTACCTTAACTTCACCGAAAAGATATATATGATATTCTGCTTTTGTGACCAAGTACTGTAAAAAATAAAACAGCAAGATTTTTTGAAGGTTTTTTTCTTATTTCAATTTTTAAGCCCCAAGATCAAAAAGATATTTAACTTTGACTTTGGAGAGAAGATTTTCCAATCTTATTCATGATACACTCGTAGGCAACAATTACAATAAGTATTACATTGTATTGATATCTTCCAGGGCATTCAAAAGATCTGTGTTGCATATGTATATGTGGATTTATATTCATCCTTAATGTTGACAGGTGAAAATGATTATCCTTCCAACATAAATGTAAGAGCAAATAACTTTATTGTTGAAGACAGTATTTGACCTTAATAATGTCTTATGTTTCAAAGACAAAACAATCTCACTGATGTATACCTTGCATCTCCTTTGATATCCAGTATTGTGATAAGTGACCAAGTATCTATGTGTTGTTTTTCAATGTGACCTAATTGTATCCTCAGACTAAATAAAGAACCAGTGCTAATAAAACTATTTATTAAAAACTAATATTTAATATAAAAATATTACTTTGGAAAAACTGGGGACAAACAGCTGCATACACATAATAAAAATTAAGAGTTATCCCCCTTTTAACATATAAATGAAAATAAATATACAGAAAACTTGGGGGATAAGATAAAATTTGATGATAAAAGTATACAATTTTATCGAAAAGTCCAAATACAGATGCATAGCAGCTGTAGCCCCAAGTTAATTTCTCCTTTTATTGCCAGTACAATAGTTTAAGACGAAGAAATTGATGAAACTAGCTGATTTTGAGCTTGTTGAATTACTCTTGGGCTGGTATGAATATACCTAGTATAACAATCTGATGACCACCTGCCTAATGTTTAATCAAGTGGTCTTCTAATCTTACTTCCTGTGCGGTTGTTGCTGCTCCAATTCTGAAAGAATGACCATTATAATTTTGCTTTGAAGACCTAAATTGTCTAAAATAATTTTGACATGTTTGATGAAAAATTGTCTACTTAAAGCATTGCCATCATCAGAGACAAACAGAGCATCAGATGTTATACTTGGCATATTTTTCCGAAGAGACAAATAATTTTTAACAGCAATGCAAGGACAAATAATATGACCACTTTTGTATAAGGGTATAGTAACACCCTGTCTGAAAGGATCTGTTTTAGATATTTTCAAATGTAACAAAATGTGATCTTCAAAATTTTCTAAATCACCAACACACAAATGTGTTTCATAATCAAAATTGCTAAGTATAGTGAACTCTCCACAACGCAAAAAAGCAAAAAAGGCTGCAACACAAGCTGCCTCTAACATTACATTGTTAAAAAGACTGAAAAAATTGCTTCTTAATAGCATAACCATTTTGTACAACAAAGACATAGTAATTGGCAATCTAGGCCTTTTAACACAACCTTTCTGCTTCTTTTTTTAAACCATTTAAAATTGTTTGTAAACATAATAATGGCTTTCCATATTGTTCAAGAGGACTAAATCCTGAATATTGCAGGTAATAATATCTTATACCAGTGTTCCAGCTAGGTCGTTTTCACAGGGCGGTCCGCCTGCCCTTTACTGAGTGCTGCCCTGTGCCCTTTTTCTGACGCCCTGTGCCCTTTTTAAGACTCCCTGCCCTTTTTCGTAAGTCCATGCCTTTATTGCCGTAATATTTTGATGAAAATACAAGTATTCTTACCCGTCTTCATATTTATGACAAGTTTATGACCCTCAGCTAATCAACATTTGCAGCAGGTGTAATAAGTTGTCATTACAGATAATCTGCTTATCTACATCGGATGGGTCATTAATCCGTTAATTAAACTTCATCATTGACCATTGTAATAATTTTTCTCATTAAATTCGGTCAGTCAGCATTTCAATTTCAATATTTCTCAAAATATGACAATTTGCGTTTGATGTATCCGTAGATCGTCTGTTGTTTATATGTAGAAAGATTTTTTTTTTAAATGGATCTTTTAAACTAGTTTTAATCCAGAAGAAAGTAAAAGCAATGCTTGACTGTACCTTTCATTGAATATCTATATCCAAAATTAAATTAATTAAAGCTGTAATCCATGATTACATATTGACTGCTTTGTTTACATTTGTTGAAAGCCATGTGCTTTTTTGGCTGGAAAATTCGGAAAACCCCTTTATTCTTTAACAAGAAACAGTTACATTTCATTGTTATTTATAGACAGTAAGATTTTTATTTTGATTAACTGCTAAGATTATTTCATTAAAAATGAATACTTTCTTGGGGTGAAACTGATAATACTTTAATACTCTACATCTAGCTAGGGGTGTGTAAAATGGAAAGGGGTTTTTTTTTTACATATAATATTACAAATATAAGCTAAGTTTAACAGTCTGAAAAGACATGGTTAAATGGATTGTAATTCTGAAAAACTCAATGTGGTTTATTATAATTCATTTATTATTTCTGTCATAATCAGAAACACTGGGCTACATGTATTAGGCATTTCAAACATATATTATTGCCTTTATAAGAACATTCAAGACTATTAATAAGTTTGTACTTGTAGTAAAAATACCCTGGAAGGGCCTTTAAATTTCTACTGGGCCCTTGGAAAAAAGTTTTGGGATCTAGGTTGGCCCCTGGAGAAAATGTAAGGTATCGTTCCTGACTGTATTGCAGATCTAGTGTAGTATTTTAACTGACATGCACTGTTGAACTCATTTCACTAATGAAATAAAAATAATTCTACAGAACGCTGCTGCGCTTTGCATTGCAACTTAACCTTAGACCTACCATGCATCAAAAATGTTCTAGGGAAGACTGAGCTAGTAATATACGTCCTTGCATGGTCCCTTTAATACTGTTACCCAAAATAAGGTTGATTTTCATCTAGTGTAAAAGTGACTAAACTCCTAGCTGAAACCCCTGCAGTTAACATAAGACAATGTTTGACATGCCCTTTTTGAAATATCAATCATCGTGCTAAAGTGCCCTTTTCATGATTGGCTCCCTGCCCTTTTGAAATCCTAGCTGGAACACTGTATACCACATAAATATAGCTTAATAGTGCTATGATGTTTTAAACTTTTATGTTAATCGCAAAAGGCAACAAATCGCATTAACAAAGTTTCTGAAACAGGCGGCATTTCATTCGAAGTCCAGAAGGATCCTTGCAATAAGGAGAACTTCTTATATAGATCAAAACCTGTAGTATAATGCGATCTTGTACTATCGGCTACAGAATATTTCCATAAGGTGTCTAATGAGCTGTCCAAATAATGTCTGAAAGCTGTGGGCAAGAAGTGGCTGTCACTTCTGCTAAAGGCGCTAAAAGTCTGAACTTTTCCATCTGAAAACGAGATAATGCATCAGTAATTACATTAGATTTTCCCGGTAAATGTTCACTATAGACAGCAAAAATATAAGTTGCAGCACACATTGTAAGTTTACGCATTAATTTCATAATGTTTGTTTCTTTTGATCGACCTTTTGCAATAATGAGGACTGTTGCTAAATTGTCACTGCTATTGATCTGAAAGCAGCAAAATAGATGACGTATATCCGAAACTAAGTTGAAAATGAGGCTAACATGATAAAGAGGTACATAAGGGTGAACCCTATCTTATGACTAAAACTTAAATAATCCTTTATATAAACATCAATTATCCAGATAATTGTTAATATAGGTTATATAACAATAAACTAAGTCTGTAACCCTCACCTTGCTGGAAGACATTTTAAAGCTGGACATGACTTGAACAGAGAGATAGATATTTTTATAATAACCCCCCCTATCTGAAATTGGTAGTATTCAAAATGGATTAAAAAAAAATTGCATTTGTATCAAATTTTGTCTGTTTCTGATGAGATATAATCCTTTTCATATTTTAGATTTTTGTCTTTCCGGCTATGAAGCTGTTGTATCATCTTGTGTGCCATGCAAAGAAGGATTCTTTAAAGACAATACTGTCAGTATATATGGAAAATGTAAACAGTGTCCATATCAAAAAACAACTGTTAATATGGCCTCAAAATCATTAAAAGATTGCTCTGTCTGTAAGTTATTATTTATTTAATCTTGGTTGTTTTTTTTCTAGATCTAAGATTATTTTTGGATATTATTAATTATGCTTTCAAATAAAAGGGATTTGTTGGATAAATACCAATTAGACAACCCATTGAAACAAAAGAAAGAAATACCAATCTCTAATCAACATTATGTTTTAACCACAGATAACAGTCTATACAATTTGTCAAGCTCTAAATCACCCAGAGTTTTGACAGTGTGAATATATACAACAGTTTGCCTTCAACACAAATACAATGCAATCCTGTGTGGTTGACATAGAAATACCTGGTGTATCCGTATGCATGCTTATGTCCCTCCATCCAGTCTTGTATGCCCTCTCACATGTAGAATCATGTGTGGTTGACATAGAAATACCTGGTGTATCCCTATGCATCCTTATGTCCCTCCATCCAGTCTTGTATGCCCTCTCACATGTAGAATTCTTGCCATATTTTAAGAAATTTCTATCAAAGGATCCTATCAGCAATGACTCATAGAAGAGTTCAAAAATCAGTGCTGATCAATTATTTTTACGAGAATTATGTCCCTTGGAAATGTTAATTCTATGGTAAATTGCATTGTAAATACTTTCAAGTCTAAAAGGTTTATATCAGCAATGCCCTAGACGGGTATTAAAATCAGTGCCAATCAATTATTTTTACAAGAACTACGTCTCTTTGAAAATTTGCAAAATTTGTAAATTAAATGGAAAATTGTATTGTAAGCTTTACCACACCTACATTTCTTCAGCATGGATCAACTTTTTTTTTACTAAACTTATGTCCCTTGGAAATAAAAATATGGAAATTGTAAGCCATCATATGTCTACATATCTTGTAGGATATTTGTGGAAAAAAAAGAAAAGATATTAAAGTTGTTGCCTGGGGAACATTGGATTCAATATATTCAATATATATTTTTATTTATCCATACACTACAATTAAAAGCAACTATCATAATTCATGATAGGTAAAAAAACCTAACCAAGCAACAAGCTTGGTTCAAAGTGACTTAGAATGCAATGTTGATGAACATAGTAGAAAATGCTGTTCATTAATTAATAATTTTAATGTTGTAAATGATGTAATATAGTAAAGATAAAATATTTACTGAAGTGATCATTTGTCATTATGACTAACAAATCAGGATACTAAATAAAAGTTATATATCCAGTAAGTTTTTCATTAAGAAAAATAATATAAATATTTATACAATATCAGCTGTTTTTGCCATAATTTCTTATGGATATTTTATGGATTTACTGTATATTTATAGATAATTGTCCTCCTGGATACATGTCAGACATATTGGGTACCAGATGTGTAATATGTCCTGTAGGAACCTATCAACCCTTCCATAATGAGACTACCTGCTACCCATGCAGTTCTTGGCTGAGTACAGTACAAACTGGATCAACTAATGTTCAACAGTGTTTAAGTATGTTTCTTTCCAGTGAAAATTTTAATTCTTTTCAATAAAACATAATCGTGTGACAAATTTGATTATAACATTAACAAAAGTCAGCTCCCTTTAGATTTGACAATTTCCAGACTAGTTATACCAGGGTTTGGGGACTAAAATAGTCAAAGTAAGGACAATTTTACATATGTCTCACATTAACTGAAGTATGTCTTCATGTTTCCTTATGCCTTTTTTACACACAGCAGTTTGTTCATCAATAACATGTTTTAGATTTATATACAAGGGTACCAAGTCCCCATTCCTTGAAATGTTGATTGGTGTATCACACACTTTTAGCACAATGTTTAGTCCAATTATAGCAATTAAATTTTAGAATGAAGTATTCAATCTTAATAAAGTGAAGATACATAAAAAATTCATCCTGAAAGCTGATGAAAATAAAAATACAATTACTTTACAATATGGAACTAGCAAGTTCTTGTTCCTTTTGCCTCTCTTGGCAAATTCAAACATAGTATGTATTTATGTATTTTTTAATTTTATAAGTACAGGCTAGTCAGAACTTTCCCTGTATTACAACAGTATTTGAGAACCAGATGTAATGATTTATATGGCTTGAGACAGTATACCTATTCTATGATTTTTGAAGGGCTCAGTGCTTTGCCCTCAAAAAACCTTTATCATGGTTCTATACACACACTCTCTGTATGAATATTCTTTTGTTGTGCTCTATTTTTTGTAAATTTAATTGTGTTGCAGATTACTGTCCCCCTGGACAAGAACGACATCCAGATGGTTTCTGTTTTGACTGTGGAATCGGCTTCTATAAACATAATAAAGATAATTACTTCATGCCATGTACAGCTTGTCCTGATGACTACACAACACTTGGGGCAAAATCTATATCCATGTCACAATGTACTATGAGTAAGTATACATTATCTGGGACAAATCTATATCCATGTCACAATGTACTATGAGTAAGTATTGATAATATCTATATCCATGTCACATTGTGATTTGAGTAAGTGGACATCACCAGGGATAATATCTTTATCCATGTCACAATGTACTATGAGTAGGTAGTGTTAATATATATATCCATGTCACATTGTGATTTGAGTAAGTGGACATCGCCAGGGATAATATCTTTATCCATGTCGCAATGTACTATGAGTAAGTAGACATTACCAGGGATAATATCTATATCCATGTCACATTGTGCTATGAGTAAGTGGACATCACCAGGGATAATATCTATATCCATGTCACAATGTACAATGAGTAAGTGGACATCACCAGGGATAATTTCTATATCCATGTCACATTGTACTATGAGTAAGTATACACCATATACGATTAATTAGGGCCCCGCTGAATGGCGGACGCCCTATAGTGATCAGTCTGTCCGTATGTCCGTCCGTCCGTAACAAATTGTGTCCGCTCTATATCTAGAGAACCATTATGATTTCAAAGTTTATACTTGACATGTATATTAACCAACACCAGAGGGTGTGTCATAATGTATGTACAACTTACTAGGTCAAAGGTCAAGGTCAAAAACTTTGGTTTTAGTTAACAACCCCATGTCCTATGGTAAAGATCGTGTCCGCTCTATATCTTGAGAACCGTTATGATTTCAAAGTTTATACTTGACATGTATATAAACCAACACCAGAGGGTGTGTCATAATTTATGTACAACTTCCTAGGTCAAAGGTCAAGGTCAAAAACTTTGGTTTCAGTTAACAACCCCATGTCCAATGATAAAGATACAAATTTTTTACCACACATTATTCACAGCAGGGCCCACAGAGATGGCTTCCATCTCAATGATATCTAGTTAAAATTGTATTTAACAATCAAAATGATACTGCTAACCATAGGAATGTTTGTATAACAAAAAGGATAGGATATTCACAATTGCAACATAATATTAATACTCAACTTTTTACAGGAAAGTGTATGCCTGGTTCAATGAGAAAAGCTGACAACACAGGTTGTTTACCTTGTCCTAGAGGAACATACCAGGACTTACCATACCAGACAACATGTAAACAATGTCCTGAATATAGCTTTTCAAGAAGAGAAGGAGCTTTTAGCATAACACAGTGTGAAAGTACGTTTCTATGATTTAAACAAAATGCTGTATTTGCTTAGAAAAGAGGTTATGTCAGATTGCTGTAAGGTAACACATATATATATATTAATTATCTTCAGGTAATTGAGGGTCCTCATTGGCAATGTGGTTTAAGGAGTTTTATTACAGTAATCAAAAGCCTTGGTGGCTGTTTGGCCGAGTGATCTAATTAGTTCAACTACAGTAATCACTAGCCTTTCAACACTAAGGTTGTGAGATCAAACTTTGCATGTAGCAGGTGGGTAGGACTCTGATCTTAATTTACTTGGGTTGTCAATTTTTCTGCTAATGGTCTGTTGGTCCTCTACCACTACTATGGCTTCCTCTAACAAAAAATCGGCTGCCACGATGTAGTTAAAAGTGCTGAAATTAGCACTCAGCACAAACAATCAATCAGTCTAGGTTTTTGATGGAATTAGTCACTGTCTAAGATCACTATGTTCATGTATTTTTTTGCCTGCCACTGACATTTCAAAATAGTTTTATAATGGTGATTTTATTTTCAATTTTATGACATCTCCTAAGACCTTCTCTTTACCAAAGTTCTGTTACTCTCATACAATCTTTTTATTACCCCCTACAAAGTAGTCATTAATATATAACAACATATTTTTTTTCTGCATTGCTTTCCATCACACTGTCTTGTTTATGCCATGAGTAAAAAGGACCATTTACCTTTAGTGTTTGGTATGAAGTCTGCAAACATGAATATCTTGGACAAGTTTTGTTGTCAAATTGTAAGATGACACCTTATTGGAGCTTTATATCCATGCTACAAAGTTGTGAAGAATATGTGTTTGACCAGTCTGTCAGTTTGTATATTCATGCTACAAAGTTGTGAAGAATATGTGTTTGACCAGTCTGTCAGTTTGTATATTCATGCTACAAAGTTGTGAAGAATATGTGTTTGACCAGTCTGTCAGTTTGTATATTCATGCTACAAAGTTGTGAAGAATATGTGTTTGACCAGTCTGTCAGTTTGTATATTCGTCCTTCATCAATTTGTTGTCACTAGAAAGTTTCCACTCATCAAGACCTCAGATATGTTTGATAAATAAATGAGGCACTTATTTTTTAGAGGGAAATATTCAGGATAGAGAATTCATTTATTGTTGGTACTTCTTCATATTTAAATAAAAGGTTTCCATTCAACAAAACTTCAGAGTATTTCGATGATCAAAACATTTTTAATGAGCTATGATGTCTTCTCCTTTATGTGCTGTATGTGAGCTTGCTCATTAAAGGTTCTTTCATCTTAAAAACTTGATTAGATACAAAGAACTGTAAACAGTATTAATGATCAGCGAATCAAGATATACAAATTAGTCGCATGACAGAAACTGTCAATTGACTGTTTATTGGATTTATTGCCTTTAAAGGACAAATTTTGTCTCGCCTTGACGGAGTCAAAAAGCAAGACGGAGGTATGCTGTTTACGGTGGCTGCGGCGTCAACAATGTATTAGTTTGTGATTAGATCAGTGTAAGATGAACCGCTAATGTTAAGTCAATGATATTGGGTATGCAAATATATTTTCATTTGCAAGTCTTGTTTCCTTTGAGATTATATAGCCCCACCCCCTCATCATGGTTCATTGACTTTGAAACTTTTACATAGTTTACAAGTTAATGTTTGTGTTCAGGTTTGTTTAAAGGGGACTTATGATAAGTCAATGGTATTTGGTATGCAGTTGTATTAGCATTGACACATCTCATTTCCATGGAGATTGTTTAGCCATGTACCTCAGCTAGGGTCATTGAATCCAATTATTTGCATAACTTACATGTTAAAGTATTGCTATTTTAATTTCAACATTTGCATTATCAAAATTAAAAACAGACGAGACATATCTCTGTGTTAACAGTTTATTATATTTTATTTGCAATTTTGGTTCTAAGTTTACACTAGAAAAACCTGAAAACAAAAATGGACATGAACTTAGAACCAAAATTGCAAATAAAATATATTCTGTGTTTTGATTTTAGTTTCTGAATTAAGTCACAATCTATCTGCCAACATGGTCACCATGACTAAAGATAGAACTTTGGGTTACATTTCAGGGGTTAAAAAATCCACTAGCCCGACGCCCGGGACTACAGCATTTAGGCCTCGGGCGATCAAAACTTGTAACCCAATATGCCCGACGGACTAGTGACAAAAAATATTGGCGTTTCCAAAATAGAAAGTTGAAAATCCCCTCATCACTATTCTATCTTAGCCAATCAGATTCAACTACGTCATCCGGGATTCCAAGAATTTGAACTGCTTTTGTACATGTTTTAAAAATAGAACAAATAACTCTGGGTGGACCGGTATCATGTATTGATCGCCATTCCCTTACTTTCAATATCGATTGTCAGTACAGGGGGTATTGTATATTGCTTATGCAACCAGAGAAATATAATTCAAACTGATTGTACCTCCTTCTGAATAATTTATTGCAATATGCATGTGAATCCCTTTTGACAAGAGAAATCTGACTTTTGTCAGATATAAATTTGTAACGTGCATGACCACATGTTCTGGACGCCATTATGTTTTGTTTACTTACTGTGAAGAAGCCTCGAGAACCATGACCTAAACATAAACAGTCTTCAGAAAACTTAAACTTGATGCAATACTATTTTATCAATCATGATAATCTTCATTGATATTCAATTAAATTTGAATTTTAAAGAAATAAAATATATAACAACTACAATTTCAGTTTAGAGACTATACATAGTCTGTAATCTATTTATAGCCCAATTAGCTTACATGTGATATATGTAAATATGGATATTACTTCATTCATAAAACAAATATAAAAGACACAAACTATGGATGGTAGATATTAATTATTCACATAAATATTTCAGAACATTTGATTTATTTTAATAAATATAGGATTTAAAAACTGAAAGCAAATATGAGCATTACATAACCAGCTGATAATTCTTTTACACAAACGTGATGATGTATCTGATAAAAATCACTCCAATCCTTTTATATATACATGTATAGCAGTGGTCAAGGCTTGTACCATCTCAGGATTTGGTCAACTTATTATTGCACCATATTCAATGAATATACATTTATCGACTAATTGAATATCGGGGTAATCAGATATTTTTTGCTGACATAATTTTTGGGTATCCGATTTGCCGAAGTCTACTGTACAACGGATTAAAATTGTTAAGTTTATAGAAATTATTGTATTATGCAGCAAACTCTGAATTTGTAAGGCATACTCGGGCTAGCAGGTCAGTTTTGATGGGCTGTCAGTTCTTCAAACAGGGCTAGTAAAATCCTGCTACCAATAAGCCCTGGGCTAGTGAGCTGTAACAAAAAATTTTAACCCCTGCATTTCAAATAATTCTGTAATATCTTGTTTTCTAATCATCCAAATGTGATATTATTTTATTTCATAAATTTTTGTAGGTTACTGTGATCTAGGTTATGAGAAGGACAGTAACAATCACTGCACTCCGTGTGGAATAGGATATTACAAAAACAATGATTTTGACAAGTTTGTTAAATGTACACCATGTCCAGTGGACCGTATTACCACATCAATTGGAGCTACATCTATATCACAGTGCACACAAGGTTTGTATGGAGAACTATGCAAGGCTAAGCACACATTATAATTAGATTCTTGACCTTCATGAGATCAGTGATAGGATTAATACCGACCATCAAAGCTTCCATCCTTACATCCATATTTTGGCCATCAGACATTATCTTATAAGTCAAAAATCAGAATTACCTGAATTTTTTGCTTTATATGCTTATTTTTTATGATAATGGTGATGCATATTTTTGTGAATACTTTCTACATAAAGAAATCATATTTCTATGGGTGCCAAGTCATACCGGCATCCACAGAAACAAAGTTGTAGATCAGGAAGCAAAGAATGCCCTGAACAAGCCAATATCAAAATGGGAAATAATATATACTGATTTTAAATCTAATATAAGAGAATATGTTTTTAATATATGGAAAAATGCATGGAGAAAAAGGAACAACAATAAATTGCATGAAATTAAACCAAATATATGCAAACCATTAAACAAATTTATATGCAGGAAAGATCAGTGTTATGTCTACAAGTTTTATTTGTAAAATAGTTTTTCTGCTGATGCGGCATAAAGCAATCACCAATCAATCAATCAATTAATACATTCTACTACATTACCAATATCATTCAATGTTTAAGGTCAAATTTATTAACTTTTCATCACACTCTTTTGTTTTACTATGAACTTGAGAGTATTATTCTCACAAATATAAATCTACAGGGAAAACATGCAAAAGAAATTCTGTACTGAGTTTATTTATTATTACAGTATATTTCATTCCTCTCATGGTCTTAAGGTCAGGTAAGCTATTGTTTTCACTTGGGTGTCCATTGTCATTTGTCATTTAAATTTTTGATACACAGGTAACTGTTCACCTGGATATAAGATAGTCAGAACTGGATGTCAAATCTGTCCGATAGGTACTTACCAAAGTCTCAAATGGCAGGATGAATGTATTCCTTGCCCTCTACATAAATCTACAGTGTCTGCTGGATCTACAGACTACAGTGATTGTATTTGTAAGTAGAAATATATAGAGATTTGTCTGTTTTGTTGTTTCATTTAATATTTGATATTTTAGTTTCCTTTGTAATTTATGTGAACATCAACTGATCCTGTACTTTACCGAGTCAGTTGAAAAAAGTTATTAGACCAATGCTCTTTTAAGACAATATCAAGTGAAATACGAAAAAGGAAAAACATTCTGTTTAAGGAAGGAATAGGATAAAAAATTATCCTAAACAATCTGAAAACTACTGCAGGATTTTCAATTATGAGAAGATCCATAAATATGAAGGTCAAGATTGCCATAAAAAAATCCATCAATATGAACGTGAAGATTGCTACTAAATTTTGTATCCTATGCTTCAAAGTAGCATTTTAATTTTTTTGACCCATCTGACTGATCATCAGCCCTTCCTCTAGTTATATGTGACTATTTAAGTTTTGTTGTTATCCAAAGTAAGGTTCTCCAGTTTAATTAATTGATGATCTCTATCAATGATGAAGGTCAATGTCACAGGTAGTAAAAATATAAGTGTTACAGAAAGGAAGTTTCATGGAAACTTGAGAACTTTTGTTTGAAATCAGATATGATTTTTAGCTCACCTGGCCCAAAGGGCCAAGTGAGCTTTTCTCATCACTTGGCGTCCGTCGTCGTTAACTTTTACAAAAATCTTCTCCTCTGAAACTACATGACCAAATTAAACCAAACTTGGCCACAATCATCATTGGGGTATCTAGTTTAAAAAATGTGTCTGGTGACCCGGCCAACCAACCAAGATGGCCGCCATGGCTAAAAATAGAACATAGGGGTAAAATGTAGATTTTGGCTTATATCTCTGAAACCAAAGCATTTAGAGCAAATCTGACCGGATAAAATTGTTCATTAGGTCAAGATCTATCTGCCCTGAAATTATCAGATGAATCGGACAACCCGTTGTTGGGTTGCTGCCCCTGAATTGGTTATTTTAAGGAAATTTTGCCGTTTTTGGTTATTACCTTGAATATTATTATAGATAGAGATCAACTGTAAACAGCAATAATGTTCAGCAAAGAAAGATCTACAAATAAGTCATCATGACCAAAATGGTCAGTTGACCCCTTAAGGAGTTATTGCCCTTTATAGTCAATTTTTAACCATTTTTCGTAAATTTTTGTAATCTTTTACAAAAATCTTCTCCTCAGAAACTACTAAGACAAGTTTAACCAAACTTGTCCACAATCATCATTAGGGTATCTAGTTTAAAAAATGTGTCCGATGACCCCGCCCGCGAACCAAGATGGCCGACATGGCGAAAAAATAGTACATAGGGTAAAATGCAGTTTTTGGCTCATATCTCTGAAACCAAAGCATTTAGAGCAAATCTAACAAGGATAAAATTGTTCATTAGGTCAAGATCTATCTGCCCTGAAATTTTCAGACCAATCAGGCAACACATTGTTGGGTTGCTGCCCCTGAATTGGTAATTTTAAGAAAATTTTGCAGCTTTTGGTTATTATCTTGAATATTATTATAGATAGAGATAAACTGTAAACAGCAATAATGTACAGCAAAGAAAGATCTACAAATAAGTCAACTTAACCAAAATTGTCAATTGACCCCTTAAGGAGTTATTGCCCTTTATAGTCAATTTTTTACAATTTTCATAAATTTTGTAAATTTTTGTAATTTTTTACAAAATATTTTCCACTGTAACTACTGGGCCAAGTTCATTATAGATAGAGATAATTGTAAGCAGCAAGAATGTTCAGTAAAGTAAGATCTACAAACACATCACCATCACCAAAACACAATTTTGTCATGAATCCATCTGTGTCCTTTGCTTTATATGCACATAGACCAAGGTGAGCGACACAGGCTCTTTAGAGCCTCTAGTTGTTTGGAACTTAGTAAACATGTTCATTGTGAATAGAATTTTTAAAATTTCGCAGTTTACTGAATATGGAAATGTGAAAATGAGAGTGGGGCATTCTGTCCAATGATCTCAATTTCTTGTCATAGTACTGTTTTGCAGTTGTATTTATAAACAAAGAAGTTTGATTTTTGATTATAGTTAGTTGTGATCCTGGATATGAAGATACATTTGGTGGCTGTGTCAAATGTCAGATAGGTTATTATAAATCTGAAAAGAAAGCCAGTAGTTGTACAAAGTGTCCTAAGGGGAAAATTACATCAGATTTTGCAGCCACTAGTTTTCTTGATTGTAATATACGTAAGTTTGATGTTACTTATTTCAAATGTTGATCCTATATTATACGCAAGTTTGATATTACTAATTGCATAATTATGTTGGTCGTATATTATTCGTAAGTTTGATATTACTAATTACACATGTTGGTCCTATATTATACGTAAGTTTGGTATTACTAATTACATATGTTGGTCCTATATTATACGTAAGTTTGATATTACTAATTTCATATGTTGGTCCTATATTATACGTAAGTTTGATATTACTAATTACATATGTTGGTCCTACCGTTAAAAGGCTTGTATAGTCCGCGGTTTTATTCTCCAAAATTGGACCTTCCAGACGGGGTGCGGGCTATAGAGTACAATAAGCAAGAAATAAGAGAAAAAGTTCAATTTCGCGGGCGAGGTGGTTTGTTTACTTTCCGCCATCTTTGTTATTGATATTGTAGAGGGCGCTCTTATGATTTTTCAAACTAATAATTTTAACTCATCCATATTCATAAGTTATTTCTATTCAATATCAAATAAATACTGATAAATTTAAAAACTAAACGCTTCATTACAAATTTCTCGTTTCTTTTCAATGCATTGGTTGAAATAAACTGGTATCTGCTTGATTGAAACGATACAAAAATAGTTAAAAAGACAACCGTAAACCAGCTTACGATTTGTAAACTACAAAACGTAATCGGTTATTGTTCGTTCAGTATTGGCGTTTCATACTGACTAATATGGTCTGTATTAGCTTAAGACCCTTCAAACATTAATGTGTTAGATGCATTAAGGACTGTTTTACATAAGGATGGAACTGTTTTACTTCCAAAGTCGTATTTTAGTGATATCTATCATGTACGGATTTCGACGCTCACTGTTTTTTTTCTTCTTTTACACGTGCTATTCAAACTTCTGGTTTAAACATACACAAGTTTCTAAATTGTTTTTTAAGTGATTTAAACTTATTTTAACAATCATGAAGTGTTCTAGAATCATTTACAAGCAGTTTCAGCTTCTGTTTGATGATGGAAAACAGGTTTTTCCAAGAAAATACCGCAAACGACCGCACACGATTTGAAATTACGGAGTTTCATTAGACCTTTTCTAACAGTTACAAAAAGTTTTTTTACCTGAAATTTCGTGGGGAGAAGGGGGTGCGGACTATGTACCAGTGCAAACTATACAAGCCCGATTACGGTATATTATATGTAAGTTTGGTATTACTAATTATATATGTTGGTCCTATATTATACGTAAGTTTGGTATTACTAATTACATATGTTGGTCCTATATTATACGTAAGTTTGATATTACTAATTACATATGTTGGTCCTATATTATACGTAAGTTTGATATTACTAATTACATATGTTGGTTCTATATTATACGTAAGTTTGATATTACTAATTACATATGTTGGTCCTATATTATACGTAAGTTTGATATTACTAATTACATATGTTGGTCCTATTTTATACGTAAGTTTGATATTACTAATAGACTATTTTCATATTACCGACTTTTGACTCCGGATTATATAATTTGTCGACTGGTTACCTTGGACATCATGGTACTCGGTCAAGTAAGAGCAACCAAAATAAGTAAAATCAAACATATAATCGGTGTAATTTGAGGGGAAAGTTTACTGTTTTCCGATGATTTTGTAGTGAAAAAAAAATGTTAAGCAGGTAATTTTCCCCCAAAATTGTACCAATTGAAAGCTTGGTTTTACTTCTTTAGCTTGCTCTTACCTGACTTAATACCATGATGTCCAAGGTAACCAGTCGACAAATTATATAATCTGGAGTCAAAAGTCGGTAATATGAAAATAGTCTATTACATAAATATGCTGGTCCTATACGTAATTTTAATATGAATAATTACATATGTTGGTCCTATCTATTCTACTAAAATAACCAGGTCCAATTTGTAATCCGGCACAACGTAAAAATGACATATCAAATAATTCAACTTTATATATATCTAATATAGGACAATGGTGTTGATTAAAAATTACACCAATCCAGGCCTTTTTGTTTTCCAAATAATTAATATTACCAGAAATTAACAAGTTTCTGGCCGACGGGTTCAAATAAAAAGAAAGCAGAGAAAACTGTGCACCTTATAATCGCCAACCGTGCTAGACCATCAATGTCGTTAAAAATGAGTGGTCTGTAGGTCTGAACAACATTTGTATCAGATTGGTATTGTTTTTCTGTATTTGTATTTTATCTGACTGTGACAAAAGAATATCTTTTTTTTTTATATCTTTTAGCGGACTGTCCTGCAGGGTATAAACTTGTGAGTAGATGTACCAATTACAACTGTGATAGACAATGTGAAGTTTGTGGATACGATTATTACCAACCATCCACGAGACAACACAATTGTATTTATTGTGGAACTGGATATACTACATTTGACCTACAAAATGCACAGACTAAATTACACTGTAAACGTATGTGTCTTTTGGGACTGTAGTAAAAGGAGTAGGCTCATCGAGGGTCAGCGTTGGCTCAATCCTTGGAATTAAGTTTTATAATGATTGTGATAACCACAGCATGAAAATATGTAATAACAATTCCAATACAAAATCAACAAATTTGGCACATTCCACAAGTGTGGATGTCTTTATTACATTATAATAATGTACTTTTTTAAAAGAAGAATTTTATAATTTTGACTATTTGACAATGAACAATACATGCTCTAAGAAGGTACAGACACAAAATAAAATGTCTTGGGGTTATTAATAATGAATGGAGAGAAACAGTTATTTTTTCTCAGAAGCTACAGATAAGAGCTACCTGAAACTTTGTATCAATTTTCATGAGAACATGCTTTACTGTATGATACTTTTTCAAATTATGCCTCATCAAATTCCTGTTTACCAAATTCTTATTGCAGGGTAATCACTTGTGAACAATATTTCAAAGTTCATCATGTTAATGAAAGCAGCTGTGCACATATTGCATGTATAATTTTGTTTTCAAGTTGATTGTGCCAGTGGGAGTGAGATAAATCCATCAGACCCTCTGTCATGTCGTACATGTGCGATTGGTTACTATAGAGATGGTTCAGATAGAAAGATGAGATCATGCCAGTTATGTCCCTTGGATTTCATCACTTCTGAATTAGGAGCCACTAATATAAATAACTGTATTGTCAGTAAGTTTGATCAAACTTAAATGATATATCAAATGCTTATGTACATTAAGTGTCTTAGTTTTATGAACAATTATAAGACAAATTAGTTGAGTTTGTCATACTAAGGTGAAGAATTTGATGCATTTTTTTTTTAGAATCGACTGAAATTCTTGGATGGATATCTGAAAGTATGCAGAACCATTTTTTTAAGGTTCATGAAGACATTAATTCCATTGCAACATTAAGGTTTCCAACATGACATCATCTCTTTAAATCAAGGTCTTGAAACTTAGTTGGAAACATTTTAATGATTGATTAATAATTCTTATATGATTTGCATATTAGGGAATACGTTTATATGATTGGTCGAGAAGGCTTCCGGTAGTGGCTCTTGAAGTTATTCATTTTTGGATAGACGACATTGAAGGAACTACTTTTTGTAACCAACGTAAAAAAGATGGCAGCGATAATAGCACAAACTGCCTCGATGTTTAAAATATTTATTTTCAATTCTCGTTCATCGTTAAATTATATAATAAACACAAAATATTCATTTGAATGATTTTTTTATCAGATAGCAAATTTCATGGAGTACAGTTTTTTGTGTTTACCAAAAAATATATTCATGGGCCAGGCCAAATCAATGACACTAATATACAATTTACATGTGATAGAGGTTACTAGTGGGGAAATTTAAATTCCTTATCTTAAAAATTATAAGGATTAAAAGCATTTTAAAAGGAATTTATTGGTGTATAAACTGGACCAAGTCACTCACAAACATATCAATAAAGTCCTTCAGACTTTTATTTGTTTATGAGTAACTTGGTGTAGATTATACACCAACAAATTCCTTTAAAAAGGCGTTTAATCCTATAGAATAACATTCACTCCTTAAAAAGTCTATAAAGTCAACCCTGTGAGTGTTGTCCTATTTAGGTAAACTGCAGATGCTTATTTGTTGTCAAAAAAGAAGAATTTTGAGAACTGAGTTTTGTTTTAGCAAGAATTTTAGTAAAAATCAAATTTTTTGAATAGAAATATCATGGATTTTCTTATTTTGAAATTTTCTTATTTGTCCCCCATCTTTTTCTAGATTATGTTTTAATAAAATGATTAGAGATTTAAGTCTGATTTACATTATATTTTAATGAAAATGATTTGAATTCAAAACTTTTTACCAATTTTTGGAACTAGCTCTTAGATGGAGCCAATTCACCAAATAATTTTGGGATTTTTATTTTTATCTTATTTTGAATCGGAAATAAAAATCAAGGTGAAATCTTTTGTATATAAACAATTCTTATATTTTAAGGAAACTGTACACAGCCTGGCACATACAGAAACTCTGTCAATAATAGATGTACACCCTGCCCAGTGGGAACATATAACCACCTTAAATGGCAAGACTCTTGTACACCATGCCCTGATGGGTATACGACAGCCACCACTGGGTCGACTAATGTCAGTATCTGTATCCGTAAGTATGCAGTACAAAGTGAAATGGCTAGAGTTTGCCATTGTAACTAATATGTCCATTGAGGCAAGTAGATTGTAAGAATTGCTGTTGATTCATTTAGTTTGGAGAATACCAATATTTGTGGATTGAGGAAAAATGTATTTTGTGGATATTTGATTTCCTAGTTTTGCTTAAGTTTCCATACAAGACTATAGAAAATTTGTGCTTTGTTGAACATTATGATTTGTAGTTTAACGATAGCCATGAAATCCATGAAATTGGTATCCAACAAATAATAATGAATTCACAGTAACTTATTTAGTGAAACAGTAATATTATATCATACAATCCCTTATAAAGGGAAACACATCAATTTTAGTCACACACTTTTCACAGCGTAATAATGACACAACACAATCTGCTAATAGGTATACCTCATCAGCTGAGTGGGTTTATGCCTGGGTATTTAGTATAAACTGTGTATAGAATGATAGACTTCATACACATTATACTCAATATACAACCTATGAATTTCAAGATGGTTATATATGTTTTCTTAAGAATTTATGAATGGTTTTGGGAGTACAACATATGGTGTCAGTGTTCTCCCCAGGATTTTTTGATAGCGCTGTGGTAAGCGCGTGATTTTCGACTATTCTCAGTAACTTTGTCGCGGCGCACGGTTCGTTTGTAATGGGTTTGTTATGATGTTTTTATAGAACATGCTGCTGATGTTTGCTCTTGTAATGTTGTTCTGATGGAAGTTACCCCTTTGTTTGTAAATGTTAATGTTTGAAAATAGATTCTTTTTTCATCTCCATTGTGAATTCAGATAATCAAACAAAAATAAGTTATTCATTATCATGATTTAACTGTAGCATACATTAACCATTCTCTTTATCCGTGTACAAAACCCAAGGAAAAGTATTTTTCCATGAAGGGTCAACACCAGACTGGCGATGTGAAGATTTCTTAATAGGTGATGCTGTACAAGTAGAACATGTAGGACCCACAACCACGTCATTGTCAGTTTCTGTGTTGGGTTTTGTAACCTACTGGAGCAGTGTACTATTAACATTACGACTTTTGACAGGAGTTGACATTTTGAAACATTATGATTTCTCATTTTTATGATCACCATTTTATTACATTCGTATGGCTTCACCACAGGCACTTGTTTCTATCCATGGGAAGATGCGTTGATAGTGGATCTTCCCATGGATAGAAACAAGTGCCTGTGGGCTTCACCCTAGTCCAAATAATTATGACGTCTTGCAATGCTATTTTAATTTTTTTTCTGTGACGCCTTCCTGCGACGTCATAACGCTGAAGCCATTTTTTACGTCTGGACTTTGAGAACCAATTTTGGCATCTCCTGTTAGATTATTGATTCAAAATATTTCCAGAAATATCCAAAAGAAATGATAAAATAAGATACCATTCCATTTGAGGTGAGCAAATATTTACTTTAATTTCAAAATGGTTTCCCAGAATTTCCAAAATACGTCACTTCCAGAGAGTATAAAATATAAAAATCGTTAAAATTTGAAGGACCTGAATTTCCGAATAATACAAATCGAACGTTCCGGAAATTCGGGTCCATCAAATTTTATCAATTTTGATATTCTATACTCTCTGGAAGTGACGTATTTTGGAAATTCTGGGAAACCATTTTGAAATTAAAGTAAATATTTGCTCACCTCAAATGGAATGGTATCTTATTTTATCATTTCTTTTAGATATTTCTGGAAATATTTTGAATCAATAAGCACAAAAAAGGTAAGATTTTGTAACTATGCAAAAATTTCTAGCCAGCAATGAAGATTTCATGCCAAAATTGGGTCTCAAAGATCCCCCCAAAATTCTCTCTCAAAGTTCAGACGTAAAAAATGGCTTCAGCATTATGACGTCGTAGGAAGGCGTCGCAGAAAAAATTTAAATAACCTTGCAAGACTTCATAATTATTTGGACTAGCTTCACCCATAGTGGACAAAGTGATTTTTTTTTCTCAAGTCTAGTATCGGCTTGGGGTTTGTTTTTCTAATCATATCCTAATTGTTTTCAAATGGTAAAATTTATTACTGTAGTATTGCTGATTAAACAATTATTAGTTCGATTAGGAGATAATACTTCAAAGTCCAAAGACTTGCACATTGAAGCCAATTTGATCGTTGTTTAAAATAATTGTTTGATCAAAACTAGTAAAACAAGTTTGTGAGTGTTGTTGGTAAATGTGGTCCATTTATTTCATCTTATTCCATACATATTGGCTTCTTTATATTCTTTTTAAATAAAAAAATGGATGATAATGTTGATTTCTTCGTTTATTTTGATTTTGCAAAGACGCCATTTTTTAAAATTTATTAAACTGGTCCCGTGATGTTACATTATACAAAGCAAATAACGCAATCAGAAATAGTAAACCAGACGATCACGTGATCAAAGCAAAATATAAGCGGGAAATTTAAAAAAAAAATAAAATAAAAAAAAATATAGTGACGCAATTGATTTGGATAGCGCTGCGCTCAGTTCAATAGAACAGCAGAGAATTGCGATAGCGCTGAATACTGCAGCACTAAAACAGCCTGGGAGAACACTGGGTGTGGATGTGTGTCAGTTGTTGATAACTAGTTTTTACATATGTTTTGTTTGTATGCTGGTTTGCTGTCACTTTGAAATTCTTCTGAGAAACTAGACATTGAATTATCTTGAATTCAAGATTAAATGATTACACTCTGTCTGTTTTGTATCTTATTTTTAATCCTGATAGTTTCTGAATGTTTTCAAATTGAAATGAATTTTTACCTTTAAACATGGTTTAAACTTGTAAATGGGAGGAAGGGTAAATGTTGTACCCATAAACCGGAACAAGGATTAAACTTGTAAATGGGAGGAAGGGTTAATGTCTAATACCTATAAACAAGGTTTAAACTAGTAAACAGGAGGATAGGTCAATGTCTCATCCATCAACCAGGTTTAAGCTTATGAAGGGGATGAAGGGTAAATGTTTCATATGTCATACAACTTTGGAGAAAATGAGACATACCTAGAAAAACATCTCTGACCAAATAATGACAACTTATTTGTATGGTTAAAAGAATTGCCACATATTTATAAACGCATTTCTTCTTTTAACATTGCAATAATACTTAAAAAAAAAACAAATTAAAAGCAGACTTTCAGACTGATAGAAACCAGGGTATAATTAATTTTGAAATGTTACCATATATATGATAGTTGCCAATGAACTTTAAACACCCCTGATTTAGTTGTTGGTTCGAATGATGATTTGAGTGTCATAACGTACCCAGTATATAAACTTTCAGGTGATTGTCCATCTGGTTATGATCATGATGGTTCAGTCTGTCGTCCTTGTCCTGTCGGAAAGTACAGAGATAAAGACAAGAGTGGATTAAGCTGTCGAACCTGTCCAAATGGATATACTACTGCTAAGACTGGATCTATATCATCATCCATGTGTAACCAATGTAAGTATATAGACCCAAGTTTCTATGCTGTCAAAAGTGATAACACTTCTCTGGTCTAACATTGCTAGAAATATAACACTACAATTTTTTATAAAGATACAAAACTGATTACACTTCCGGGCTCTAAACTTATTAGAGTGATTACAATACATGATTTCTTCATACCAAAGTGATTACACTATTACGGTCTAAAAACACCAAGCTGATTACACTACAACGGTCTAAAGACACCAAAGTGATTCACTACTAAGGTCTAAAGATATCAAAGCGATTAAACTTCAGTGGTCTAAAGATATCAAAGCGATACACTGCTATGGTAAAAAAGTTCTTTAAGTAATTACACTAGTTTAGTATAAAGTTAACAGATTGATTACACTACTATGGTCTCAAGATACAAAAGTAATTACACCAAAGATACCAAAATGATTGCACTAGTATGGTCTGATGATACAAAATGGATTACACTAGGGATTCTAAAGATACCAAAAAGATTCATTCCACTTCTATGGCCAAAATTATCACACTAGTACAGTCTAAAGACCTGCCAACTATCCCGATTTATGGGGGATATCCCCAATGAGAGGTGGTGACCTGAATTTTTAGATTTTTTATTTTATAAACTGAACACCTCAAAACAGGCATTATAAAGAGTTAAAGGGGTATTTAAGCACATACATACTCATTCAAACAATATAGTAGTAGATTAAAAACACTTATGACAATATAAGAGGATCATAAGTTCCTCTTGCGCTCAAAATCCCCCATGGAGATTTTGAAAAGTTGGCAGGTATGGTATCAAAATGATTTCACTTGTGTGGTGTAAAAATTCCAAAGTGATTCCACTACTATGGCCTAAAAATAGCAAAGCCATTACACCAGTATGATCCAAAGATACCAAAGTGATTCCACTACTATGGCCTAAAGATAGCAAAGTTATTACACCAGTATGATCCAAAGATACCAAAGTGATTCCACTACTATGGCCTAAAGATAGCAAGGTTATCACACCAGTTTGATCCAAAGATACCAAAGTGATTCCACTACTATGGCCTAAAGATAGCAAAGTTATTACACCAGTATAATCCAAAGATACCAAAGTGATAACATTAGAATGGTCTAAAGATAGCAAAGTTATTACACCAGTATGATCCAAAGATACCAAAGTGATTCCACTACTATGGCCTAAAGATAGCAAAGTTATTACACCAGTATGATCCAAAGATACCAAAGTGATTCCACTACTATGGCCTAAAGATAGCAAAGTTATTACACCAGTATAATCCAAAGATACCAAAGTGATAACATTAGAATGGTCTAAAGATAGCAAAGTTATTACACCAGTATGATTCAAAGATACCAAAGTGATTCCACTACTATGGCCTAAAGATAGCAAAGTTATTACACCAGTATAATCCAAAGATACCAAAGTGATAACATTAGAATGGTCTAAAGATAGCAAAGTTATTACACCAGTATGATCCAAAGATACCAAAGTGATTCCACTACTATGGCCTAAAGATAGCAAAGTTATTACACCAGTATGATCCAAAGATACCAAAGTGATAACATTAGAATGGTCTTAAGATAGCAAAGTAATTAAACTTTAACGGTATGAAGATACCAGAATGATTACATTTGTTATGGTCTAAAGATATCAAAGTGATCACACTAAAATTACTAGAGTTGCTGTCTCATTGTAATATAACCCACATTTCTTTTTATTCATAGACACAAATGTTTACTTTGAGAATATGCTTTTTTAATTCAAAATTTGCTCTCATTATTTTTCCATTAACTCATTGAATATAAAATATGTTATTTCAGCTCCTTGCAACTTAGGAGAATATCTGAACACTGGAACAAATAAATGTGTAAAATGTAAATTGCATCATTACCAAGACAATACCGGAGGATTTAATTGTAAGCTGTGTCCTAATGGCAAATATACAGAACAAATTGGAAGTGTTAGCCTAGGTGCTTGTAAGAGTAAGTAATTCATACATAAAATATTGGTAGTGTAAGGCAATGAACCCTAAAATATTTAGGGATTATTTTAATTGTTTTATATCTTCCCACAAAGATGGCTGGGTCATACAGATTTATATTTGTACCATGTCTAAGCATATTCTATGAGATTAAATTTCAACTGTCATCCTGAAACTAGAATTATCTCATCTATACATTTCTAGGAATATCATTGGTTAAAAGCGATTCTTGGAGACTGTGTATATTTAATATGGGGTTAGTAGGCGTGGTTTATATTAATACACGGTTAGTAGTGGTGTTGCGTCCTTTATAAAAACAACACGATGTTGAGGAAAAATCTGAAACCTTTCGCCCAGACAACAGACGAAGAAATTGATGATGAACGTTTGAAATAAATGCAGAAAACACATTAAACAACATTGAAATAGGAGGTATTGAAACAATGTGGTTTGAAGTAAAACCAGATTATAAAAAATCATTTTTTTCAGGTCATACCTAAGTAATAGAACACAGCAAGTAAACATTTGCAATGTTAATTCTGATAAAAAAAGATGTGAAATTTGGTGTCCCCCAAGGATCTATACTAGCTCTTCTATTTTTTGTCTTATTTATAAATGACCTTCCCCTTTGCATTAAAAATTGTAAAACAGACTTGTATGCTGATGATACTACTCTTCATAAATCCGGGAAAAACATAGAAAATTTACATCATGATGTACAAGATGATATATGCAGAGTTGAAGAATGGTGCAAAATGAATAATATGTTCATCAATACTAAAAAAACAAAATGTTTGGTTACTGGAACAAGTCAGAAGTTATCAACTCAATCTTTTCAACCAAATTTACAAATCAATTCAGAAACACTACAAAATTCATCATGTGAAAAATTATTAGGTGTTAAAATTGACAGCATACTTAGCTGGACAAATCAAATTGATCAAAGGAGAAGGGGCTATAATGGCCAATATTGGCCTCAATTTCGAGAATTTTTCAAATTCTACTTATTCGTATGTGTATGGCTTTCTTTTTGCGTTGGACATATTCATTTTATGAAAAAAATGTTTTTTTGTAGTTATGACGTCACAATGCTGTGTTTTGACATCACTTCACGTGCATATTTGCTGGCTTTTCGCAATTTTCTAGTCATTTTCACTAAGTTTTTTTACGAAAAAAAGTACCAGCGCATTCTTGCCCCAACAAAATATTTTGTCAGAGCAATAATATCAACAAAAAGCATCTTATGTTGAAATATTTTCATGGGGCAAAGCTGCGCTCATACTGAATTTCAATTAAAAACTTGCTCAAACGGGCATCAAAAATTTAAAATTATCGTCCGTTTTTCATATATACCGGTACGCAAATTTTGTCAGACAAAGAGTTGACCAGGAACAGATGTATTTTTTTAACAGAATTTTTTGTCAATGGTTGATAACAATAAAGTTTGGCTATAGATAGTAAATAACAAAGTGTTTGTCTTCATTTTTTTGGGTATATATATATATAACATAGCCTCTCAAGCATATCCTGGCCCTTGCGTATATTTGTTGTAAACGATTACGGAACTGACGCACGGAATTTTACTAGAGCTGTTGTTAAGAAGCTTTTTATAGCGGAATAGAAATCAGCGTATCATTCGTTAAATACTTGATATTACCAGACAGAATTGAAAGAACTTAATATAATTTAAAAGATGTGATCATATTTTTGAAAATGGTGGAATTCGTATCTCGTGAAAGGTAAGTTATGCATAAACTACAGCATGAACATGTCACGTAAAAAGTTCTTCCATCTTTTCATATAATTATCTCTAAGAAAAATCGAAATAAAAACAAAATTTTAATTATATGATTTATTTTCTATTAATTGCTTCAAAGTTATTCAAAATTAAGTATTTAAAACGGAACACAGATTACTAAACACGTATAAAATTCCACGGCACAGTAGACGAAAACTTCATTTTCATTTTGCACGTCTGCATGGTCTGTTTGGTATAAAACAAAAATAATTTAGACCATGACATAATCAACAATTATGAAATGGCCATATCAATGATATAAACAATTTAGTTGAATCGTAAATAAGTAGTAAAGAAATGAAAACGAAATAATATTGTTCCGTCCGTTTATGAATCAAAATGATAAATATGAGTTATTAACGTCATGTAGTTGATGTGGCAGTGTGGTTCATATCGCCTACACGCTACGTTAGTAAGAAAAGGATTTACGTTCGAGTCTCATCTTGACCAATTTTTTTTTTTTCATCGTTTCGTAATTTTTTACATTTGTCGTTTTAAATCATATTATCATTTATCAATAATTTTGTAAAGACACCTTAAACAACAAAAAATTAAAAAAAAAGATAAATAAAAGTATATACCCGAACTTTGTTAATTGTTAATTCTCAAGCTACATGTACTATAGTATCATTATCGACAGATTTGCACGTGTTTTACTCATGAAGAAATGGTATATGTGCTAAAGAGGAAAGTTCCTTCTGTTGACTTTCATGATAGATATAAAAAAAAGAAACAAAATCAACATGCACCAATATATATAAAGACATGATTTTTTTTTTTTTTTTGATTTTTAGACATAAATGGATTCTGCAGACAGTGGACCTAAATTATTACATGATAATTTCCTTGTAGAATTAAAAATGAGTAAGTATCTATATAGTTTTATGCAATCGATTATTTGATACTGAGTGCAGAAGATTAATAGTTCAATTAGAAGCATTGCGAAACCAGATTTAAAATTAGATATTTATGCGCAGCATCCAGAAGTAAAAGTATAAAATATGGATTACATTATGTTATAGTCTGAAAATGTATGAAATATTTGCCACTGGATGTCAATACATTCATTTAATATTCATATAACCAAATACATCGATGAATTTGACAACTTAGAATGTTATTTCTACTATGGAAAATCTTATGAAAATTTCATGTGATGCACTGGCTTGCATAATCTACGCTATTAAGAAGAGTGACAGACAGAGTTTCATCTTCAAAGGAATTTATTATATTTGATCTAAATTTTGTGTTATGTGAATAACAAACATCAAACATAAAACCTCAACATGACTGTTACTTAAAAAAGCAATTTATGCTGAACAGTCATTACAGTGCCGGGCTTGTCTTATGTCGAAAATGTTCTGGTATTCTCTGTAGTTGGTTTGCTGTCTTATTTATTCGCCTCCCCATTTAATATGGCTATTCTGCACAACACATTGTAAAATGTATTCCGCCTATATTCATAAACGGTTATTTCTATTCTCTTCTTTACAATAATAATCATTAAATTTAATCATGTTATTTCACCAATATTCTTTTAGCACAGGCTAACGTTAGATTTTGCAATACAGTTAACACATATATATTTAACAAAAACAGATTGCAATGAAATTGTTTAGGAGTTGAATAGATTTTGCAATTGAATGTACCAAATATTATTTGTATCCTCTTATGTTGTTTTTTTTTCAGAATGGACAACATAAGAAAGGGACGAAAAGATTTTAAATGTATATTGTGTGAAAAAAGAACAAAACCTGGAAAAAGAAGACCTTTGTGTGGAGAAGCAAATAAAAATCTGCGCAATTTTCTCAGTAAGAGTTTCCTTGTTTTACCTAATGATGATGACGTTATATGTGATACTTGTCGACGGAAATACTACAGAGAAGAGCAAGCACAAGTAAATACACCAACTGTTCTTACAACTGATACAAATACAAATGATCCTGATTTTATGCCACCATCCGCACCTAAAAGAGCAAAATTAAGTTCTCCTTTATCAATATCGCTTCCTATTTCTTCAACAATTAAAGGTCATGCACAATGTTGTCTTTGCAAAAAGCGTGGTCCAAAACTTATGGTTGTTCCCCAAGAAGCACGATTTAACACATTTTTGGAAAAGAATATAATTATTCCTGCCGGATCACGTTGCTGTCCTCGTCATTTATGTACTGAAGGTTTTACAAAAGAAGCTAACGAAGACATAACAAGTGTGTATACTGTTTCTGACTTCAATCGCAGCGGACTACTTGAATTGATCGATACAATTAGAGAACATGCTTTAAAAAATAAAAACGCTAGAATTGACTTTGATAAATCTTCTTCTTTAAATGACACAGATTTTCGAAATTTGACTGGCTTAACAATAACTGATTTTGAAGACTTATGTTCTCACATTCCAAACTCATCTATAAGAGATACTCGAGTACGAAGCATGAGAACATGCATTGGTATATTTTTGACCAAACTTCGTTCGGGGATGTCTAATAAGATATTAGCAACTTTGTTTAATATAAGCAAAGATTCTATCAGGAAAGCTATATCATCCGCAAGAGATGCAGTTAAACAGCACTTTACACCAAAATATTTAGGTTTTGATCATGTATCCAGAGAAAGTGTTATACAAAACCACACTCGTCCACTGGCACAAACACTATTTGGTGATATCACAAACACAACTGCTATACTCGTAATTGATGGTACTTATATTTACATACAAAAGAGTGGACAATTTAAATTTCAACGTAGTACATATAGCATGCACAAATACCGCAACCTGATTAAGCCAATGATGTTTGTAACTACTACTGGATACATTGTAAGTGTGATTGGACCCTACCTTTGTAACAGCAAAAACAATGATGCCAAAATTTTGAACTCAATTTTTAAAAATAACTTGGAGAAAATTAAGGAATGGTTTGAAACAAATGATGTTGTTGTGGTTGATCGGGGATTTCGGGACAGTATCGACCTTTTAGAAGAATTTGGTATTCAAATTAAAATGCCAAGCTTTCTCAAACGTAACGAGAAGCAACTTTCGGTTGAAGATGGTAACACAACACGTCTAGTAACAAAGGTCCGCTGGGTTGTTGAGTCCGTTAATGGTAGAATCAAGCAGTGGCGATTGCTTGACAAAGTACTACCCAATTCCCTTATACCGTATGCTGGTGAATATACACGTTTTGTCAGTGCCATATGTAATAAGTATAGACCACCACTTAATTCTGGTAATGAAACTGAAGACCTTCTCTTAGGTACAAAAATGCTTCACATGTCAAAGAAGAAAAATGAGCTCATGGAACGAGTATCAAATGAAAACTTGCATTCCAGAAGTGGTAGGTGGCAAAAAATAGACGGCAACGATTCAGTTGAAGATTTTCCGAAGCTATCGGAGGAGGACATCAGGGACATAACGCTCGGTGTATACCAGCTTAAACTAGCTAAGAGTTATACTGAGGAACATTTAGAAAATGACGAATACTATGAAGTCATGCAACAGGGACATCAACTCATTAGGGTTAGAATGGCAAGTAGGCATACAAGCAGCAAATCGCATAATCTATGGATTACATACGATGACTGCTGCATAAAGGCTTGGTACTGTACTTGCAAGGCCGGAGCTCGAATTGTTGGCACTTGTAGTCATATTTCCTCAGTGATATGGTTTCTCAGTTTTTACCGGCATCAAAGTTGCAAAGGAAATCAAGCAAAGCAATGGAGGGACTATGTCCATGATGCTAATCAGCCTGAAGTCATTGATGATAGTGACAGTGAACCTGAGGAGTAAACATTAAACATTTGTATTCTATACTGAACAATTACTTGGCCATATAGGGCATATCGTATAATGTCAATTTTGTTTTGTATGTCATTGTTGGAAATGAAACTGACGTACGTCGGTATCAGGGTACCACTATGTGGAATATTACCAACAACTGTCAATTTTATAGAAAAGAACAGCAGTTAAAGTGTTTTTGCCTGATATATACATGTACTTCCTTTAACATTTCTAAAGCAAAAAACAAATGTCAAATATGATGGCTTGACTGAGATTTTTCTAAATTTTTTAATGGTGATACTTAAGAAGTTTTTTCATTATATTTAATATTCAATCATGCTTAATTTCAGTACGGAAAATCTTAAACAACAATTGAAATGATTTCAATTCAAGTTTCATGTGTATCTGCAGATGTCGAATATAGAAGGGAAGACATTTATTGCAATAGTTAAATTGGTAAATTCGAACAAATTGTTACACCAAACTGGCATAATTATTATTGATAGCATAATACCTGAATTTGTGATAACTGTTGTTTAAAAAAAAAATCATAATCATTGTCTAGTAAGACGAGTTTCTTAATCAACAGTTTTGTTGATCTGATATACTATCTCCTGATGTAGCACTTGTAACCTTGGCAACATTTAAAAAAAGAAGGTTGAGGTAATAAAAAAATGGGGTGGGGGTGGGGGTGGGGTAGGGGGATGCACATTATATTTTTTAATTTGATATGAAGAACATGTGAAAAGTTAATAAAGATAAACGTGCTAAGAATATTTCAGTTTTAAGAAGGTTGAGAAATTGTTGAAATGTATAGTTTATGAAATTGCGAACTTTATTCATATATTATCTCTATACTTAGTACTGTACGATTTAAATGTTATACCTTCTTTTTGTTTTTATCAACAGGCTACATAAAAGTACACACAATACTCATTTTGGTTATTCAAGGTAAAAGAATACACAAACAATACTTGTTGATTCTCTCTTGTGAAAAAAATTCTGTAATTTAGTCATACATAGAACAAAATTTTAACTTTGTTGTTACCATAGCAACTATATTACTGATATTAAATAGTTAAACTTTATATCAATTTTGTTCTTCATTGTATAAATACAATGTTACACTAGTAATAATGTATTCACGTTGATTATTTAAGGTTTAATCTGTTGTAAAAAGTACACAATTCATAAAAAAAGGATAAAATATGCAAAAAGCTGATATTTTAGCTTAGTCGGCATACCATTTTTATGACGTCATAACAAGAAAACGGCAAAAGATAACTATTAAATCCTTGGTGTTTTATAAGCTCCATATCATAGATATCAATTGAAAGAAATATCAATAGATTTGGAAGTGGGGCCAATTTTGCCCCTTAGAGCCCCCTCTCCTTTGTGCTAGCATTTCATCAAGAATATAACTTCTTTCTAAATTAAAGAAATTTTAGATATTTTAAAATGCCAGGAAAGCATATTATAACGGGTATATTCTGCCGCTCATCGATTACTGCTGTATTGTTTGGGGAGAATGTAAAAATGAAGGGATAATAAGAATATTAAAACTTCAAAAAAGAGCAGCAAGATTAATTCTTGTTGCAGACCCTTTATCCCCATCAGCCCCTTATTTAAAGAACTTGGATGGATGACAGTAGAAAATAGAATCAAATACCACAAATACTGCTATATAAATGTATGCGGAAAGAAGTACCACAGTACCTACTTCAAAAGTTTCAACTTATATCTGTTCATAATCCTTATGCTTTAAGGTGTGTTACTCAAGGTAATTTGATAGTTCCTAAGCCAAAAACTGAACTGTTTAAAAAATCTTTTGCTTATTCTGGATCAGTTTTATGGAACGGACTACTATATGAAATGCGTAAAGTGCAAAACACTTTTTGTTTTAAACAAATTATAAAACGATACTTGAGGCAGTGCCAATATTCAGTCTTGAAATGATTGCAACTATTACTTTTTTAGAATGTATGATTTTGATTTGTAGATAATATCTATTTACTACATGAACTCTGTAACTGTTTTATATGTTCTAATGGTACATGTACACTGAACTATCATGACTATACGATGGTGAACGGACTATGTGTTAATATGTTGTATGTTTGCTTTATTTTTTTACTTGTATTGTATATGAGGGCCTCAGGGAAGATTAGTAATTGTAACTAACTGTGTTTACCCTCTTTAAATAAAGAATTTATTATTATTATTATTATTATTATTAAAAGCTAACAAGTTGTTACTGTTGGCATTTGTTTTTGGATAGACCAATGGAAGTAGGTTCTTTATATTGAAGACTTGATCACTTTGATAGGCCACTAGTCAAATGCCACATGTTAAGATAGTCGGTAAGATAAATTTGTTACACAGTGTGCTAGTGACCTAATTAAATATTTATATATGGGGTCAGTAAATTCCACCCCATATATACCGTATTAGGTCACTAGCACACTGTGTAACTAATAAAACAAGATGCAATGATGGAATAACAATATAAGGTTGGATGCCCTTGGTAAAAACATTATCTAGGTAGGGAAAATGTAAGTATAATGGAAAGGATCTGCTATGGAAATGAATATTGTAAACCAACTAATTTTCTTGAGCAATTTATTTTCATGATTCATGAGTAGAAAAATAACGTGAATATTACTTGTCGCAAATATGTAAAACTGGTATCTTTCCTTATTTAACTACAAGTAAATTTGAAAAACGTGAAATTATATTGCTGTGAAATGGGCTAGGAAGGGATAAACGAGAAAGTATCCGCGAAAATAAGTTGGTTTAATGAATAATTTATTTATCTTATTGATTAATAGACCAAGTATTTGGTAATGGTTTTAAATATGTTGATTGACTGTAGAGTCCACCATATTTTGATTATTTAGGTTACTGTGATGATAAGACGAAGAATAACTGTACTGCCACCTCAATTTGTCAAGACAATGTAGTTGGTGGATTTATCTGTGTGTGTATCACTGATCATGTAAAACAAAAGGGTGTATGTAAACGTAAGTTAAAATTTTTGTATTTAAATCTTACAACCCTGTCAACAAATGTGAAAGGGACACAACTGCTGCTTTAACATTCTCAAATATGCTGAAAAGCACTTCAGATGCAGGAAATTTATAGGTGTTATTTTCTTTTTGTAAGATTCTATTCCTAGGACTGATTATATTCTGTTTTGAGCTTGATAATGCAGAGTTTGACTGTAGATGTTATTTCTTTATTGCTGATATTTTGTATAAAGACAGAAATTTCATAATAACATTTTGTAAAGAGATAAAAAAAAAAATCTGATAATGCCCATTTTGTTGGAAATTAGCTGCGGAACCGTAGATCTAAGGTCCTTATGATATTTTTTAACAATTTGCAGACCATAGAGCTACAGATTTTTCCTATTTCAAAACATTTAAAATGCGACCCAGGGTCATGTTGCACTTATTTCCAAAAATTGTTTATCGCCTGTGCATAGCTTGTCAATGTATATAGTTTGTTTCAACCCAAACAAAATAGGCGGAGACATATATACAAAAGGAAACAATGAGAAAATTGTGTCTAGGAATTGAATATTCAAACATAAATAGGTAAGTCATACCAAAGAAAAATATCTAATGAAATGAACTATATACATTGACAAGAAATGCACTGGTGATAAAAAATAAAAATTTTGGAAATAAGTGCAACCTGAACCTGGGTCTCAATTCCAAACATTTTGAAATAGGAAAGATCTGTAGCTCTATAGTCTGGAAATTGTCAAATATTTCTTGGGTATAGGTGAACCACAATTAAAATGTTCAACAAAGTACAAATGTTCTATAGGACCTAAGAGCTACGGTTCCGCAGCTAGTTGGATATCTTACTTTATCAACTAAGATAATTTAAATGTTTTAGTATGAGAATTAACATTCAAATATGAGGTGTTCTAGAGTTCTTGATTGTTTTTTCTTTTTTGTTGTTGAAGAAAGCAAGTTGTATATTACTTGAGCTCCTTTGGTTATCTCCCTTACTCCAAGACACCTGATTTCTTCATTTCAGTGACACTTTCAAAGAATCATTGTTACAAAATATACTCTTCTCACCTGTGAATGGCTGTACAAAGTATGTCCTTTATTTTTTTATGATCTCAGAGGTACCCAATTTGTATTTGCAAGTGCTCCCTAACCCCATATCATATTATATGAAACCTCTGAATCATAACAATATATTGGTACTGTGCACCTCTTATTTAATTTTTGATCTGATTATTTTTAAGTTTCCCTAAGCAACCATTGACTTTGACATTGCTTTAAGTTTGTGTATGGTGTGGGTGGGGTAATTTTTATACGGCCGCGAAAAAATTTTGCGGTCGTATATTGGGATGACGTTGGCGTCTGGTCGTCGGCGTCGTTGTCCGAAGACACATTGGTTTTTGCACTCTAACTTTAGTTTAAGTGAATGGATCTCTATGAAATTTTACTATAAGGTTCAATACCACAAAAGGAAGGTGGGGATTGATTTTGGGGGTTATGGTACCAACAGTTAAGGAATTAGGGGCCAAAAATAAGCATTTTTGTAACTTCCAGACATAACTTGTGTGTTAGTGTATGGATCTCTCTGACATTGTACCACAAGGTTCCATATCACAAAGGGAATGCTGGGATTAATTTTGAGGGTAATTGCCTCCAAATTTAGGAATTAGGGGCCAAAAAGTGGCAAAAACAAGCATTTTTTTAGTTTCATGACAATAACTTATGTGTAAGTGTATGGATCTCTCTGACATAGTACCACAAGGTTCCATATCACAAAGGGAATGCTGGGATTGATTTTGGGGGTAATTGCCTCCAAATTTTAGGAATTAGGGGCCAAAAAGGGGCAAAAAACAAGCAGTTTTCTAGTTTCATGACAATAACTTGTGTGTAAGTGTATGGATCTCTCTGACATAGTACCACAAGGTTCCATATTACAAAGGGAATGCTGGGATTGATTTTGGGGGTAATTGCCTCCAAATTTTAGGAATTAGAGGCAAAAAAGGGGCAAAAAACAAGCAGTTTTCTAGTTTCATGACAATAACTTGTGTGTAAATGTATGGATCTTTATGAAATTGTACTACAAGGTTCCATATCACAAAGGGAAAGCTGGAATTGAGTTTGGGGGTAATTACCTAAAACGTTTAGGAATAAGGGGCCAAAAATAAGCATTTTTCTAGTTTCCAGACAATAACTTGTGTTCAAGTGTATGGATCTCTCTGAAATTGTACTGCAAGGTACCATACCACAAAGGGAAGGCTGTGATTGATTTTGGGGGTAATTGCCTCAACATTTTAGGAATTAAGGGCCAGGGGCAAAATAACAAGCAAAAATAACAAGCATTTTTCTAGTTTCAGGACAATAACTTGTGTGTAAGTGTATGGATCTTTATGAAATTGTACTACAAGGTTCCATATCACAAAGGGAAAGCTGGGTTTGAGTTTGGGGGTAATTGCCCTAAACGTTTAGGAATGTGGGGCCAAAAAGGGGCAAAAAAACAAGCATTTTTCTAGTTTCCAGACAATAACTTGTGTTCATGAGTATGAATCTCTCTGAAATTGTACTGCAAAGTACCATACCACAAAGGAAAGGCTGGGATTGAGTTTGGGTGTGATGAATCATAAGGGGGTTCAAAAAATTTTTGGGGGGGAATTTTTTTTTCCTTTTTTTTGTTTAAAATTTTCCATTTTAAATTGGTTATTTCTTATTTATATATAAAAGCAAATAATAATGATATGGTTTAAATAGGTAAATTAAAAAAATTTAAGTTCTTAGACCACATTCATTCTGTGTCAGAAACCTATGCTGTGTCAAATATTTAATTACAATCCAAATTCAGTGCTGTATCAAGCTTGAATGTTGTGTCCATACTTGCCCCAACTGTTCAGGGTTCGACCTCTGCGGTCGTATCAAGCTGCGCCCCAGCGGAGCATTTTATTGTTATATTTACTGAAAATTTTTGATCTGATTATTTTTAAGTTTCCCTAAGCAACCATTGACTTTGACATTGCTTTAAGTTTGTGTATGGTGTGGGTGGGGTAATTTTTGTTATATTTACTGAAAACAAACAGACTTTTAACGTTTACAATAAATGTAAGCATCCTAGTTCCTAAAAAAACTGACCTGATTTTAATGAAACTTTTACAAAACACACCAGGTCATTTATTAGCAAATTGATCTTAGTCTTGGTTTAAAACATTATTAAAGGTCATTTTAAGTGAAACTTTAGGTCCCAAGGTAGCCCACCAACTGCTCAAGGTCGCATGTCAGATTTGACCATGTTGGAGAGACATGTGTTGGTTGATTGATAATGGCCAAGAGTCTATCAACAATTAATGCATACATATGTAATACAAGAATATAATTTATTTTGATTTGTAACAGACTGGCTGATTTTGATTTTGTCATTGTAATAAGGCTAGATATAAAAGTTTATGTATACATGTATATCCAAAATGATCACTTATGCCTTTCTGAGTTCAAGAAGTAAATACTATTGACATACTGGTAACTGGATTAAATGATATTTAGTTAATACAGTTTCACCTAAATAAATCAGATATATGACATATTTGAAAATTAATTATTACAAGTCCTTTAGGTTTGGATACTATGATAATAAACTGTAACCTCAAAGCAGTTGGTTTTAGATTTTGTATAAATTTATTGTTAACATTTTTTGTATATTTTCAGATAAGTGTGATACTGGTTATTGTTCACATGGAACCTGCAACAGAAAGCCACTATCCTGCTCATGTCCTGAGGAATATAGTGGAACAACATGTCAAACTCGTAAATGTAAGTAAACTAACTTCTTTAATATTTTAAATAGTATAAAAGGAGATGTGAAGTATATGTCAAATTTTTTTTTAAATCAACCTAAAAACTTATTCCATTCAGGGGAAATATTTTAAAGCGTACTTTCTGTGTCGATATAGGTGTGCAGGTCCACAGCCGTTTCTCAGAGGCTTATTTTGTCTACCACTATGATATTTAGTTGTCATATTCATTTGGTACACTTTATCTATCCATATTTCTTAGTTAATAGGCTTTAAGTTTAATTTGGTTTCTGGTATGTTGAGTTCTGTGTTACTGCTTCTGCTCTATCTAGTTGTACAACATGGTATTGCAACATTTTTAACTCTTGATTCCACCATGCACTAAAGTATCCTTTCCAATTGGCACTGGCCTTGGGGTGAAGCCACACCAGTTAGGGGATTACTACTGTTCCTCTTCTAATCACTGGTCTTTGGGTGAGGCCACACTGGTTAGGGGATTACTACTGTTCCTCTTCTTATCACTGGACATTGGGTGAAGCCACACCAGTTAGGGGATTACTAATGCTCTCCTTCTAATCACTGGTCTTTGGGTGAGACCACACCGGTTAGGGGATTACTACTGTTCCTTTTCTTATCACTGGTCACTGGTCTTAAGGTGAAGCCACACCGGTTAGGGGATTACTACTGTTCCTCTTCTTATCACTGGTCACTGGTCTTAAGGTGAAGCCACACCGGTTAAGGGATTACTACTGTTGCTCTTCTTATCACTGGTCACTGGTCTTTAGGTGAAGCCAAACCAGTTAGGGGATTACTACTGTTCCTCTTCTAATCACTGGTCTTTGGGTGAGACCACATTGGTTAGGGGATTACTACTATTCCTATTCTAATCACTGGTCTTTAGGTGAAGCCACACCGGTTAGGGGATTACTGCTGTTTCTCTTCTTATCACTGGTCACTGGTCTCTACGTGAAGCCAAACTGGTTAGGGGATTACTACTGTTCCTCTTCTAATCACTGGTCTTTAGGTGAGACCACATCGGTTAGGGGATTACTACTATTCCTCTTCTAATCACTGGTCTTTGGGTGAGGCCACACTGGTTAGGGGATTACTACTGTTCCTCTTCTTATCACTGGACATTGGGTGAAGCCACACCAGTTAGGGGATTACTAATGCTCTCCTTCTAATCACTGGTCTTTGGGTGAGACCACACTGGTTAGGGGATTACTACTGTTCCTCTTCTTATCACTGGTCACTGGTCTTAAGGTGAAGCCACACCGGTTAGGGGATTACTACTGTTGCTCTTCTTATCACTGGTCACTGGTCTTTAGGTGAAGCCAAACCAGTTAGGGGATTACAACTGTTCCTCTTCTAATCACTGGTCTTTGGGTGAGACCACATCGGTTAGGGGATTACTACTATTCCTCTTCTAATCACTGGTCTTCGGGTGAGACCACATCGGTTAGGGGATTACTACTATTCCTCTTCTAATCACTGGTCTTTAGGTGAAGCCACACTGGTTAGGGGATTACTGCTGTTTCTCTTATTATCACTGGTCACTGGTCTCTACGTGAAGCCAAACCGGTTAGGGGATTACTACTGTTCCTCTTTTATCACTGGTCTTTGGGTGAGACCACATCGGTTAGGGGATTACTACTGTTCCTCTTCTTATCACTGGTCACTGGTCTTTTGGTGAAGCCACACTGGTTAGGGAATAAATACTGTTCCTCTTCTTATCACTGGTCACTGGTCTTAAGGTGAAGCCAAACCAGTTAGGGGATTACTACTGTTCCTCTTCTTATCACTGGTCACTGGTCTTTAGGTGAAGCCACACCAGTTAGAGGATTACTACTGTTCCTCTTCTTATCACTGGTCACTGGTCTTTTGGTGATGCCACACCAGTTAGGGGATTACTACTGTTGCTCTTCTTATCACTGGTCACTGGTCTGTAGGTGAAGCCACACCAGTTAGGGGATTACTACTGTTCCTCTTCTTATCACTGGTCACTGGTCTTTTGGTGAAGCCACACCGGTTAGGGGATTACTACTGTTCCTCTTCTTATCACCGGTCACTAGTCTTAAGGTGAAGCCAAACCAGTTAGGGAATTACTACTGTTCCTCTTCTTATCACTGGTCACTGGTCTTTAGGTGAAGCCACACCGGTTAGGGGATTACTACTGTTCCTCTTCTTATCACTAGTCACTGGTCTTTAGGTGAAGCCAAACCAGTTAGGGGATTACTACTGTTCCTCTTCTAATCACTGGTCTTTAGGTGAAGCCACACCGGTTAGAGGATTACTACTGTTCCTCTTCTTATCACTGGTCACTGGTCTTTTGGTGATGCCACACCGGTTAGGGGATTACTACTGTTGCTCTTCTTATCACTGGTCACTGGTCTTTTGGTGAAGCCAAACCAGTTAGGGGATTACTACTGTTCCTCTTCTAATCACTGGTCTTTAGGTGAAGCCACACCGGTTAGAGGATTACTACTGTTCCTCTTCTTATCACTGGTCACTGGTCTTTAGGTGAAGCCACACCGGTTAGGGGATTACTACTGTTCCTCTTCTTATCACTGGTCACTGGTCTTTTGGTGATGCCACACCAGTTAGGGGATTACTACTGTTCCTCTTCTTATCACTGGTCACTGGTCTTTTGGTGAAGCCACACTGGTTAGGGAATAAATACTGTTCCTCTTCTTATCACTGGTCACTGGTCTTAAGGTGAAACCAAACCAGTTAGGGGATTATTACTGTTCCTCTTCTTATCACTGGTCACTGGTCTTTAGGTGAAGCCACACCAGTTAGAGGATTACTACTGTTCCTCTTCTTATCACTGGTCACTGGTCATTTGGTGATGCCACACCAGTTAGGGGATTACTACTGTTGCTCTTCTTATCACTGGTCACTGGTCTTTAGGTGAAGCCACACCAGTTAGGGGATTACTACTGTTCCTCTTCTTATCACTGGTCACTGGTCTTTTGGTGAAGCCACACCGGTTAGGGGATTACTACTGTTCCTCTTCTTATCACCGGTCACTAGTCTTAAGGTGAAGCCAAACCAGTTAGGGAATTACTACTGTTCCTCTTCTTATCACTGGTCACTGGTCTTTAGGTGAAGCCACACCGGTTAGGGGATTACTACTGTTCCTCTTCTTATCACTGGTCACTGGTCTTTAGGTGAAGCCAAACCAGTTAGGGGATTACTACTGTTCCTCTTCTTATCACTGGTCACTGGTCTTTAGGTGAAGCCACACCGGTTAGGGGATTACTGCTGTTTCTCTTATTATCACTGGTCACTGGTCTCTACGTTTTGCCAAACCAGTTAGGGGATTACTACTGTTCCTCTTTTATCACTGGTCTTTGGGTGAGACCACATCGGTTAGGGGATTACTACTGTTCCTCTTCTTATCACTGGTCACTGGTCTTTTGGTGAAGCCACACCGGTTAGGGAATAAATACTGTTCCTCTTCTTATCACTGGTCACTGGTCTTAAGGTGAAGCCAAACCAGTTAGGGGATTACTACTGTTCCTCTTCTTATCACTGGTCACTGGTCTTTTGGTGAAGCCACACCAGTTAGAGGATTACTACTGTTCCTCTTCTTATCACTGGTCACTGGTCTTTTGGTGATGCCACACCAGTTAGGGGATTACTACTGTTGCTCTTCTTATCACTGGTCACTGGTCTTTAGGTGAAGCCACACCAGTTAGGGGATTACTACTGTTCCTCTTCTTATCACTGGTCACTGGTCTTTTGGTGAAGCCACACCGGTTAGGGGATTACTACTGTTCCTCTTCTTATCACCGGTCACTAGTCTTAAGGTGAAGCCAAACCAGTTAGGGAATTACTACTGTTCCTCTTCTTATCACTGGTCACTGGTCTTTAGGTGAAGCCACACCGGTTAGGGGATTACTACTGTTCCTCTTCTTATCACTGGTCACTGGTCTTTAGGTGAAGCCAAACCAGTTAGGGGATTACTACTGTTCCTCTTCTAATCACTGGTCTTTAGGTGAAGCCACACCGGTTTGAGGATTACTACTGTTCCTCTTCTTATCACTGGTCACTGGTCTTTTGGTGATGCCACACCGGTTAGGGGATTACTACTGTTGCTCTTCTTATCACTGGTCACTGGTCTTTTGGTGAAGCCAAACCAGTTAGGGGATTACTACTGTTCCTCTTCTAATCACTGGTCATTAGGTGAAGCCACACGGGTTAGAGGATTACTACTGTTCCTCTTCTTATCACTGGTCACTGGTCTTTAGGTGAAGCCACACCGGTTAGGGGATTACTACTGTTCCTCTTCTTATCACTGGTCACTGGTCTTTTGGTGATGCCACACCAGTTAGGGGATTACTACTGTTCCTCTTCTTATCACTGGTCACTTGTCTTTTGGTGAAGCCACACTGGTTAGGGAATAAATACTGTTCCTCTTCTTATCACTGGTCACTGGTCTTAAGGTGAAACCAAACCAGTTAGGGGATTATTACTGTTCCTCTTCTTATCACTGGTCACTGGTCTTTAGGTGAAGCCACACCAGTTAGAGGATTACTACTGTTCCTCTTCTTATCACTGGTCACTGGTCATTTGGTGATGCCACACCAGTTAGGGGATTACTACTGTTGCTCTTCTTATCACTGGTCACTGGTCTTTAGGTGAAGCCACATCAGTTAGGGGATTACTACTGTTCCTCTTCTTATCACTGGTCACTGGTCTTTTGGTGAAGCCACACCGGTTAGGGGATTACTACTGTTCCTCTTCTTATCACTGGTCACTGGTCTTTAGGTGAAGCCACACCGGTTAGGGGATTACTACTGTTCCTCTTCTTATCACTGGTCACTGGTCTTTAGGTGAAGCCAAACCAGTTAGGGGATTACTACTGTTCCTCTTCTAATCACTGGTCTTTAGGTGAAGCCACACCGGTTAGAGGATTACTACTGTTCCTCTTCTTATCACTGGTCACTGGTCTTTTGGTGATGCCACACCGGTTAGGGGATTACTACTGTTCCTCTTCTTATCACTGGTCACTGG